CGAGGATTAATAAGATCTCTGAAATCAGTTACATCAGTAGTTCCGGTGTCACGAAATATATTCGCCCCCAGAACTGTTTCGATTTGCCAATGGAAATACTACACCATAAATGAACTGTTTCGATTTGCCAATGGAAATACTACACCATAAATGAACTGTTTCGATTTGCGCGGTTTCACCAACCGTTCAAGATAACTAATACTCTCTGTCAATGCGTTCAACGTGTAAATGCATTTCATACCTGATATACTGACATGGTCCCAGCTGGCAAACAAGACTTCTAAGAGCTTACTGTTTCGGCATAACTTCATCTATTCATCAGAGGCAACAGATTTTTGCAAACAATTGCGTCATCACTGATTTTCAGTGATCCATTAATATATTTGTACCGCTATTGTCAACGTTCACGCCAAAAGGAATTTTTTCGTTGGAAAATCGAACTTGGTTATTCTCTAGCATTGATGTTTCACATTTCTATGGTTGTTTACGTTATGAGTATTGGTTGATAACAACATCTGGTGTCACATGACACAAAATAATATGTGTATGCCTGAAGTAGATAATATTTTATTCAGGAAATAATAGCTAGAATTGGTTACCCGAACAGACTAAATGGTTATATTTCCCTTTAATATAACAGTGTTTCAACACACAAAAATGTTAAACAAACACACGTTTGTGTTTACCGTTATACTTGCCCATGTAGCCGTCGTATACATGTAAATATATAAATGTTGTGTACATTCATGGGTGGAATTGAATACAATATTGAAATAAGGAACGTGTTCATGAGGCGAGACATTTCAAAACAATATACAATCTAAAGTGTTGAATATCTTCTTTGGTTGACTACAAACTACATTTTGTACACGTGCACATACCTTAGCTACATCATAGATAATATATATTTCATATTTTTTTGTTATCTATAAATACCCACATCTAAAATCAACCAACATCCCAGAAATACAATTTCACGCAGTTAAAATTATAAATCTACTCAATAGAATACAAATGGATCCCAGAACGATGCTTGATTTCAGGACCAGAACTTAGGCAATCTAGACTTGTCAAATCATTCTTTACTTGGAGTCCGTTTCAAATATATTCTCTAGGATCTGGGGACAGATAGAGTAACACATAGTCAATGAAAACATTTCTTTAAAATATATTTTTTTTATTCGGAAGAACCTTTCTCCTTCTGCTGTTATGGCATCAACTAAACTAGAATTGGTGAGTATGATCTAGACTTGCCTAGGAATTTAGTAAAACAGAATACCTAAAAAATATAAATTCCACAGTCATGGCGCAGGACCAGGCCTAGGAGACAGACTACCGCGTGAGTATTGCATTGAGAACTGACGGAATCCCGCTAGGGTCAGCCTGGGCCAAGTGTAATCGGATATGTTGCTAGGTCTCGAGTTTGAACTGTTGGCATAATAGAACAAGCTTGGGCACAGTGGTGCAATAAAGGGGATAGTTTTCTTCCTGGATTGTTAATGTAGAGATTAAAGCATTATCAACGCACAATTTGTCTGTTTTAAAAAGAAAATGTGCTATTGTGATTTCATATTCATAATAATGCTATGCTGTACCAGTACATGGATATTACTTGCTTGTACTCGAGGTACATTGATAACGTATGCTTGTAAAGGCTGGCATGGGACTCGGTGTAGCCGGTGTTGGTTTACTATCAACTATAACCGCCACGCCTATCGTACTTGACATGGAAATAGCCGCTGGAGTCTCTGGACTGGCAGGAATAGCGATAAAATTTATTTCTCGTAAGTTGCCAAAGAAAGCATTAAAACATGATAATATTCGGATACTCGCCGAATGAGTGAGTGAGTTGTGTTTAACGCCGCTTTTAAAAGTATTCCAGTTACATCACGGCGTGTCAGCTTAATGTGGGAGGAAAGCCCGAAGTGATGCAGGTCTCAGACGTTTAGCACTTCGGTGAAAGCCACGAGCACGGGTATGGTGCTGACAAACCTAGAAACATAATCGGGGCGAAGCGGGATTCGAACCCACAATCATAGGTTTCTGGCGTGCCCAAGGGACGCAACTCTGCACAGCGAATCGCGGCGCCTTAGACGACTGGGCCACCCGTGCCCCCGATACTCGCCGAAGCAAAGTTGAACAGCATTGAGGATCATATTTCAACAGCACTGGCTGATTGTAAGATATCCGAGGAGGATTTTCGTTCAGTGTTGTCAGAACTCACCAAATACAACACAATAAAGCAGGAGATTCGATCTTAATATCGTAAGATCAGTGGTATTAGCGAAGACGAGAAAAAAGTACATAGAACAGGGGACACAAGCGCGTCAATTATTCCGTGCCAAAACCAAAGAACTGGTTGGAGATTTAAAATAGATTGTTTCATATCATTGGATCGCACCGCATAACAAATCATACATTCATTTAAACGAATGCTTACATAAATATATAATAATGGAGAATTACAATCCAACAAAGGAAGAACTCGAAAAAGCTATCGAAGCATTTATGCTCAGGGACAAAATTATCAAATGGAGAGAATTACCACAAGGTATATATTATATCAATGATGTCAGACCAACCAAATACGGTCATCAATTGTTTCTTTCCAATTACCAAGAAGAGTATATAGTCTGGTCTCCTAGTAAAATGAACGAAGAACTTAGTAAAAATGTTGAATATCACTTTGTTAAAAAATTATGGTATGCGTATGAGTAAAAATAATAGAGAATATTTTCATTACAATTTAGTTTAGTCTCATCATCGTTTTTGTGCTAAAAATTCCCTCTATGGTATCATTGATTGACTCAAGGTAGTGGTGAGCTAGGGTCAATTTAACTTAATCTCATGACGATCGTTGAATCGCATCAGCGTTTACACATAAAAAATTCCCCCTGTTGTAGCAGTATAGGTATATAAATCTGGCTCCAGTGGGGTTGCGGCAGAATCACCATTACCTATACTACTTTCTGTGACGTTCCTTGTAAGAGCTGAACATTTAATATTGGAAAAAGGCTCAGGGTAGATGAAATGGAAATTTGCAATAACATATTGTGTGATGCATAAATTGGGAGCTTATTGCAATTGCAAATATCGTCTTTCTTTTTTGACAATAAATAACAACAAATTCAATCAAACGAGTCACAGCACGACTGTATGTGCTCATATTTCAACGCCATCATCACTGTTCGTGTGATGATTAACCGATCATTATTGACTTATCAACACTGACTATTGGACAATCTTTTGTTCCAAAGGGAAATAACTCTCCTTTTGAAATGATATAAGCGACGGTCCAAACTGTCACTTCCGGTCTGGTTCCCGGATCAATGCGCGCTGCGACAACTACACTCTCCAACCCAGAGTTCCATGCGGCCGGTGTCATTTATACCGGTACAGTTCCGCCCCTCTCGAAATAAATTCTCCCCCACCCTACGAAATAAAATCTCCCCCCAGAATATTTCCTCCCCCGGTCGTTTTATAAATACTTGCCATGCAGTTCAATAGTTGCCAAACACTTCTGATAGAGACGATGTTGAGAATGTGGAGTGAAAAGGGCTTCACTTTGAGCACTGTGTTTTCTTTACTACCGCAATATGAGACAATAAAGTGGTATATAGGTGGATATAATATTAGCCGTTAGATATAAAGAATGTTTAGTAACTTAAGAAGTTCTAGGACAGTTATTAACACATGTCGTGTCAGCCCTATTACATTCGCGATTGTCCACTTACAGAAAACATCCTGTGTTGGTTTAACATGAATTAGTAAATGTTAATTAGGGATGCCCATAACGTTAATTAATGAAAGACGAGTAGTCAAAACACTGTCATTTCCTGCCCAGGACATCACACCCCTACACGCTAAGGTCGGTGAGAAACATTCTCATAAAAAAACACACACAGTCAAGACTGTAGATTCCCGTCGTCTAGCTACAAATCCCTGTGATGTATTAAAGGTTGAAGAATTTTGAACTGAACTGTCCGAAAGTTTATATCTTAAATGTTGGAATTGGATACAGTGATAAAGTCTTATATCAATATGTAGACTCATAAATATTGGTTTTATGTTTCAACGGAGATCTGATATTTTCTTATGAAATATCGCGTATTAGTGTAATTTGCATGCTTTATTCATTGTACCATTCTAAACCATGTGAATGTTGTAATATCAGTCAATCGGATGGGAAAACAGCCCAATCCTCGCTCTATAAAGGACCATGTCAATCATTTTGTAAGTTGAAATGACCCCTGATACTTTATGAATACTTTATAACAGTTTATTCATAAACTTAATGCTTCGTACTGTAGGCCTGTGGCCTCTTCAGTGCTGAATAAAGATTGAAAATACATTAGTCAATCAAAGATGAAGGTAACTTTATACATCAGAGTTCTTTAGAATTAGTTCATGTTTTGTTCTTAGACTAACATTTCAACCATCGATTGTGTTCACATGTAGACTCAAACTGGTATATTAAAAAAATGTATACAGACAACAACAACTGTATTAGAAACAACAAATTCTGTAGAGACTCATGTCTCCCATCCTTTGTTTGGTATGATTATGTCTTATAATTATTTTAGGATGGAAGGTACAGTTACCAAATAAAATATTCTGAAATATCAATTCATTATGACCATATTTCATAATCTATTTTTTAAAGTAACCCTCCTTACATTAAAGATAACTTTTTAAAGAATATAGTACTTAAAGACATTGCAACAAACCGAATAATCAGGGGGGAGACTTTATACTGAGGGGGGCGCGAAATATATCCGCCCGGGGGAGATTTTATTTCAGAACAGATTCGCCGGGGGAGAATCTGTACCGGTATAAAATCTCCGGGGGGAGAATTTGTACGGGGGAGAGTTTATACCGGGACACCGGCTTTATTCCCTACAGAATTTCAAGAGCGTATTCAGAAAATCTGTGTAAACGTTTCATCATACGTGAACCTCGGTTACTGTTTAGCGACCGTGCAGGTATCAATGGTCGGTATCAGCACGGTCTGGCCTACAGTGAACAGCCTGTTACACACACGTCCACTTAGGCGTCTCCACGGTAAGGAACGAGAACAGACTCCATTCGGTCTGAATAGGACAAACAGGTAGGTTCCTTTCTCTGTGTGATTTTAACGTGTTTTATGCAAAATACACGCAGGGCTTTTTTGTTTTTGTGTAGTTGTTTTTCGTATGCGTTTGCTGCAAAATCATAGTTATGATCTGCACCGCTTTTACTATCAGACATCCACTGGTCGCTATGTACTGCACCATTTTTAGTATCAGACATCCACTGGTCGTTATGTACTGCACCGCTTTTACTATCCGACATCCATTGGTCGCTATGTACTGCACCGCTTTTACTATCAGACATCCATTGGTCGCTATGTACTGCACCGCTTTTACTATCCGACATCCACTGGTCGCTATGTACTCCACCGCTTTTACTATCAGACATCCACTCGTCGCTATGTACTGCACCGCTTTTACTATCAGACATCCACTCGTCGCTATGTACTGCACCGTTTTGACTATCCGACATCCATTGGTCGCTATGTACTGCCCGCATTTTCTATATGACATCCACTTGTCGCTATGTACTGCACCGCTTTTACTATTCGACATCCACTGGTCGCTATGTACTGCACCGCTTTTACTATCAGACATCCACTCGTTGCTATGTACTGCATTGCTTTTACTATCCGACATCCACTTGTCGCTATGTACTGCACCGCTTTTACTATCAGACATCCACTCGTTGCTATGTACTGCATATGCATTGCTTTTACTATCCGACATCCACTTGTCGCTATGTACTGCACCGCTTTTACTATCAGACATCCACTCGTCGCTATGTACTGCACGGCTTTTACTATCAGACATCCACTCGTCACTATGTACTGCACCACTTTTTACTATCAGACATCCACTGGTCGCTATGTACTGCATTGCTTTTACTATCCGACATCCACTGGTTGCTATGTACTGCACCGCTTTTACTATCAGACATCCACTGGTCACTATGTACTGCACTGCTTTTACTATCAGACATCCACTGGTTGCTATGTTCTGCACCGCTTTTACTATTCGACATCCACTGGTTGCTATGTACTGCACCGCTTTTACTATCAGACATCCACTGGTCACTATGTACTCCACCGCTTTTACTGTCAGACATCCACTGGTCACTATGTACTGCACGGCTTTTACTATCAGACATCCACTGGTCGCTATGTACTGCACGGCTTTTACTATCCAACATTCACTGGTCGCTATGTACTGCACCACTTTTACTATCAGACATCCACTGGTCGCTATGTACTGTACCGCTTTTACTATCAGACATCCACTGGTCTCTATGTACTGCACCGCTTTTACTATCCCACATCCACTGGTCGCTATGTACTGCACCTCTTTTACTATCAGACATCCACTGGACGCTATGTACTGCACCGCTTTTACTATCAGACATCCACTGGTCGCTATGTAATGCACCGCATTTACTATCCGACATCCACTGGTCGCTATGTACTGCACCGCTTTTACTATCAGACATCCACTGGTCGCTATGTAATGCACCGCATTTACTATCAGACATCCACTGGTCACTATGTACTGCACGGCTTTTACTATCAGACATCCACTGGTCGCTATGTACTGCACCGCTTTTACTATCCGACATGTACATCCACTGATTGCTATGTTCTGCACCGCTTTTACTATCCGACATCCACTGGTCGCTATGTACTGCACCGCTTTTACTATCAGACATCCATTGGTCGCTATGTACTGCACCATTTTTAGTATCAGACATCCACTGGTCACTATGTACTGCACCGCTTTTACTATCAGACATGCACTGGTCGCTATGTACTGCACCGCTTTTACTATCAGACATCCAGAGCTTATGTGTTAACGACCAATGGACATTGGGTGGAAGAAGCGGAACTACTATTTCGCAGTAGAGTATACTAAAGAGTATAGAATTCATTCTTCTTTCACCTGGGACTTTCAACAATCATTGGGACCTCATTTATGACATGATATTATATATCAAATATATGACATTGGAACGAAAGCAATAAAGACATTAGTGATCCATATATGTGTTGAAAATTGGGAACGGATCACAATTAGCACATAGTAAAACCTCAAGTCTTGCGAATTTCAAAATAAAGCCATACAACTGTACAAATTCGTCTGAACCTTGCGCAAACTGATGTAGTCATTGTATGTCAAAGAAGTTTACAGCTCTGGACATACCATCATCATCAATTGTTTTAGAAATTGAAATCTGGTAACTAAGGTTGCTATATTGCATATCTCTATCAAACAATAGAGTGATGCAATTCCCTATTTTGACTTGTACCATGTATCTCGTGAGATCTCAGGTGAAGCCTTTGCAGGTGTTTGTGATCGGTGTCACAGGTGGGACAGGGGTACGTTCACATTTTCGAGCACACCTGGTACCATCACTATTTGATAGTGATTCATAAACACAGTGGAATCTACTTTTAACGGAGATTTCTTATCCTAATGTCGCTTATGTTTAGATATATAGCTTTATAAGGATCATAATTAAGATGAAATTGATATCAAACAGCTGCTTGTCCTCCCTTTCTTTTATATGGCAAACTGTGAAATATGAACATTATCTCGATGTCTACAGTTGATATGATCATAATGTGCCAATCTACTTAATTCAGAAGATGAACATACTGTTGTGACAGTACAGAAGTGTTATCTCTAGATTTAATTGCGCAAAATTGAATTTGAAACCGCTTATCGCTCAAGTGTAAATATAAATACCCTTTTATTCTCTCTTATTAAAACCTGAAGCTGTGATTATAAGGCAATTGCATGCTTTTCGCTGTCAAACCTCTATCTCTCTCTCTCTTTGAGAAACCTTAAACAATAACGTAACTCTAGCTAACCTTAGTCATGATCACCCATTTTTCAGTTTGTAGCTGCGCCTCTGAACCCGCAGATGGGTTATGCAGTACCCATTGCCCGGCATCGCCGGACAGTCATATATGCATGTTTGGCCGTCATCATCGTGTCCCTGCTGGTCGCCTTCTCACAGCAACGATGGGCTCTGATGGACATGTTTGACACGACCCCGGGAACCATGAGGCCGTCACTTGGAGTAACAGGCCCACAGAAACACAGGGTCATTGTTACCTCCAAAGGTAGGACTGTGTCACTGTCGCCAATACAAGCAATTCAACCGGAGCCGACGCAGACGACACATTGCCCGGATATTCTAGGTCACATGACCCAGGGAAGATGGCGGACGTCGGTTCTCACAAGGAAGGAGAGCAACGCGATTCTTGTGTTCCTCACCCACCCGGAAGCGCGGTATCGCTTTCCTCCCGAATATCAGCGGAGGGATGCCAAGTGTGGTAACGTGTCTCACGATAATCCAAAATATGAACCGTTGATCCGAGCCCTGTGTAACCCACTCGGTCAGACGCCATGTTGTTACAACAATCATTGTGAGGAGAGGCCTGTCCACGAGTGTTTCTGCCCCAACTGCATTGATATACGACGGGAGAGACATGCCGAGTTTTCCACGTGGGTGCCCTCGGACACGCGGTGCAAGTACAAAACCTATTCCGCCAAGGAAGCTTGCCGTGTGTTGACAGGAACCGTCCTTCATTTTGTGGGCGACTCCTTCGTCCGACATCTCCACACAGCGATGTTGTTGCTGCTGAGCGGAAACGTTCAGACTGGTGCTCTCAACGCGGGGGTGCCAACAGGTACGTACACGATTTTATCTTATAATGATGAATGGTATTGCTGCTTTAAACCAATCCGATAAAAATGCAAATAAGGTCACCTTGCAGGAACTACTTTTAAGCTCCTTACATCAATGCAATATCTGGTTGCGCAATAAACTATTGACTAACGTCCTCGATGAGTTTAGACACGGCTTTCCTCGTGTGTCGGTGTGTCACACGCGATTCATAAAGTTCCTGAGTGAAACTAAACATTGATTATGTTAATAAAGGCATCATATGATACAGAAAGTATTACCCTTCTGATCTTAAATATCATATGTTAGAAACATAAATATGCATCAAGGGAACCTTGGCGATATGATATTTAGGATACAGAAACTATAGAAGATCCCATCTGTCAGATTAAAACGTTCCTTTTCAACGGAAACACCCTTAGCGTATAATCGGTTTTAAACAAATGGCTGTGAAATATCTCTTTTCGTCATGGGTGAGTAAATGAGTTTGGTTTCTGTTGTTTAGTTGAACAATATTCCAGTTATCTCGCGAAACGGCAACTTAATATCGAAGGAAAGCACAATGTACCGATGTCAGACGTTTACCACTTTAGTGAAATCAAAATCGCAAAGTGTGCATTCAGGTTGTGATACGTTTATACCTCCATACACGCAGGTCACTTCTTATAAATAGATTCGTGAAGAATAACTTAATAGACTGCGTTTTTAATCATTAGCACAGACGAAAGTGTTGTCAGCCAATCCGAAAACAGTGGTCCGCTAGTGAACGTGGCCTTCTGGGTTCTTTTTAAATTTTTGGTTCATAAACGCAATAAACTGGGTTTGGTAAGCCAATCAAATGTCATAGAATCACCCGCTATTCATTCATTTCAGCATAAGCCTAAATTAAAAGAGACCCTGAAGATCCGTGTTACAATAGGTCTTCACAGCAACCCATGCTTCTCATGAGATGAGTCTAACAGGATCGGGGGGTCAGGGCTCGCTGACATGGTTGATGCATGTTATCGTATCCCAGTTGCGTTGATCGATACTCATGACATCAATCACTGGATTGTCTGGTCCAGGCTCGATCATGTACAGACCGCCGTCATATAGCTGGAATATTGCTAAGTGCGGCGTTAAACAACAAACAAACAAACAATAAATCCAAAGAAATGCTCCCCCCACATAGAGTTTAAATACGTTTCTCAACATACATATTTTAGGATCACTTTTGCTGGAATTTGCTGGAAAAATATAAAGGATTCAGGTTGTACAAAATCTTAATAATGGCTCACTGGACATCATCTATTCCACTTCCCAGATATCCTTGGCAAGTGCTCGGGTTGGTACATGTTCACGGAGAAGACATGCCGACATCACCTCAACTACAACTACGTCGGCTGCGGCGGCAGTGTGCGCGTCGTCATGAAGTACTACTACAATAGCGGGACGGGCAGGCGGCTGAAGGAGGAGACGTTGCGGGAGCTGAAGACGCCGCGGACGATGTTAGTGATGGGAATAGCAACCCACGACGCCCATAGCTCCAAGAGGGTTAAAGGAGGGTTCCTAAGTCCCGTTCTGAATGCGATGAAGAATATGTCCCTGACATGGCCCAAGTTGCTGTGGGTTGATCAACACGCCCCGGGTTTAACGAAGACACCCTGGGATCTGGAAAAAAGCAGGGAAAAGGCAAAAACTTTCAATTCCGAGATGGAGCCGTATCTTAGAGAATGGTCTGTCCCCATACTTAAAACGTATAATTTAACAGACGGGATGTGCAGTTTTGATTCCGAACACTATGGGAGGGGGATAAACATGGCAAAGGCAAATCTTCTTTTGAACTACATTGAGGAGATACAACGGAAGGGGGAGTGGTCATAGCTTACACAACTGACAGGGCAGTGTTAAATTATGACGATCTGTAAGTATTACATATTTATTTGCATACTGGGAGTGTTAAAGATCAGACCATTTAATATTCAGAGTGTGTGTATGTGTGTTTGGGGCGGAGGTGTGTTGTTTTTGTTGTTGTTGTTTTTGTTGTTTTTTTTGGGGGGGGGGGAGTGGCTTGGTGTGTCTGTGAGGGGGGGGTGGGGGGGGGGGGGGGGGGGGGGGGGCTCATCGAAACCCACACAGAATATCATAGGGTCGGTCCGTGCATAGCGCAAACCAGTAATTGTATGTTTGCACTGCTTTTAACTGTTCATCACAAGACGTCTTTGATGTTTACCCAGTATAGAGTTCCACACCTAAACGGTATTTGTAGGCAGCTCACCTTTTCGCAAACACTTGGTGTCATCACAATTTGATAGGTATTTAGGAGAGAAACCTTTTGGCGATTTTTTTTAAATTTCAGGTATTCTAACTGTAGATTAGATACATCTTGCTTTATTTTGACACAGAGCGCCTCAGCGCGAGGTTTCAAATGTGTACTTGTAAATAGGAGGTATCAAATCTACAGTTAGATAACCACAAATTTCAAAACACAGACGGTTTATCTCCATTCTACCACAACGACAGGAGCTCTTTAAAATAGTGCTCTCTTGGAACGCGTATGCGTACTGACACATAGGCAAATAGGCCAGCTATCTTAGAATTTGCCGAAAAGGTAGCGACAAACGTGAACAATATAACTCAAGTTCAAGCTTCATCACTTATATTCTCGACTAGTTGGTTACAGCAGACATAGTTTTTAAAGAATTGATGAAATAGCCCCACAGATTTACATATTTCATTTCATCGCAACCGTTTGCGCACTTGCACCGCTGGGAATCAACCAAGTCAACAAGGCGTATTCCATTGTAGAAATTGTGACAAAAACGCTAAATTAATTTATTTTTCAAATTACTCAAATCAGTGTTTTATTTATTTTGAAGTTGTAATTATGTACCAGTTGCTTTGAAATAACCCCCCTGTAACAGTAATACATATTCAGAATGACTATTTCTCTACGCCGAACTTCGGACCGTGAACATTCCGGGGTAGAATATAGGTCTTCAGCAACCCATACTTGCCGTAAAAGGCGACTATGCTAGACGTAAGAGGCGACTAACGGGATCGGGTGGTCAGGCTCGCTGACTTGGTTGAAGCATGTCATCGATCCCAATTGCGTGGATCGATGCTCATGATATTAATCACTGGATTGTATGGTCCAGACTCGATTATTTACAGACCGCCGTCATATAGCTTGAATATTGCTGAGTGCGGCGTTAAACAACCAACCAACCAACCAACCTAACGAAAAGTATTCGGAGAAGGCAAAAGAAACGCGCATGTCATCAGTAAATGAAAAGCGCAATTTAATAAGGTCTTGAATGAGGTCCTTATCGTGTTGAATGAAGTCCTTATCATGTTGAATGAGGTCCTTATCGTGTTGTATGAGGTCCTTATCGTGTTGAATGAAGTCCTTATCATGTTGAATGAGGTCCTTATCGTGTTGAATGAGGTCCTTATCGTGTTGAATGAGGTCCTTATCATGTTGAATGAGGTCCTTATCATGTTGTATGAGGTCCTTATCGTGTTGTATGAGGTCCTTATCGTGTTGAATGAGGTCCTTATCGTGTTGAATGAAGTCCTTATCATGTTGAATGAGGTCCTTATTGTGTTGAATGAAGTCCTTATCATGTTGAATGAGGTCCTTATCGTGTTGAATGAGGTCCTTATCGTGTTGAATGAAGTCCTTATCGTGTTGTATGAGGTCCTTATCGTGTTGTATGAGGTCCTTATCGTGTTGTATGAGGTCCTTATCATGTTGAATGAGGTCCTTATCGTGTTGAATGAAGTCCTTATCATGTTGAATGAGGTCTTTATCGTGTCAAGGTCAAATGAAAGTCAGTAGTAAAGTGTATGTGCACATTTGTGTTACATGTTCTTTTCTTGTGGCCCAATTCGCTGTTCAGGGTTACGTCTCTCAGACGCGCCAGAAACCCAGAGACGACCCTCATTGTGTTTCTTGCCTTGTCGGATACCCATGCTCGTGCGTTTCACCAAAGTGATAAACGTCCGAGACCTGCATCCCTTCCGGCTTTCTTCCCTCAGTAAGCTGACACGCCGCGATATAACTGTAACAAGCGGCATTAAACACATACTCATGTACTCACTCATGTACTCACTCACTCACTCACTGCGATGTAAGCGGAAGACATGTAGCATGTTGAATATAGAGGTGATATGCTTTGATGTATATTGAATGATATCTTCGAGTTAAATGACTGAAGTACCCATATCCATTGGCTATGTATTACGTTTCAAATTACCCCTGAAGATCCGGGGTAGAATACGACTTCAGCAACCCATGTTTGCCGTAAAAGGCGACTATGCTTGTAAGAGGCGACTAACGGGATCGGGTGGTCAGACTCGCTGACTTGGTTGATGCACAAACAAACAAAATCAAAAATATTTTCCATATGTATGCTTTGTTACACATGCCCTTTTTATTAAACTCGTTTTAACACCACCGCATACACCGTAATCAGCTTTTACTGCTATATGCCATTAAGACAAACACACCCAAATACAGTAAAACCTCACTCACTCAAAGTCCAGGGACCATCAAAGACCTATCGATTAATCCATTTCTCGAGACAGACAGTGCATGAAGTTCGTCAATGAGGTTTCACTGTATTGCATATCAGAGTAACACAAACCACCTTTAATCCACCACGTCACACACATTTGGCTACATCGACAAGAGGCACACGTTTGGACACACGGCGTTCATCCGTCATGGCGGAACGAAGTGTGTACACACACAAAAATGGGAACTATTGACGATGAATTGCTGACAAAGAACAACGTGCAAAGAAACTACACAGGCTATGTCAATGTTTTTCGATCATTTTCAAATTGTAGAAATAATAAATTTGAACCGTGTACAGGCTGATGCATGCATTATCCATTCTTTTCTTGGGATAAAAAACACTGTCCATGACTGTTTTATGTTTCTGTTTAATGTTCCTGTCTACACAAGCCAATCTCCCCAGTCAAAATGGATATACAATGTTCTCATGTGCAGCAGTATGGCGAATTATATGCCCGTTAAATCAGTCAAAGAGTAAAATCCGTCAATGTATGAAACGACTGAAATTTTCACTTATGCAATTCACAAAACGAATTAATATGTCAGTAATTTTACAATTATTTTTCCATTGATGTCTTCATTATAACAAATTCCAAAACATTTTTATGATGAAAAAAATAGGATTAAAAGAAAACGAAAGTCAATGCATATTTATTTACTGTGGCTTCGGAACCCAGCACAAATAGTTTATTGTGTACGTTTTAGTCTATATGTCAAATAAATGAACAGATGTTTCAGTCAATTTGTAAAATAACTGAAATACTCAGGTACTTTGTAAATTGCCTAAGGGAATCACATTTTACACATTGATATATGTTTCCTACCTATTTTCATAAATGAATCTTTCCCGCAGGTTACAGTATAATAACAAACACCCCGTAATGTGATTAGTTACATTACATGAACACGGTGTCCCTTTCATGGCATACTCGCGAAACCCTTTGCCTGGAATCGTTATTGTCATGTGAGTACATGCCAGGTGAATAGTTGTGTCTACTCTATCAGCCAGTACATTATGACATTGTAGTCAATACATTCATGGTTATACAATTGTACAATTGTATTTGGATCTTTAGGTTATTTACAGTAACCTCAATGACTTGAGGAAGATGAAACGTGGCCTTATATCTCGTAAATTGAGCGATCAAAGTGAAAATAACACATGTTAAAACATCCCTTTCGTCTCGAAAATGTTTAAAATGACGGAAGTGATGAAGATCAGTTGTCAGTACCCTAACTGACACACCAACTTTGTAATTACAAATGTTCATTTTGTATAGACAATTGTGGTACTGGTAATGCAACCATCTTAGCCTATTGTGTCGGCGTTCCTGTTGACGTTACCGACCTGTTGAACAAGAGCGCCTGTCAAGTATCTTCTTCCCGTTGACAGACTACAAGAGTCCAGTTTCCACCCTTGCCGAACTAGGCTGGTATTATGGAGTTACGTTTTGACTGGACTAACGAGTCTATGCATTGACCAATCAAAATCGCGTAACGAGCTAGACATCCGCTTCGTAAACAACATGGATTTCAACGTGCAGATTTCGGTCGACTGCAGGATTTACAAAGCATGTGTACCGTCAACAACGCGTCGACAGATATTATGCATCCACTGGTTAGTCCAGCCATAAAATAACTCCATAATTGCAGCCTAGTTCGGCAAGGGTGGAAACTGGACTTTTTACTGTCAGTTTACTCCCTTGCCTCGGGAAGATGGACTTTCATAGTCAGTTAACGCCCTTGCCTCGGGGTGATGATCAAGTATCAAGATGTTTGATCGGATGAAGACAAATATCCCATGTTCCCTTGAAGAAATTGCAGTTACATACTTTGTGGTAAATTATGTGAACTTTCCTCACGCTGATAGATTTACAATATCTAAGTAAATAACAGGATAAACGGCATTAACATTGGCATAAACATTGCGGTAACATCGAAGTGGCACTCAACACGCCCTCACACATCCGAGGTGACTGGCTAATGATGAAGATATAAGGACACGTGCAGACTACAATCTGCGTAAAGTTTCACAGTCTATGTGTTTTCCTCCTCCTCCACACGCTGACGTCATCTGTGCCTACGTTGTAATGCTCGCCTACACGTACACGTATTCCTTCGTCAGCCATTTTCAAATTTGTTGAACGTCACATTCGGCATGGCATTTAACTCGGGCATCGTCTTCAGGAGTTTTTCCATACTGGAAGATAAGGTAAAACAATAATCAAAAACTAATATTCGCCTACAAACATACATATTAATTATTCTGACTCGTATACGTCAAGTGCAGGTTACAATGAACAACTGGAAGGGGTTCGGGTGATAGGTTTCAATTGTTTCACAATGACGTCACATGTGAAACAGTATAGGGGATAAGATCCTGAAGCTGATTAACTGCAACAGCTGCTGCTGCTGCTGCTGCACGTGGGTTTTATAACCACGTGCTCATCATCAAATGTAGTCTCCATAACATTATTTGAATTTATTTTATAACAACACATCTTAAGTTAATTAGACTGGCAATTCACAGCTTACCTTTAATATTAGAATGGGGTGAAGGTATTGGTAAGACTGCATAAAAAGAAGTTTTTCAGACACATTTTTGTTCTCAAAAGTGAGGAGAGCAGAAAGACTTTATTTATTCTAATCGTTAAAAGTGTAGCGAAAGAAACGTATTTAATTTTTTGCCCACCTAGAATACCAACAAAGTCAACTGGGTACACATTGACATAGGCTCTTTAATTGCAATATCAGAATGCTTCTTTTGATGCTGGAAATTTGATAAACATTTTTATTAACTTTTGGTTGGTTGGATGGTTTGTTGTTTAACGCCGCACTCAGCAATATTCCAGCTTTATGACCACGGTCTGTAAATAATCGAGTCTGGACCAGACAATCCAGTGATTAATATCATGAGCATCGATCCACGCAATTGGGATCGATGATCTGCATCAATTAAGTCAGAGAGCCTGACCACCCGTTCCCGTTAGTCGCCTCTTACGACTAGCATAGTCGCATTTTACGGCAACATTGGTTGCTGAAGACCTATTCTACCCCGGAATCTTCACGGATCTTTTTATTGGCAATACAAATGACTGACGAACATGATTTAAAGTGACGCGTAGATAACGCGAAAGGATTTTGCTATACCGCACATTTGTAAAAATGATCCATAGGCTGACTTTGATTCGTTTTTGTTTGGTTGATTTGTACCAGTTCACGGAGACTCCGACAATATTCTCCTTCCCCAAACTTTCCTGACTCTAAGAGAGCCACAAGCTCCTCACAGCGATAGTCCGTTCGCGGAGCTCTCTATACTATCGCCGCCAATTGTCATAACTCCCCACTGTGATAGGTGGCCCCAACCATGCTTGGAGTTGAACTCGCAACCGAATGACCGTTATATTTACCCAAACAAAGTGACGACTGTCGTGACTCCGAATACACTTATCGCTGCTAAATTACTTTCTTTCTTTGTCCCTTTTGAATTTCTGTTTCATTAAAACTATCATGTTATTAATATAGTAAGAATGTAAGGGAGAAGTTGGTTGATTTTCCGTTACTCTGCAATCTCGAACCAATCTCTTTAATAAAACAACAAACTTAAGTAAATTCATCTGGAAAACATGGTCAGTGGTAAACCTTTTCAAAATGAAAAATGATGGCATTCCCAAAGACATAAACAAAAGTATAAACGTTACTACATTTGGGTTTAGAGGGCAAATTTCAAGATTCTTGTAATGGCCGCGCCCACACTGGTGGCAGCGATGTTACCGAGAGTGTAACGAAGGTGTCACGCGCTGGGAAGGAGCTTGAGAGAGAGTCATACTAAGGGGAGGTAACACATCTACGTTGATCCTACCTGTCCCTGCTCTCATTTGACTCCTTCATGACGCGAAGTGAAGCGCCGCCATCATCCGACGGGACACTGGAATATAAACGTGACATAATATGTTTATCTAGATGAGTTTTGTTTGTTTGTTTGTTTCTTAGCTTCGCAGTCAACAATAGTCAAGCCTATAATAATAATAGACATGCTTGTCGTAAAAGGCGACTAACGGGATCAGGTTGTCAGGCTCTCTGACTTGGTTGAAGCATGTCTTCGTATCCCAATTGCGTGGATCGATGCTAATGATGTCAATCACTGGATTGTCTGGTCCAGACTCGATTATTTACAGACCGCCGTCATATAGCTGGAATATTGAGTGCGGCGTTAAACAACAAACAAACAAACAAAACATGAATAATCGAGTATGATCCAGGCAAACCAGTGATCGATGTTATGAGCAACATATCACGCCATTGGGATACGATGGTACCAAAGAACGCCTTAAGATGTCTAGAGTGGTGTTGACCCTCAGAGACATCATTATTGCAGCAGTACCACGACAGCCTGTAAATAACAGAATCTGGATCAGACAATCCAGTGAAAGAAAACGTCAGCATCGATCTTCGCAATGGGAGATGATGACATGCATCAAACAGGACAGCGAGCCTGACCAACCCCGATCCGTTAGTCGAAAATGAATGGTTTGATGAAGACCAAATCTAACCCGGATCTTCACAGAGCCTATGGTAAGCATGTTTTGTGTCACTAAATAATGGCAGCCTCACTTGGCATTGCTACAGCATAATTACCCGAGACGCAAACTGCTGATCTGACTCGTGACGTCACTCCATGCCTGTCCACTGAAAGCACCGATCTAAAACGGAAGGAGAAAACTCATTCAAAACGACATATCAACCATCATTAAACTTTAATAACTTTAATTAAACCGTTGGTAATGGTACCGAGACGAGTGGTACTATTTACATCTATTTTTATATATGTTTCTGCCAGGTGTCTCATGGAATAATTAAACTATCGAGTAGCCTTGCTCCATTGCTGTACTGAATGATAAATCCATGGGTCTAGAGTAGTTCTATCCTTATAATAGCAAGTCTAGATGAGCTGACAGTGCCTCCAAGGACGCCAGTCTTTTATAGGGACAACTTGCTCTTATTATTTGTGTAATCTAGAAATTATGATTTAAACTATTTTAATTATTGCCTTTGAGACTTGTGCAAGTCTACAAATCGAGTAACGCAACGTGGAAGAAGTTGGTTTGACATATTTCCAACATCTGGTTAATACCAAAAATGATTCCATTTTAGTGGAATTTAGTGTATTAGTATTTATTAGGTTTCATAGTGCTAGCCCACTGAGATACCATGCCGCAGATAAACATGACAAAGTATACTGACTCCGAGCCGACCAGTCCTTTTCTTATCTCCTTAATGCCGAGCGCCAGGCAGGATAACAACAAGTACCATCTTTTGATATGACTGGCCTGGGAACCTTCCGCTTTCCTGACAGAGGCTCTATCCACTTTACCACGGAGGCGATTCCATGTAAGTATATATTACAAACACGCCATACGCGACACCAGTTAAGTCTGTATCAATGTATTGACATGTCATGTAGCTCACCTGAATAAGCGTTGCATCCAGCTCATCTGCTTGCTCTTTGACACTAGACAGGGTCATCCTCACGTCCATCAGGTTCATCTGAATACTGTGGAACATCCTTTCAGAAGAAACAACTATCTTAAGTGGCATGTCTTTTGAATATGGAGTAAAACGATGCTGCGGTAGTAAATTACAGAATGGAAATAACATACACTGGTTTAGCGAGGATGGGAATGTATTCAATAGGTTACCACTGAAAAATGCCAGCATTACATTTTCCGAGAAAATTGCAATCCACAACCCACAGGACAGACAACACGATTTTTGTTATAGGGATTAGTTTTCTCGTCATCAAAAAAAGGAAACAAACTTTTTTCAAATTCTAATTCCCACGATTTCCGGGGGGGAAAAAATTATCAAACAAATTTACGAATTTCAAAAAAAGCTGACACAAGCTACGTTTTGCAATAGAAGTCATATGTTTCGTTGCATGTGACCTGCAAGAAACACACATGTCGACATTACTTACTGGCTACGTTTTCCGAAAGCAGTCATGTGTTTCTTCACGTTGGGAAGGCAATGGTCTTGATACAGCGACGTGCAAGACGAGCATATATCTTCCATAGTCTTCCTGCAAGATATAATTATCATTAACAGACTGCATCTCATACAACATCTCAACTTGCAAGTAATAAATATACTAATAGCAATGGATGGGGAAATACAGTTGGGCTGGGGATTAGAAATCAAAATATGTACAAATCTTCAGGAATGAACTGCCCCATGCCGATATGGATAAATATAAAAATTAAAACAATAAAAACACAAAACGTCAGGGTGATGTTTGGCTGGATCACAGCAACCACAGCATGGCGGGGTACACAAGTTATATGCTTTTCCTTGTATGGATTCGACCCCGTGCATGGGCCATTACGTAAATATACACTAGCAACTGAGCTATGCCACCATATCGTTACTTCAAAATTATTCATGTGAGTAAACGATAACGCAAACATCTTAAAATTGACCTCTAACCTTTAACCTCACATTGACCTGACGGAGCCAACCTTGACCTTACCTGTCTCTAGTGTGATGCAGTTGCTGCAGCTCCGACAAGGGCAGACATTTCTTCCTCCCGTACATCCTCCGCCAACTTTCCCGTCCTTTCAAGGACAGAGTCGATGCCTTGTCAACACTGAAACATGGAGATACGCAAGATCAAAACCTGTATCTGCCACTGAATTACCGTCGACCGAGACGATGCGGCATCCCGGAAGATCTCTGCAGTTTGTATCTGGACAGTCACATATTGACAGAGTGATAGTGACAAGATAAAAATCACAGTGGACCAGGTCATCCTGAACCTATCCCTGATGCCCATTAGGCCAGGTTATTTGTAGTGGTTTAACACATCCTATAACGTAAAGAAGTCATCCTTGCTCAAATGCTGAGCACCGTGTGTATCTGAAAAGAGTAAATTGTCAGGTACGACAAAAGCTCTACGTTTGTCACATAAAATTCAAATATCACTTTAAAAAAAAGAGAACTCACTCGAACCATTGCAAAGTAACAAAAAACAACGTTGACCCTGGGGACTTGCGACATGTTAAAACCGGAAGTGTCTGTCATGTGTAAGATGGCTCTTAGAGAAAAGCCAGGAAGTAGTTCTAAATCAAGTTATTTGTGGATGAAATGTGACAAATCTCTGCAGCTCATAGCAGCCCCGTGTGTCATCGGACATAAACAATCGTCGTGAACAGAAGCATATGGTCTGGAGTGTCACTGGTGTCCATGTGGCGACAGGAAGCCTCACCATTTGGGCGAACACCTGTAGTTGCCCATTAGCCGTACAGCAAGATTAGGCATCTGTTGTTTACAGTTGGATAACTCTACGTTCACCTTCTGGAGCTGTTCCTTGAGCTGGAACAAAGGTAGAGGAACACCTGTCATATTTCACCATCTTCCCGAGGCAAAGGAGTTAACTGACTATAAAAGTCCAGTTTCCACCCTTGCCGAACTAGGCTGGTATTATGGAGTTACGTTTTGTCTGGACTAACGAGTCTATGCATAGTCCAATCAAAATCGCGCTCCGAAATCAAAATCCGGTTCGTAAACTGTCATGCAGATTTCGATCGATTGCAGGATTTGCAAAACATGTGCATCGCCAATTCGTTGTCAGCAGATATTTTCCAAATCCTTTCATGTTTTTAATCAAGGTGCTCACGTGATTTGATGCACCTCGCGATGTAAGACTCGTTTTATCACAATATAGATCTTGATTATCGATCAGATCGTCTTGACTGGGCGCCACCGTTTTGTTTGAAACAAATGCAAGTGATACGAGAGGTTGAATCTGATTGGTCAGAGGCATAGAAAGGACATAACTCGTAATAGCCACTGGTGGCGCTACGATCGAGCCCAGGAATTCCAGCCTAGTTCGGCAAGGGTGGAAACTGGACTTTTAAAGTCTGTTAACCTCCTTGCCTCGGGAAGATGTATTTCACCCACAACACACGTCTGCCACCTTCATGTCAAAACATGTAGTAAAAGAGTCTGAAAGGAAAACGTCTCTAAGGTCTGTGCGTCACTTAAAATCCTCTGTATTGGACAGCTCTATTATTGCCTAACTAAAATGTTCTGCTAAAGCAATTCCTAAAAATGCATACAACTTGCAGTCGGACATTATTGTTCAACGATAACACACTCAGTCACATAGTGATACAAGGATAGTCTTACTTTTGGTATTGAGCTCCGGACTTTTCGACATCTGTGGGAGATTGACGAGTTGTGTTCCAAGGTGACCTGGACCCTCTTGCTTTCAAGGTCAAGCATGAGTTCTAGTTTGGCCCTTGTGTTTTGTAACTTCGTGCTCAATTTGCTTGAAGCCCGTTCCAAATTGGACTGATGCTTCTTCAAGTGGGCACTGCAGGATAAAGTGTACGGCACTGGTTTACAGGGACAGTTTTGCATACTCGGGGTCCTATTAATTATGATGAAATAACATTTGGCCACTTGTGTCACATTTCGTCTCGATATAACCCGAAGTCCTTTCTGTCATTTCTGTGGTCTAAGATGCTTCAATCTGAACTCATTTCCGAACTCCTCCCTTAGCTGTGCGGACCGCCTTCGTGGAGCGTCCGCCCGGAGAGCGGAAGGTCCGGGGTTCGATCCCCGGCCGCGTCATACCAAAAGACGTTAAAAGATGGTACTTGTTGTTACTCTGTCTGGCGCTCGGCATTAAGGGGCTAAAACAAGGACTGGTCGGCTCGGAGTCAGTATACCGTGTCTGAGTGGGGTATTCATGTTAAACTGCGGCATGGTATCTCAGTGAGCTAGCACTATAAATCGGCATCAATCCGGACTAGTACAAGCAGCCACACAAACACACACACGTACATGCACGTCGCGATATAAGTGCAATAATCTTGGACGCGACGTTAAACCCCATTTCACCTCACCTCACTTTAGCTGTGCCACAATCCGGTAGACGGAGGTTTGAATCTCAAAATTCGTCCCAATTAAACTCCTGGTCATCACTACAACCTCGTGGGTATTAACAAGTACATGCCGCTGTGAAGAGTTGTGCCCCTTAATGATGCCAGAGGCCTGTGACTGTCGGTTCGAAACACAGATTCGCCCTGCTTGGATTGATAGCACCATGCCCGTTCATGTGGCTTTCACCAAAGTTATAAACTTCTAAGACCGGCTGTCCCGCAGACGCCTGAGGCCTGCGTCACTTCCGACTTTCCTCCCACCTTAAGCTGACACGCCATGATATAAGTGGAAAACTGTTCAAAGCGGCGTTGAACCCAACTCATACACTCTAAGACCTGCATCGCTTTGGGTTTTTCTGCCACGTCAAACTGACACTCTACTGTTCAAAGCGACATTTAAACAAACTCTCTTATTCATTTACTCACTACAAAGACATACGTTAATCTGGAACCTAAATCGTGAGAGATACGTGGTTTAGGAGGAACAGGTATGGCAATCACCTCATGCACGTGTCTGCTTTCCCCATGCATTCCTCAATGTCAACGAATGACGCTATCCTTTCCTCCACCCTTGACAGGAACACCGCCATCTTGTGGGCCACGTGGATGTCCTTCGCCAGCAGTGAACCAGGCGGAAATGTAGGCGGCGATTCTGAGGGAAACATTGTACATCAGTGGTATCATCAAAATAAAATAACATTGAATTGAAGTTTGCCCTTATTGACGGCAAATATTCACGTATCTCAGCCTTAATAGCCCCCGGGGACGTCGTCACGGGGTCACGTGATCTGTACAGAGTTGTGTGACATAGGCGTGTCATGATGTTATAATCTTGAGTTCGAATCCCAGTCTATCAGAATTGGAGCATCGGAATGTCAGCAGCATACCCGTGCTCGTGGGTTTCAACAAAGTTGTAAACGCCTGATCTGCATTACTTCGGGCTTTTCCCCCACATAAACACGCCGTGACTTAATTGAAATACTGTTCACTGCACTTAACAACCATATCAAAACACATCATATTAAATCGTTTAACAGCAGAAACTGACAGCCACCACACTTCTATATTGTGAATGCTGATAAACAGATGTAAAGTTCGTTAGAAATGAGATCGTACCCAAGGTTTTCGGATCTCTCATCACACAGTCTGTCTCGTTCCTCGCGATCAAAATAACTGGTTCCCGGAAGTCACATGACAAACAACCGACGGTGGCGTCATCCACGAGAAGATCGGACAAACTGAGGCCCCGGTGAAAGAGCAGCTGATCTCCGGCCATGATTTCCGTCCTCCCTGCAACATCGTCTTTAAACTCCGCCAGGCTGGGAATACAAACAATTCAGTGGGAATATAGGTTTGTAATCGTGCGTTGATGCAGATACATACACACTCGCAGAATACTGGTGTTAGGCGCAGATATTGTCTGTGAAGAGTTGCGTCCCTTAGCCGTACCCGGATCCGTTGACTCGAATAACAGAATAGTGCTGCTTATGACCGTTGGTTTATTTATCAAATCTCGTTGGTTTCACCAAAGTGGTAACGTCCAAGATTGGCTTCACTGCTTGCTTTTGTACCACACGAAGCTGACACGCAGTCATTTAATTGCAATACTGTTAAAAGCGGCTCAAAACACAACTCGCTCACAAACTCGTCGCTGGGCAACACGAGCCAGTGTTTAGCATTGTAAACACATAACCGTGACACGGTACTAACCATCCGTTGTGACCATCCAATTCCCATTTAGATACTGGGGCGTATGGGTAGCCTTGTGCTTAGAGGGTTCGCTCGTCACGCCCAAGGCCAGGGTTCGTTCCAAACAAAGGTACTCATTTCTGCTGGAATATTATTAAAAGCGGTATAAAAGCCACTCATTTAGATACTTCCCAAAAGAAGCTTAACTTTTTGTTAAGTCTTTGTTAATCTGGGACTTACCTCGAGCTTGGTTTGATGTAGATGATGATGAATGTGACGTCCTCGGCGTTGAAGACGACGACCATGACGTAGTGTGTGATGACCTTCACGTGCTGGTGGAACTGGTCATGTGAAAGAAGGCGTGCCTGGTCCTTCTCCAACAGCCCGGCTATCAAAGACCTCAGTTTCTCTCTCAGTGGCCTTGAATAAAAAACAACAGTAAAATGGAAGTGAGTATTGTTTTACGCCGCTTTCAGCAATATTCCAGCAACATCACGTCAGGGGACACCATAAATGGGCTTCAAACCCTGTACCCTTATTGGGACTCGAACCCGGGCGGGCGAACCTTTCAACCACTAGGCTACCCCACCGCCACAGGACAGGGCTTTTAGCAGGGAGCCAATAACACTCCCTTATTTAAGTAGGTTAAACAAATACATCTAAATTAATAACTACTTTACAGAGGTTCGAACGTAGAGAGCAGCAGCTGGACTATTACCATCATGGCCAGCAGCACAGAGTCGGGGGGGGGGGGGGGGGGGTTCCTGAAGCATGACATTGGGGATGAGATGTGGGATACTGCAGGGAGTCTAAATACATCTTTGAAAAGTCACCGTGATGTATTTGTTTGCAGTTTAACGCCGCACTCAGCAATATTCCAGCTATATCACGGCGGTCTGTAGATAATCAAGTCTGGACAAGACAATCCAGTGATTGACACCATCAGCATCGACCCACGCAATTGGGATCCATGACGTGCATCAACCAAGTCAGCGAGCCTGACCACCCAATCCCTTTAGTCGCCTCATACGACAAGCATAGTCGCCTCTTGTGGCAAGCATGGGTTGCTGAAGATCTATTCTAACACGGATGTCTCCCTGATGTAACATAACATGACATGGCAGTCACACAGTGATTTCGAAGGTAGCTGAAGTTAGAAGTTGAAGTTTGTGTTTGTCGGGATTTGACCCTGGGACAGGGGCTAGGCAGGTATCCCACCCACGCCCACACCTCAGTCCCAAAAACAGTTATCTTTCTCTAAAAACAAAAAAATCAACAAAATTTAAAATAAATCCAAACGGAGCCCAGAACTTTAAGGCTGAGGCATTCTAGACTTGCCAAATCATTCTTAACTTCTGAGCTGGATTTATTTTTGAATTAATTCTCTTGGGTCTGGGAGACAGACCAACCCACACGCCTTTAAACGTTGCAGTCACTATCATGTAGCTATATAACATCGTGGCGAATGAAAGAGTTGTGGACTCATAGGTGGACCTAATGAACGCCCGGATACGTATCTCTACCTGACTTATTTGAACGTGTAACAATATGCATTCAGGTACGAGTACAGATGCTATCACCGTATCCTCTCAATTACCTACCTCTAAATACGTTACGGTATGTTTTATCATGGAAACCTTGACTTACTTGCGTTCCTTGTCGAAAACGAAACCCGGTAACCGTTTTGAAACAAAAAATGACAACTCTCACCAAACCACTTCCGGTTTTCTTTTCTGACACTTAACCAGATGTGGTTGCGGTTCAGAAAAGAGTGTTGAGGTGAAGTTTGTTTAAAAAAAACAATTTAGCCAAAGTTGTTATTAGAAACCTGTGAATTAGTTAACAAGTAGTTAGAAACAATGGCAGAAACGTAGCCAATTACCCAAATATATGAGCGAGTGAGTAATTTGGGGTTAACGCCGCTTTGAACATTATTTCTGCTTGATGGGAAGGAAAGCCCCAAGTTATGCAGGTCTTAGACGTGTACCACTGAGGTGAAAATATATCTGTGAACATATTGTTTGGCCATATACATTCATCCTTGCTATATTTCAGAAAATCACAATCTGAATAGTTTCTAGTAAATTCGAAAAAAACGAATTGTGAGGTATGCTTATTTTGAGGAACACGTACTGTGACAGCTTGCACGTGCTCGGTATGTGTTTTTCCCACATGATCTGCCCGTATTCCGTTGCTTGGTAACCCGAAATGGAATCAGATGGTTTCTCTGCGATCATCTGAAACCTAACAAGAAGGAAAATACATTAACATGGTGGATCTTGTTTCAAATGGAAATGACCGACGATATGCATACTTCAAAGCTGGAATTTGTTTATGAGTGAACAAGCAGTTCGTGTTTTCGGAACGACAGTGAGTGAGTGAGTTTGATTTTAAAAACTGGTCTTAGATTATGATACTTCAGGAGGAAGTGTAGCAAGGAGCGATTGAACTACAATGTAGTAGTAGCAGTAACAGTAGTAGAAGTAGTAGTAGTAGCGTAGTAGTAGTAGTAGCAGTAACAGTAGTAGAAGTAGTAGTAGTAGTGTAGTAGTAGTATAGTAGTTGTAGTAGTAGCAGTAACAGTAGTAGTAGTAGTAGTGTAGTAGTAGTAGTAGTAGTAGTAGTATAGTAGTTGTAGTAGTAGCGGTAACAGTAGTAGTATTAGTTGTGTAGTAGTAGTAGTAGTAGTAGTAGTGTAGTAGTAGTAGTAGTAGTAGTAGTGTAGTAGTAGTAGTAGTAGTGTAGTAGTAGTAGTAGTAGTAGAAGTAGTGTAGTAGTAGTAGTAGTATTAGTGTAGTAGTAGAAGTAGTTTCTGCAGTAGTAGTATCGGCAGTTGTAGTAGTGTAGTAGTAAAAGTAGTGGTGATAGTAACAGTAGTAGTAGTAACAGTAGTAGTAGTAACAGTAGTAGAAGCAGCAGCAACAGCAGTAGTAGTAGTAGTAGTAATGATAGAAGTAGTAGTAATAGTAGTAGTAGTAGTAGTAGTGGTAGTAGTAGTAGCAGTAGTAGTAGGAGTAATAGTAGTAGTAATAGTAGTAGTAGTAGTAGAAGTGGTAGTAATATTAGTAGTAATAATAGTAGTAGTAGGAGTAGTAGTAGTTGTAGTAACAGTGGTAGTAGTAGTAGTAGTGGTAGTAATAGTAGTAGTGGTGGTAGTAATAGTAGTAGTAGTAGTTATAGTAGTAGTAATAATAATAGTAGTAATAGTTGTTGTAGTAACAGTGGTAGTAGTAGTAGTAGTATTTGTAGTAGTAGTAGTAGTAGTAGTAGTAGTAGTAGTAGTAGTAGTAGTCTAGCAGTAGTAGCAGTTGTATATTTCTAGATATTGTAAATTCCTACAAGTTAACCAAATATTTCACGTGACTGACATGATCGCCCTGTTGGACCTGACTCCCCCGTGGGGCCGGAAGGGGATCTGACACGTGACTGCCTGGTACAGGGTGCAGCCCACACTCCAGAGGTCAATGGAGGAGTCGAAGCAGATGACGGCACCACGGTCCACGAACGCCTTCTCGTACACTTTGGGGTGCTGATCCAATAGAAAACATCTGTGGCTATAATGGTGTATACAGAAACGTTATTTGTACATAAAATATACGCTTCAATCACTGAACGTTCTATACGCCTTATTCCAATTATGTACAGTTATGTTAAATCTGTTGCCATGACGATTGTAGCTGTACATGATAAGCAAAGACAAACTTTCCAATGTCTGTCTGTTAATTTATTTGTTGATGAACGCCGTCATTCAGCAATATTCCAACTCTATGACGGCGATCTCTATATAATCGAGTTTGCACCAGACAATCCAGTGGTTGATATCATGAGCATCGATCAACGCAATTGGAATACGATGACAGGCATCAACCTAGTCAGCGAGCCTGACCACCCCATCCCGTTAGTCGCCTCTTAAGACGAGCAAGGGTTGCTGAAGACCACGTTTAACCCGGATCTTCACGGGTAACTTCCTGTTATGTTACTTGTTTGTGTTTGGATATTTCTGACTCCATCTCCCACAAAGAGGCTCCACGATTTATTGTAAGGATAGGTATCTTGCGAGGGTCATGTTTTAGACTTGAACCAAGTCCCAGTTTAGTGCAAATGAAAGAGAGAATAATATGCATCAAGAGTCAAGAGTATTTTACCAGATATTCTTCAGTTCCCGCCAGGGACATAAACAAATCTTCCTCTTCTATCAATCGACTGGCTCCGAAATCAGACAACTTGTATGTGCAACTGCAAAAAAGAGTGAGTGAGTATGGTTTTACGCCGCTTTTAGCAATATGTCAGGTATGTCACGGCGGGAGACAGCAAATGGGCTTCAAACATTGTACCCATGTGGGGAATCGAAGTCAGGTCTTCGGCGTGACGAGCGAACGCTTTAACAACTAGGCTACCCGACCGCAGCGAACAATATCACACATAAATCCTGCCCTAGTAAAAAGGCTGGATACTGTACACGTACAACAGTTACTATGTTACACAAGTGATTCGCATAAGCATATGTAACTCTCAATTCAGTAACACAACACTCTCTCCTGTAACGCGAACCATACACTTTTTTCAAGGCTGTTATCAACCGTATATGAGATGTCAGTCATATGTATGTTCATCTGGTCATAGTCATCACTATTCTGAGCTATATGATTTCCAAAAAAGTCACTTGCCCAAGGAGACGCCACATGTGCTTCAGTATGGGGCAGGACCGAAGCCCTAGAAACTCTCAGGAGCCAACGCGGTCAACCACCCAAGGACTCGCCACGACAGACGTTGCTCAACTTAACCTGATTTGTGACCACGTGCCTACACACGGTGGTATGTCGAATAATCGAGTCTGGGTCAGACAAACCAGTGATTGAAGCTTTAGGGGCGATCCACAAGCTAAGTCAGCAGAGTCTGACCACCCGATTGACTTTTGTCCACTCTTACGATAAGCATCGGACACTGAGATGTATTCTACGCTGGGATTCCGATTAAAGTTAAACTACTCATTGGTTTCCAATCAGTATCAGGTCGGTGTTAGCATTACCACACGACTGCAGATGAGATAATACAGTCATGGGAGGTATACAGCGGAAATAGGTTTACCTTCCGTCGTTGTCGATGTGGCGCAGAATGTTGCCGGGTTTGATGTCCCGGTGCACGTACTTCTGTGTATGAAGGTAATGAACGGCCGAACCTGGAAAACAATCAACAGAATCTCAATGTCGCCTCTCAGCACACAACAATGTCGCCTCTCAACACACAACAATGTCGCCTCTCAGCACACAACAATGTCGACTCTCAACACACAACAATGTCGACTCTCAACACACCATGTCGACTCTCAACACACAACAATGTCGACTCTCAACACACAACAATGTCGACTCTCAACACACAACAATGTCGCCTCTCAACACACAACAATGTCGCCTCTCAACACACAACAATGTCGACTCTCAACACACCATGTCGACTCTCAACACACAACAATGTCGACTCTCAACACACAAAAATGTCGCCTCTCAGCACACAACAATGTCGACTCTCAACACACAACAATGTCGACTCTCAACACACAACAATGTCGCCTCTCAACACACAACAATGTCGACTCTCAACACACAACAATGTCGACTCTCAACACACCATGTCGACTCTCGACACACAACAATGTCGACTCTCAACACACAACAATGTCGACTCTCAACACACAACAATGTCGACTCTTAATACACCATGTCAACACAGCAAACAACAATGTCGACTCTCAGCACACAACAATGTCGACTCTTAACAAAACACAATGTCGACTCTCAACACACAACAATGTCGACTCTTAACAAAAAACAATGTCGAATCTCAACACACAACAATGACGTCTCTCAGCACACAACAATGTCGACTCTCAACACACAACAATGTCGACTTTTAACACACCATGTCGACACTCATCACACAATGTCGACTCTCAGCAAACAACAAAGTCGACTCTCAACACACCTTGTCGACACTCATCACACCATAACGACCCTCAAGGCACCATGTCGACACTCATCACACAATGTCGAAATTCATCAGACCTTTTTGACTCTCATCACACCACATCGACCCTCTACACACACCAAGCTCGACTCTCATCACACCATGTCGACCTTCATCACATCATGTCGACCTTCAACACAACAATGTCGACCTTCATCACACCATGTCGACCTTCAACACAACAATGTCGACCTTCATCACACCATGTCGACCTTCAACACAACAATGTCGACCTTCATCACACCATGTCGACCTTCAACACAACAATGTCGACCTTCATCACACGGCATGTCGACCTTCATCACATCATGTCGACCTTCATCACATCATGTCGACCTTCAACACAACAATGTCGACCTTCATCACACGACATGTCGACCTTCAACACAACAATGTCGAGCTTCATCAAACCATGTCGACCTTCAACACAACAATGTCGACCTTCATCAAACCATGTCGACCTTCAACACAACAATGTCGACCTTCAACGCAACAATGTCGACCTTCAACACAACAATGTCGACCTTCATCACACCATGTCGACCTTCATCACACCATGTCGACACTCATTACATAATGTCGACCTTCAACACACCATTTCGAAACTCAACACATGTCGATCATCATTACACCACGTCGACCTTCATAACAAACATGTCGAACCTCAACACAGCATGTTTAAACTAGTGTCAGCTGCCCAAAGACATAAGACCGGCAGAAAGCACTGAAGACCTGGATCTGACCCGGAATACCCACACAGTAACATGAAATGAATGCATTAGATTAGTTTAACACATCTCACCGAGGCAAGTGAGTTAACTGACTATAAAAGTCCAGTTTCCACCCTGGCCGAACTAGGCTGGTATTATGGAGTTACATTTTGGCTGGACTAACGAATCTATGCATAGTCCAATCAAAATTGTGCACCGAAATCGAAATCCGGTTCGTAGAGTGTCATGCAGATTTCGGTCGACTGCAGGATTTGCAAAGCATGTGCACCGCTAACTCGTTGTCAACAGATATTTTCTCAATCTTCTCATGTTTTTAATCAAGGTTCTCACATGATTTTGATGCACTTCGCGATGTAAGACTCGTTTTATCACAATATAGATCTTGATTATCGATCAGATCGTCTTGACTGGGCGCCACCGTTTTGTTTGAAACAAATGCAAGTGATACGAGTGGTTGAATCTGATTGGTCAATAGGAGAGGCATAGAAAAGACATATCTCGTAATAGCCACTGGTGGCGCTACGATCGAGCCCAGGAATTCCAGCCTAGTTCGGCAAGGGTGGAAACTGGACTTCAAAAGTCAGTTAACTCTCTTGCATCGGGAAGATGAGTTTAACACCGATTTTAACAGTATTTCAGTTATATCACAGTGTGCCTTAATGTGGGAGGAAAGCCGGAAGTGATGCAGATCTTAGACATTTATTCTGCTGAAAAAAACAAGAAACATAATCGGGGCGAATCTGGGGTTCGAACCCACGATCACAGATTTCTGGCACGCCTAAGAGAAGCAACTCTTCGCAGCGAACTACAGCGTCTTATATGACTGGGCCACTGTTCCCCCGGCGGAACATGAAAAAGGTCCAGTCTACAGCAGATCATCTTACCGAGGCAAGCGAATCAACTGACTGTAAAAGTCCACTTTCCGGGGCTTTTGCAGTCAGTTAACTCCCTCTCCTCGGGAAGATGACCGCAGATCTACTCACCGAGATGCTCCAGCAGTAGCAACGTTTCGGAGTCCCCCAGTCCCCGGCTGTTGTGGGGTTCCTGCAGGAAGGTGTGTAGACTCTCCTCACACAGTTCCAACACCAGCAGCGTCCTCCCCGTAAACGCCTGGAACATGAGACGAACATTTAGACCCAGAAATAACGTTGTCTCATTTCAAAATATATAAATTTATCTCCAAAAACAACAAACTCCAAATGGAGCTCAAAACAATGCTTTATTTCAGCTGAAGCAATCTAGACTTGCCAAATCATTCTAGACTTGAGCTGGATTTCTTTCTTACTATATTCTCCAGGGTCTGGGAGGCAGACTACTTGAACATGTACCATCACTGTTAGGTATTTGATATTCTGGCGCGGAAATGTTTTGAAACAAGTAGATAAGTCATCGATATATTCCGCAATTGCAAATAATTGTTGTGGATAAATATATTAAACTTCCCAAAGTATCTCAAGGGACCAGTTCACTACTAGAACTATCTATATGCCAAGTTTGGTTAAGAAAATATAAATGCACTGTTTTCAAGATCTGCTCCGGAAAGGAGGACTTCCCCCATTTTCATTCAATGTAAAAGTTGTTGCTATAGAAAATCAGTTATTGTTTTTAAATCCCCAAAAATCAAAAGGCACCAGTTCACCACAATACCAACCAATGTAGCAAATTTGATTCGTGAAGAAAACGTGTACGGTTTTCAATATCTGCTCCGGAAACGAGCAGTTTTCAGTCTAAGTCAAAGTTGTTGCCATGGAAGTATTGGAAACGCGAAAAATGTTTTGGTAAAAAAAATCAAACTATCAAAAGACATCAGTCCGCTAGAAAACACAATGCTGTGATAATCCGAACTATTCTGATAATAACCCTTTACTCCAAACACTCACATTTACGTGAGAGCGTGTACGAGTCCCGACTGATGCCAGTTTTATAGTGCTTACTCGATTATATAGCTGGAGTACTGCTGTGTGCGGCGTTAAACAACAAACAAACAATCATATCTCGGTATGAGTCTAACCCACACGACGCTAGAAATAGACGCCTCAACAAATTTCGCTCATGGGAGAGGAGGCGTTCTGTGGAAAGTCACGAACCACTTTGATGAAATCAACGGGCATGGATATGAGGCCGACAAACCAAGAAACATAAAAAATCTAGGATTCGAACCCACGATTATAGGTTTCTGCGAACCTAAGGAACGCAACTCTGCACAGCGAACTGTCCTGAAGACTGACACCCAAAGAATGGCAATAATGATCGGATCGCATCACAGAGCAGGACCTTGTGCCTCAAGGTTATCGATACCATGGGAACTCACCTCTTCCTCTTCGCCAAAGAATTTGATGATGTTGTGGTGGTTAAGTTGTTGCAGTGCAGATACCTCGCGTCGGCGTTCTTCAGAGCGTGCCCACTGTGCGTCTTTAAATATTTTCAAAGCGTGTTGTTCCCCTGTACCCTGCCATCAGCAGAACATTTTATGTTATTAATATCCCTGCTATTGAGTTGACTCAGACAGAACAGTATTGGAGCACAGATCACCCGATTCACATTTTGTAACGACCCAATTCACATTGCAGTCGACTCTTTAAGTCCTGGAGACGCATTCTGCCCGAAATCGCCACAGACTGTTCACTGTTCACTGTTCCATTGGCTTGTTGTTTTACGCCGCACTCAGCAATATTCCAGCTATATGACGGCGGTCTGTAAATAATCGAGACTGGATCAGACAATTCAGTGATTGACATCATGAGCATCGATCCACGCAAATGGGATCGATGACATGCTTCAACCAAGTCAGCGAGCTTGACCACCCGATCCCTTTAGTCGCCTTTTACGACAAGCATAGTCGCCTTTTACGGCAAGCATGGCTTGCTGAAGACCACTACCTCGGATCTTCACGGGTCTATCACTGTTCCATGTTAACTAAAAGTCCTGTCTAAAGTAAAATGAGGAGTAACAGAAACAATGCCTCTTGATTTTTCATTATATGTTTGATTTTTAAATGAGTATGTCTCAAGTTAGCGATATTATATCCAAAAGGTTAAATACATTGCCGCTTAGTTAGCAATCTAAGAATACTTCTACGTGGTTTTAGTTTTTAAAATATAATTTGGTTTCAAACTTTTAGAAATTCAAAAAAAATTATTCGCATAATACAGAGCTGGTAGGTACCTAAGACAGTATCTTTGAAAATAAATAAAAAATGCCTATTCAGCACACATTTACAACATCTCATACATGGCAGAGGCCATGTGGTTGCAAGTTCATTTCTTACCCGAGTCTTCATTCGATCTCATTAAAATCAGATCTTAGTTCTCGCTACCGCTAAACAAAGCTTTGTTCAGCGGTAGCGAGAACTAAGATCTGATTCTAATGAGATTAAGTCTTCATTGAACCAATGTGTTTTACACAAAAGTATCCAGCCTCATATTACTTTTTACAAACGGCTCAGGAATGAGTGATGGATAGACATAAACAGTTCTTTCAATTTCAATTATAAAAAAAAACAAAAAAAACTGTACTTTCTTTTGCCCCCCAGTTCATCTTGTGCTGAATCAGCTGTTCTTCAACTCGATAGTGTATATAGCTAAAGGCATTCTCCACTATGTCAAATTCGCATGTGCGACATGCCCATACGCCTCATAGACCCCTAAGATCCGGGTTAGAATAGGTCTTCAGCAACCCATGCTTGTCTTAAGAGGCGACTATGCTTATCGTAAGAGACAACTAACGGGATCGATTGGTCAGGCTCGCTGACTTGATTGATGCATGTCAACCTATCCCAATTGTGTGGATCCGTACTCATGATATCAATCACTGGATTGTTTGGTCCGGACCGCCGTCATATAGCTGGAATATTGCTGAGTCCCCTTAGTAAGACATGATGCTATTAAGTTTAAATAGATTCTTGCACACTTGTAATCTAGAGTGTATATCACATTATATCATATTTTAGATATAAAAATGAAGTGAGATTCAAATAAACTAGATGTCTGTCTGTCTATATTAGAATTACAAATGTTGTCTCGATATATTGCTAATATTTTGAAAACCATGAACTAACATTATTATACAACAGCTGCTGTTCGTTATCTGTCCGTGCCATCCTCAAATTAAATTGGTATTATTGGTACGTTTCATATATAATTGGATTACCTGAAGCGGAAATAAAGTTTACTTGAGGTGAGTCGAAACCAATTGATATTAAAATTAGTCAATGCTGGAAATCAGTCTGGGGTCAAGTCTACATGACAATGAGACTTTTGATCTTTCGTATTCCAATAAGCACACCTTTATATAAGCTAGGATGAGAGAAAACTAGTAAACATGGAGAGTATCTAACGAAATCCGCCGGTTCCAAAGTATACAATTTCCATATCTTTTAGTAGGACTGGGACTGGTATCTCGGGTACTCTGGTCTTCACGTGCTTCTCAAACTTTTCGTTCTACGACTAATGTGGGATGAATAACTCCAGTATACTATATTCAGAGCTCCAGATAAGCTTTTGGTGTTGTGGGTTTTTTACCCATGCATTTTAAAATCATTTGGTATCAGTAATTCCACCTTGGTATTCAAATTTCTGTTACCCACTAGTTTTTACACATGTGGGTATTTAAGTAAAATATTTAAAAACACTATTCATCAAGTCCCTGCAAACTGGTGTCGTGTGGTTTCGAGAGCTTTATAGGACTCAAAAATACCACGATACTTCCATAAGAAAGTGTGATGGCAAATGATCATGATGTAACTGTCATCGTGGAGTTTGGCAAGGTTGACGGAATGTCCGGTTATAATTTCAAAATAAGTTGCTGATTTGCTAATCGAATAAGCAGGGTTACTTCACAATATTTTGATGACACGCACAAGTTTTATCTTTGTAGCGTATCTGTAATGTTCGTTGCGTATTTGATACGCTTGGATTTTATTTTACTGCGTATTTCTGCATTTCTGGTGCGTATTTTACGCAGATACACAGCTTATCTGGAGCTCTGTCAATTACATGTAAAACATTAAGGAAGCATGGGAATTACCTTTTGTAATCCAATATAGACATCGCAGGACGACCCTGTTCCAAGCAGATCTTTTTTCGTATAAATGTGGGTTGTTGTTTTTTTTTCGCCTTCTCCGTCAGACGCCGGATGAAACATCACCTAGCATTTCCAAAGCCTTGAAGTCAACTTCTGAAAAATATATATAGAACAGGATACTTTTAAATGGCAATTATTTTCCCGTGGAGATCGACATCCGGCTCGTTCGACCAGGTGGTTTCCCTGCCAAGTTTGGCTGCTGCTTTTTTTAACGATCTGCGGGTTTTTAGAGACGTGTGACGTGGCAAAAACACACCAAAACAGGATCCGTTTAATAAAGCGCAACCACTGGTATTGACACTTCGCTTTAATGGAAATACCCCAGCATTACTTTCAACTCCCATGTTCATGGAACTATTCGGGTTCCACTGTGCCAGAACTGCTCAATGCCAGAGACAGCGAATTTTGCCGAAGAGCAGCTGCCACAAGCGGGGCTTATTCTAAACATATATAGTCTGAGATTGGGTGACAGTTGACGTCATGGCAATATTGTGCACAATTAAGCATGGATATACGTTCTGATTTTGTAGCAAATATTGAAGCGTATGCTTCCTGGTCAAGACTCGATTATTTACAGACCGCCGTCATATAGCTGGAATATTGCTGAGTGCGGCGTAAAACAACAAACCAAAAAAAAAGCAAATCCTGTATTTGTGACCCCTGTGGTGATTCCGGGTTACAACTGATCACAGGAAACCGATGTTGGCCGTAAGAGGCTAATTAATGGATCGGTAGTAGGGCTCGGAGACTAGGTTGATAGCGTGTCATCGTACCCCTGCGACAAGGGGCGTGGCTCATAATATCAATCACTGGTTTGTGTGGTCCATACTCGATTATGTACACGACGCCCTCATCCAGCTAGAATATTGCTGAGTGCGACGTAATACACAAAGTAATATTGCTTTATGTGTACATGTATCAAAATGAAATATGATATCGCGTTAATAGTGAGTGAGTATGTTTTTACGCCGCTTTTAGCAATATTCCAGCAATATCACGGCGGGGACACCAGAAATGGGCTTCACACATTGTACCCAAGGTGTTCGGCGTGACGGGCAAATTTCATCCATTCCCCTAATGGAATCCGTCCTGAAAATGTCCAATAAGTATTCATTAAAATCACAAGGCTACCCGACCGCCCCTCGCGTGAATAGCATTGGTCAGGCAAATTTCATCCATTTCCGTAATGGAATCCGTAATCTGAATATGTCCAATAAGTATTCATTAAAATCGATAAATGATCAGTTTATTCAGAATAGTAAATAAATAAATTTGTCAAAATATCTTTTTCGTTTAAGAAAAAAACGTAGACTTGTTGATTATGTTTCAATGTATTACACTACATATTAATAGACTCTAGGTTAATTTAGAGATATAAGACGGAAAGACACAAGATATTGATGCAAAGCAATCTGATGATAAGGCATTAGCGTAGAGTTATTTTTCCACAGCACGATGTAACTGGTCGGCATAGAAACCGTTATCAGAATCGGAAATCGGCACCTTCGACGTCAACCACGTGTTCCATAGACACTCAAGGAACAAAGCAAACAAAAAACCAAATCCTGTATTTATGACCCCTGTGACCGGTTCATATATAACTCACTTACGTGTGTCGGACTCTACGATACCTCATATCATCATATCCGAGTTATCGTTCACGTTCAAGTAATCGCACTGAGCATACGATCTCTCTACGCTGGAAGGCATTCAAATATTCCCCCATGCGAAATTCTACCTTGGCGATCATTTGTGAAAAGTGGAGATCCACCCTTTCTTGGAATAACTGTGACGTTCAAGCTGACTTTCTTCCTGGAATAACTGTGACTTTCAAGCTGACTTTCTTCCTGGTAACAGTTTACAAAGTCCACATTCCCACGAAAAGAGCGATGTATGGACAAGAACATTGATGGGACACCAAGAGATGGGACACCAAGAAATGGACATCACATATTTTATCTATGTTAAAATCGAACCCGGGTCCTCGGCGTGACGAGCGAATGCTTTAACCACTAGGCTACCCCCTTGAATGACTTCACACGTGCAGGAGGTCATAATAATATAACACTGGCATATGAAATACTAGTTGAATTATAAGCCAGCGATATTTGATGCAGAGTTTGAGTGTAGAAACGCATATGCAAATAATAATAATAATAGTAATAATAATAATAATAATAATGATAATAATAATAATGATAATAATTTGTAGAGCGCCTTCTCCAGTGAGCCGGATTACTGATCAAAGGCGAACGAACAGCTCTGATCTGTGGTTCAAAGGTCTGAAGAAGTGAGCCTGTACCTGAATGACGTGTCTTTAATGAAGGGTATGTCGCTTTCTCTGAAGAAGTCATTGACCTACCATGATCGGCACCTCAAGGCCATAAGTATGTCACGTAGAAACACCTCTTTAGCCGCTACTTTGTCTAGTAACAAAGAGAGCATGCCACGGCCCGAAACGAAAGATACATTCTACTTTAATTCCGCGAAAGGGCCTGCCCCGCTGTTCCAGGAAATAGCAACCTTCAGTTGCCAATCAGCAGTTCAGCGAGTTTAGCGCGCTCTTTAACCGAAGCACTCCATTAAGCCGTCAACACGATGATCCATCAGCGTTTCTCTGACTAAATACACACTTGTGAAAATATATGTGTGGACACTGGTTTGGTTTACTGTAATCTCAGCAAACAGCTCTTAACATTTTTATAGTCCGGCGATAGGCCTGGGCTTGGAGGTATCTCAAATAGCCAAACATTACATTACATTTCCTCGTCACCTGTGGCATAAGTGTAGGCTCGATTCTATGGAGAGTGCATAGGTGGTTTAGTGGTGTACAGGGTCGCAACACGAATGATAGATCATTCGAATCCAAGCGTCGACCTTTAGAAAACCCCACTTTTTTTTCTGTCTGTCAGTATCATCATCATGTACATGGGTTTCACATTCGGCCTTTTAAACGTTAAATCCAACTCCGTGATTCCAGAAAACACTTCCTCACTGGATTGTCTGGTCCAGACTTGATTATTTACAGCCCACCGTCATAAGGCTGTAACATTGCTGAGTGGCGTAAAACAACAAACAAACAAACAAACAGTAGTTGTTTAAAGGGCAAGTTCACACGGAAATTAACCTATTTTTCTTGTACTTTTTCCACATTAAAAGTGTTAACCTAGAAGTGTCATAGACAAAAATATAAAAATATCACAATTAATTAACATATTTTTCGCATTAAAACGATTTATATTTTTCACATTTACCAAGTGTTCTATTTCCACAACAAAAACACAATGGCTTATGCCCCTTGCAATATGACGTCATTGGTGCCAATTGATAAACATTATGACGTCATCATGCTTTGTTAGAGCCGCTTCACGTGGTGTAGGTCTAGATGTGTGATTCTAGCGTCTCAGATGCCAGCCAGCATAGTGTTATGCTGAGTCACCACTGCGTCGGAGTGTGTCGTAGACCATGTTGTTTTACCGCAAACTGGTACTTGATATCTTTTGCGTTGAGAATAGACAGGGACCCAGTTGAATTGGCACCAATTACGTCATAATCTAAGGGGGATAACTCAGGCCTGTTTAGCTCGAAAAACGAAGGCCTCATAACGGCATATCATTTTCACACTATTGTGAGCTTCCTACTTTCACTGTGAAAAAAATGAGTGTATATTTTCAAACACAGATACTAATTAATTCTAAAATTGCGTTTTGTTTAGAAAAAGAAAGAAAGTGATTTTTGCGTGTACACTTCCCCTTTAATAAGGGCTTGTTGAATGAGACGGATTAAACATCAAGCACAAAACAAAATGAATGTTATGATGATGGAGCACAACAAATCTGAAGCTGTGATTATAAGGAAATTGCATGCTTTTCACTGTCAAACACCCCTCTCTGTATAAATGTAACCGGAGTGGTTTATGTGAATGAATCACTAAACGCAGGTTGATTTGTGGATGCCAGTTGTTTTAATACAGAAATAAAACGGCCACCATATAAATGTCCTCACCAGGTGTATGGCACTGTGCCTTATGATGTCACAACATCAGACATTTGCTGGTGGGGACACACCTGTGACAATTGACTCAATTCTATCTGCGATGAACCGACAACTTGTCTCCATACATATTCAACTACAAGTGTGAATTTAAACTGACCAGACCCATAATGCACCCTGTCACTGAAAGTAAGGGGCTGGGGCTAAACAATAGAGACCAGAGAAACAATAGAGAAGGCAAGCGCATGGGTGACTGTGCTATTGTATTAGTGAAGCAGGTTAGATTGAAGGGTAGACTAAAACTTAGGTATTAAAATAAGAGGTGACCTTAAAATACACTTGATGATATATACATAATTACATACTACTACATAAATACTATATATAGATGAGCGTTTGGTAGTAAAAACATCTGATTAAAATAATGAAAATTGTAAGTCTTTGTAACATCGACAGTGATGTTTGATAGTTAAAAAGGCATAGATTTTCATTATTTAAGCAAAATGTCATATTCCCGTGATAGAGAGGGATTCAGTAGCAATAGTTAATTATTCGGGGCGACATCCTCTTCTTGACTTTGGAGTAGCCTCCCCTGTTCGAAGCAGACGACCAAATCTACAGAAAGTCCAAATATCTACACGTTTTGCCATACGTACGGTTTTCTGATGTTGCAGTAAGGCTAAAAGCATATGGTAGACAGAATATGATCCAACATTATATCATCTTATTCAGTTAAGTTTACTGAGGCTAACATTGAGGTCAAAGTATGATGTGAGAATATCAATTACGTGCATCGTAATCTCTAAATATATGTACAATGTATATCTATAAGTCAACGTCATGACTGACTTTGATGAAATAGTCGAGGCACCAGTAGAAGTCTCATAACCAGTTTGATGTATAAATAATCAATATATTACGTTTTACACACTGTCATATACGATAGTGTTTTTACTCAAGTTCATTGCATAGCATCATGTTTGTGTTTTCCTATCAATAGTATGCATTTTCCAGAATCCAGCCAATAGCATCGGTGATAATATACAACTGTATCACATAAAATTGACTGGTACATAGTTTTAAGTACTAACGCCACACAAACATCACCACATGTGTTACAAACACACGTTCCTCCATTAGTCACGTAACGTGAGGTTTCAAACATAACTAAAACTGAAACAGTTTCAGAGTACGAAATACACATACCTGCTGGCTGTCCGACCATTTCAGTTCGCTGACGAGAGACCTGGATTTCATCATGAGTGAGAATAGATTCAGAGTCTGTAATAGAAATGATACACATTGGTTTCCCCTTAGTAAGCTTAAGGGGGGGACAATTATTTTTAGCGTCACAAAACATACACCAAGTTGGGATATTACTTAAAAACATTACCGGTACACATTTTCAAAATGACCAACAAAATATTAATATTAAGCCTTTAATATATTGATTCAATACATTTTAAAATAACCCAAACAAGACAAAATATGTAAATAAAAGGTCAGTCGTCAGTTCTATTCTAGTTTCCTAAATACGTCGCAGATTTCTTTCATTATTAAGCATTTAGAAAATAAACATTCGTCATAATAATATCAAGACATCTATACAAACACATAATACACAAACATCCCCGTTGAAAACTTTTGTTGGTTTAAACGTACAATTCAAACGTGTGAGATGTAATTGTATTATTTCCCACCAACCAGCGCAGTGGTCTATTTATAGACCAACTTTTTGCTACGTCATTCCCGTTTATAATAGCCATGTGTAAATATGTATGTGAAGCTTTCAAATCCGTTTGCGAAAAGTATCGGAGGGGGTTTGAACGTTTATATGCAACTGCTACAGTAAACGGTTTGCTTACTTCCGGGTTTGTTGAGATTTGATTGCAGCAGAGATCATATAATCTATTTTATGGTCTCTAATTGAAGCTGTTAAAGTGAAGTGATTTGATGTCTGTCTGTGAATGGGGTCCATATTAGATACGGTATTACCATTGCAACCTTACTATCGATTCTGTGTCCACGTTGCAGGGGAATAACCTTCTTATTTCACTGAAGAAAATACCAAATCCTTTGATTTTACTGTGTATGAGCAGAATATCTACCAAACGGTATCCTCATATATAGCCAGCTGATATCTGAATTGATATGATGATATAGGCAAGAGACAGGGTCACCGCTTGCTCGACTTGCATATCGGACAAAGTCTATATTCAGTTAATACACCACGTATCCTCTAACAGAACACAGGGTCACGCTATCTTAATGTAGATTGCGCTTGCATTACCTGTATACGTGGTATAGAAAGGCTTATCAATAAACGTATCACACTATCTGAGCATGCATATGGTAGGGGCTCCCTGAACTGATTCATTATCAACAATCATTAACATTTTGTGGCTCTGTTTCTCAGAATAACATCCTTACGCTGAACGAATACAACGTTAGTATGTTTTGTAAAATGCATAATGCCATTCAACGTTCGTAGAAAAAAACAACAAAGGCTCTTTCTTAACTAGGTCACTCGATCCTTTCCCGGGCAATATGATCAGCTTCTTTGTGCAGTGTGTATCGGTTGTCAAACAGTAATTGGTGCATATATTTATGTATCAGATATATTAGCGTCAAATGCACCGATACAAATGGACCGGATATTGCCAAATTGTGTGAGTTTGGCATTGAACGTGAGAGGCAGATACTTACTTGAGTGGCCGTGATCAAGGAAGTTGTATGTATGAGGTGGATCTATTTTTAGATGTGGAATTTCCAAGTGGATTCTCCTGAAAAAGGCCACCCTGTACTGTCGCTTACACACCATTAACATGTTTGGGTTGTTAAGTGGAGTATCTCACTTTGGTCAGTCAGTCAGTCAGACATGGTCGTTTTATTGAATCTCATCTAGTCCTGTCGCATCTGCCACACTCAGTGTAACCTACTTTCGTTTTGCATGTATATAGTTCATAACCCCCAGCCACCATATTTGCCACACTATTAGGTGTATCAAGTGACCATCCTATTCTCAATATTAATATTAATGCTGTCATTATTCTGTAGATGGACGCAATGTGTATGAAAAGGATACATGTTTCGGCTCGCAAAACACAAATGTCAAAAGTAAACCTACATGTCAGTATGTGTCAAATTCACAAACAGTTCACGACAGTAAAACCACCAAGAAGGAAATGTAGGTTGTTCGCGTCATCAGGATATTGAACGCAGTTTCCAGGTGTTTGTGACGAAGGAACATTTCAGGTATCTACACGCCAGGGGTGTTCAACTATTAAAAAAAATTAAATATAATTATGCTGCATTAAAAACTTCATTTTACGGCTGGGAGACTAGTTGCAGCACGACTGTGTAGGCAGTTGTATCTCATTTGTTACATGTCTCATATGCTATCTTGCTATATGAAACTCAAGACAGATAATCTCTGCAACGTCATGTAGCCAAATATGGGTGTTGTAGACACATTTTAAATTCTCATGATTTTATCTTCTTTTGCAAAAAAAATTTGAACATTATGAAATAGCTCCTTAGCTGCACATTTCGAACATTTTAATAAAAAGGAAAACAAAATGGTATTCCGTAGAAGTAGATATCTAAAACGACTTGTGAAGATCCGGGTTAGAATTGGTCTTCAGCTAGCTGAGTTTAGTTTAGTGTGGCCTGTTTGTAATTTGGTTATTGCCCGGTCGACTTTTTTGGTTTTACGATTGATTTGGGTTTTTTAGTGGCTTTTGTAGCAGGTGTTCGAGTTTGCTCAGTTGCATCTGGAATGAACCATTTTATACCCACATTGGCCGTTACTTGTCATGTAGTGCACGTGCATGGGTTGAACCACTGGTTGCGTTCAGGCGTGGGTTGTGGGTAGCTTTTTCCATCATGTTCAATATTGCCCTTTGTATTGTTTTCTATTGTCGTCTATTTTTTTTAAGTTTCACAAAAGCATCCAATCAGTGTGACATAGGCAAAAACAACATGATCTTCACCCAGGCCTATTGACGCTTGTTAGCATATGTATATGTTTGACCCAACAAACCTAGGTGACCCTTCAATAATGACGCTGAGTATATATTGGTAATCTCCATGATCTAGTGGATAGAACGACTGCCCAGAGAGAGCTAGGAAGGTCGATGGTTCGATCCCCTTATACGTTATACCAAAAGACGTAAAAAGATGGTACTTGCCCTGCCTGGAGCTCGGCATTAATGGGATTGGCTGGCCGGCTCTAAGTCTCGACAAGACACACACGCACACACGCACGTCGCTTTACCTTCTTTTAGCGCAATAAATTTGAACGACACGTTACACCCCATTTCACTTCACCATTTTAGTTTCACAGGAGTAACTGGTTCGGGCCTCAAAGCAAAGGATGTCATAGCTTAATATTAAGAGTATTTCCATCTGTGTCTAGAAATGCAAGATGTAAATGTCAACATTAAATGTAGTCAACATAACTTTGGAATAATCCGGTAAAAACCATTTTTTTTATATACATTTACCATTAAAAGCATTAAATAATTTAACTCAAGTGCTGAATAATTTTAGATCTTAAAATGTAAAAGTTATATCTTTGGTGTTTCTCTTTGTAAATATACAGGTTTCCACAACAAGCTTATGTTCTGTTCTTTCTGTAGAAAATAGGCTCACGCCATCAAGAGGTGGGGGATTATACTTGCATTCATGATTCAGCCATGCCCTGTGGCTTGCTGACTTGGTTGATGCATATCATCGTATCCCAATTGCGTGGATTCTATGCTCATGATATCATTCACTGGATTGTCTGGTCCAGACATGATTATTTACAAACCGCCATCATATACCTGGAATATTGCTGAGTGCAGCGTTAGACAACATCAAACAAAACAGATCTCCTACCCAGAGTTCCATGGGGCCAGCCTGTGTCAGTGGTGTAATGCTGCGCCAACGGGATCGGTTGGTCAGACTCGCTGACTTCGTTGATGCATGCCATCGCATCCCAATTGCATAGATCGATGCTCATGATGTCAATCACTGCATTTTCTGGTTACATACCTTCATATGGGTGAATGCGGGGTTAAACAACAAACAAACAAACAATCTCATGTTTGATTTTTTTCCCTCAAGTCTAGAAAAGAGGTTATGCCAGCGCCCTTTCTTGCGCCACTAGTTTGAAGCCAAGCTAGATTTAAGCTGGGCCTCGTCTCTCATATCACAATATAAGCTTGGCGAAAGTTGACGATGCACACAAGGGGAGCAATGGTCTCCAAAGCATTGTGATGCAATTTCATCTCCTAGGAGAGATTGTTTGATGTCACCCATGCCAGCCTGAGCTAAATTGAATACATAGAGGATATTTGTATTCTCATTTCAGAGGAAAGTTTAACTCTCTGTGTGACCTGACTTAGTCAAGCGGTGCAGCTATATTCATATCTTGTTTTTTGTTTTTTTATCAATTATGTAATATCACATATAACTTTTACTAGAAGGTGAGTGAGTGGGGTTTTACGCCGCTTTTAGCAATATTCCAGCAATATCACAGCGGGGGACACCAGAAATGGGCTTCACACATTGTACCTATGTCGGGAATCGAACCCGGGTCTTCGGCGTGACGAGCGAACGCTTTAACCACTAGGCTACCCGACCGCACCATTACTAGAAGGTAATGAGACATTTGACTGTGTGTTCTATATGTTAAATGATTACATATGGAAATTCGTTTTAAGAGGTACCAAGTTATGAAATAGCAGTATCCTTTCCTCAACATACACACAAATTTTCTGCAGTCCAGTATATTCCAGTGCATGCACTCTGACAGTGTGCCTCCAGTTCTTTGCATCCAGTTAATAATTTGTATACATGTAGGACACCCAGTAATCCCTTTATATGCACGACTCTCTGTTGAATTTACCTGTAGAAAATGAATACAAACTAAGTGGGTGAGGGTATTGAGACACCCAAGTCACATGCCGGAATATCACCCGGTATATACAAATAAACAAGTTCAATAACAACAGTAAACACTTTATGTGCAAAAACCAATATAAAAATAACATTCTGGCTTCAGGATGTATATATGAAACATTCAAACAAGACAACATATATTAATTTCTCAGACATTCTCTTCATTTTCACAATTTTCCATGATTAAATGTGTTCTTACTAATATGCGTGAGTCAGTTTCTAATGAATGTATACCCCAGGAAAGAAGTTTAAGAACACATTCTTTTCATATGACTATAGTTAATTGTGGCATGACAGATTCACCATTTTTTGAGTAGCGTAAAAAAGGATTCAAGTTTGTGTGGTTTTGCACCAAAGGCTAGAACATCCTTTTCCCGAGTGCAGTTTCCTAATTTTTGGCTAAAATGATGTTCAGTGTTCCCCAAGCTGTGTTCCTCATCCCCTCAAGTGGATGTACAAGTACCATCAGCTGCAAACAGGAGCTTATCATTCACCTGGAAAAGCTACATGGGATAGTTATCATGATATAACATTTATACTAAGTTATCCTATAATAATTAGATCCACATCAAGTGCTTATATGAGTTATCATGGTGTAATATTTATACATCATTTTCCTATAATAATTAGATCCAAACCAAGTGCTTTTATGAGTTATCATGGTGTAATATTTATACATCATTTCATGTAATTATAGTTTAGCAAGTCATACTTATCATCAGGTAAAATGCACATATAAAATATCAGTAGTTTTAGTTATAGCTTTTTAGATAGATGCTAGCCTAAGGTAACGCGAGCGCATCTCCTAGACATACTATTCAATAAGACAAGAGTTATGTCTTCATAGTTTAATAGATTTTGAAGCTTTTAGATAAATGCTAGTCTAAGGTATCAAGATCCCATCTCCCAGACAAAAGATATGTCTACATAGTCTTATAGATTACCTTGAACTATTTTATTTAAGTAATATGGAAAATTTATTATGGAGTTTATGGAAAATGCTGGAAAGAAAATCTGTCCTCGGAAATAAGAAAGGTCTGTTAAGAACTACATCAGTAAGTCAGTCACAACGACAGCGCCTTGTAATACATTTACAACAAGGACAAGACGTCAAAATGGCTGACACGACAATCGCGATGGGAGAGATTTCCGTAGTTGTTAATAAACCTGTGGCATTTACAAGTGTTACTCATCACTGATCAATTGGCCGATCATTGAATGGTCATTGTAAAGATGTGTGCAATAGATTCAAAGACTGCTGACTGTCCCTGTAGTCTAGACACGGATCGTTTCGATCCTACGGTACTTTGGATGTGCTTTTCTTTGATTTGTTCTCTGGGATTGGTTGAAGCGAGGATATCCTTGAACGGGCATGCAATCAAACTCTCTGACTTATCCCAATGTATGCGAAAAAGGTAATGTCCTAAATGATGAGAAACAACGCTTCTGTATTTATTCATGCTAGAGAATCCCCAGGAATGTGGAAGTATTTCGTCAGTGTTTATGTCATTTCAAGAAGTCTCGTGAAAAACATATGAATGTCAAAATGTGTCATTCATACACTTATGAACTTCAGTTTCGCGGTCATGTGACCGACATCTTGTCCAATGGAAAAGCTGTATATCATTGTAAACTTCATACTAAAATATTATTTAAGAATTGACCTTTACTTTGTGTGAGTTCATTGGAGTATGAACCTTCACAGAGTGAGGGCCAAACTGTATGAACGTCGGAGCTTGGTAACACAAGCAGCAAGGTAACAAAATGGTGACCTCCATTGATTTATAGGGGGAGGGGGGATTGCTGGCATGTTGTAGGGAGACTGTATATTTTGTCCACTACAGATGCAAAACAATATATATATATATGTTTATAGCACAAAATAATTTAAAACAATGTAGTTTTTGTGGCAGACAATCAATTATATTTCATCAGCCTTGAAGTGCACTTACTGATCAAAATGAGTTTGTTATTACGTGCCCTGTATTTTCTCTACCTGTTGCTGGATGAATTGATAAATTCAAACCAGTAAACAGACTTCACAGGACACACTGTAATTAATCCCAGGTCATAACCCACCATATCCTCCCCTTACCCTGGTGCAGCATGAGTAGAAATAACTAAAGGTGCTCAGCCCTCATCAGTGATGCGCCCCTACCATGACTGCATTTCACTTGTGCTTTGAAACAATAACAGAACTCAAGAGTGAGTATGGTTTTACGCCGCTTTTAGCAATATTCAAGTAATATCACGGTGAGGGACACCAGAAATGGGCTTCATACATTGTACCCATGTCGGAAATCGAACCCGGGTCTTTGGCGTGACAAACAGAACTCAAGACACCTTTGAGAATTTTTCATATTATAAAAAAACACACCAAAACAAAACGATTCAAAAATAAAACAATCAGAACAGGATTTACTTTTGTAAATATTGTAGCATGGGGTAAATAGGGTTATTGCCATGTATGTTTGTGGCAAGTATTGACAGGTTCATGGCAAATACTGTAACACTGACACTGGTCCAAAATGGAAATCACATCTGCTTAATTATTTCAATAATTCCACATCTATATAACCACAAACAGGTCCCATAGATTAATATATCACACATTCTGCAACACATATTCACACAATCTCACAGCGTTTACAGACTGCCATATCTACATGGAGCTGAAATAATGCTACAGGTTAAAGTTTGTTCATCCTCCAAGTATGTTTAACATCTAGTCTCTGAAATGGAATTTTTTACAGAAAAAAACAGTTGTTACGTTTTCTTAACAAAATATAATAAATATGAGAGTATCAGTGTGATACTGCAGTAATCTAGACTTGCCAAATATTCTAGACTTGCATGGGCTGTATTGAATATATTTGTTTCAGGGTGTGTATGACAGACTAATATCATATTTTAAACACAAAGGATCAGATGTCGTTGAGAAAGTGAGATGGGTGTAATGCTGCAATTGCAAAGTCTGTTGGCAGGGGGACACCGACAGTGTTCACATTGAACCAAAGCGAGCACCCAAACTGGGATCCTCTTCTGGACAAGCAAACACACTGACCACAAGTCTACCATTTGTTCTGTCACTAGAATGTGTCCAGATCTGTCCTGCTGTTTGAGTTGATGGTATGGCTGTGTTCAGTCCCACAGGAACACCATGGCTTTGAAAACAGCTTCTCCACATCCTCCAGACTCTTTCCTTTAGTCTCCGGCAGGAAGATGATGAAGAAGATGAGTGCCAATACTGCAACCCCCATAAACAGCCAATATGTTCCTGAAACAACAGCATGTGTCAGAGATAGAATATAACTGGGTTATAACTAGGATATATCTGGGTTATATCATGCACATGTCATGCAGTCTCCAAGAACAAGGCAGAAAGTGTTTTGTCATTTTTAGGAAGGGACTGACCATATATTCTTGGGTGTTTGGACTTAAAAACAACAACTTTGTTGACGAAACGGGTGGAAACAAATAATTTTGCCTCAGGTTTTCCAACAACAAAATATTACTTTAAGGATTGCAAAATGTGCTGTTGGGCCTCCAAAAATGTTTGGCTCCTTTCAGAGAAATGTTTTTTTTAATTTCTTCATGCAGTCTCCTACAAAAATCTCCTTCCCCTTTATTTCACAACTTTCAAGGCCGCAGCAAAGCTTTCAAAACGTTTTAAGGCAGACATGGGGAGGATATGTCCCCATGTTTTGACTTGCCTTTGCATGTGTTTGTGACAGATGCCACCAGTGGGGTAGGGTATGCTCCGCTTTTAGATTAGACTTTTTAATAGTGATTACACTATTGAATAGTTATTCACAAACACATGCTTATGATATGTAGTCAAAATTGTACAATTGAACACTCTTAGGGGAGATTTCAAAAGATTGTGGAATTGTTTTTTGTCCCTTTTATTCACAAAAGCTGTATTAAACTCAAAGTGACTTGCAGTGAAACACACAAGCACAAGCATAATGCGGACAAACCAAGCATCACACGAATCAGATCCAGGCAAGAATAAGGGAGGTAACTTTGTTCTGCAAATTACTCCACTCTACATGCTCTAAGGCAGACACATAAGATGTTTTTCAGCATCAATACTAAATCATCTCAATATACATGTTTGGTCCCTTTATTCACTACAAATATATTTGATTTCCCCTGTAATTATTATTCTCCTCAAATAGGATGTCAACATGCAATTTTGAATTTACATTATCAATTTCATCCTTGCATCCTTCATATCTGCTGAAAGATTTGTGATAACGCTGCAAAGCTTCAGTTACCACGTAACTGCACACGTCATTACCATATTTGGTCAGCGTCTCAGTCATGGTAAGAAAGGTCATGGACACAAGCAGATTACAAATCCAGTTGGTGGCTGCTGACAAAGAGTTGCCCGTGCTTCGCGCCCAGAGCGGGTAAATCTCAGAGTTGATGGTCCATGGCATAGGACCCATACCTGCAGAAAATAATCATTAGCAAAGCAGAACAAGAGGGGTGTGATCAGACAGAGTGTGTGTCATCTGTGTCAGTCTCTCGTCATCGTTGTCGTCGGTTTGTTGTTTAAAGCCGCACTCAGCAATATTCCAGCTATATGATGGCAGTCTGTAAATAATCAAGTCTTGACCAGACAATCTAGTGACTGACACAATGAGCATCGATCCACGCAATTGGGATACGATGACATGTATCAACCAAGTCAGTGAGCCTGACCACCTGATCCTGTTAGTTGCCTCTTACGACAAGCATAGTCATTTTACTTCAAGCATGGGTAAAGCCATCATGTGTTTTGTTTCCTTCATGACTTACGTTGTGTGTCATGACCTCATCCCCCTTTTGTCAGACACTTGATTATGTGTCATCTGTCAGTCCCTAATCAACTATCATGTGTTTTTTTCCCTTCATGACTTACGTTGTGTCATGACCTCATCCCCCTTTTGTCCAACACTTATGTGTCATCTGTCAGTCCCTAATCAACTATCATGTGGTTTGTTCGCAGTATGAACCCCACGACCAACCCCACACACCACCTTTTTCCGAATATAACAAAACAATACTGATACCACAAACAAGATTGATCTTTCCAAACCAATAGACATCAACCAAAAGTAGAAGAAATATAAAAGATTATTTTCTGAAATGTTGAGGGGCCTTTTACCTAAGATAAGTTCAAGTTTGAATGGTTTTTATTAAGGTTCTAAATCTGCTATTGTAACTTCAATGTCCTTTTGAAACCTTTTTAACCTTTGTTTTAAAGGTCATAGCATGTCATGTAAGAAAAATAGAGAACAAATGGAAATTTCAAATACAATTCTAAATATCTCCAAACAGGGAATTTATCACACATTTCAAATCTTTTATGTTTTGTCACAAGGATGGAATTTGTTTGATATAACAAAACACAAGTAGAACAATTTAGCAAAACTATGCTCAAGAAATTCCACATTCATAACAAGTTCAGAAGGTACATGTATTCCTCATTTTTAAAACTTGGCTGTTTTAAGGGACTGATCATTTATCATGGGGAGGGGGGAGAAAGGATTGGTCTATGGACTGAATCATATTTTGTTTCATGTAACATTTATGATGACCCCTCCCTCCCAATAATAAATGGCAGTCCTTAAATAATGTTAAAATAATAATCTTCTTTATTTGAAAAAAAATAGAATCGTGTCATTCTTTAAGCACCCAGGTCCCACCTTATATTTTGGCGACCCCCCCCCCCCTTCACTGGGTAATTCTTGCCTGGTCCCCTCCCCTCTAATAAATGACCAGTCCCTAATCTCTCCATACCTTCCTTTAAAGATAAAAGTTAATGTCTGAGAAAAGATTACGTTCTTTTAATTCTTTGGAAACAAAAAGATGGATATGCCTAATACCAACCTGGAGCAAAGAACATGAGATACAAGCCTAACCCAAGCGTTGACATCCATGCATAGGACGTGGGACAGAAGTTGTCTGCCCATATATGGCCCTGGGCATCTGTCTCATTACAGGGACCTAAGGCAGCATGTGATGTATCCGAGCTGCTGAAGGTTGGCACACATGACCCTTCGATGGTGTTGTTGTTGCCATAGCTGTAGCAGTAGCCACAACTCATGTCCTCAATACAAGCCTCACACCACCTGGGGATACATAAAAGGAGATACATGATACAAGCCTCACACCACCTGGGGATACATGATACAAGCCTCACACCACCTGGGGATACATGACACAAGCCTCACATCACCTGGGGATACATAACAGGGGATACATGATACAAGCCTCACACCACCTGGGGTTACATGATACAAGCCTCACACCACCTGGAGATACATGATACAAGCCTCACACCACCTGGGGATACATGATACAAGCCTCACACCACCTCGGGATACATAAAAGGAGATACATGATACAAGCCTCACACCACATGGGGATACATGATACAAGCCTCACACCACCTGGGGATACATGATACAAGCCTCACACCACCTGGGGATACATGATACAAGCCTCACACCACCTGGGGATACATGATACAAGCCTCACACCACCTGGAGATACATGATACAAGCCTCACACCACCTGGGGATACATGACACAAGCCTCACATCACCTGGGGATACATAACAGGGGATACATGATACAAGCCTCACACCACCTGGGGTTACATGATACAAGCCTCACACCACCTGGAGATACATGATACAAGCCTCACACCACCTGGGGATACATGATACAAGCCTCACACCACCTCGGGATACATAAAAGGAGATACATGATACAAGCCTCACACCACATGGGGATACATGATACAAGCCTCACACCACCTGGGGATACATGATACAAGCCTCACACCACCTGGGGATACATGATACAAGCCTCACACCACCTGGGGATACATGATACAAGCCTCACACCACCTGGAGATACATGATACAAGCCTCACACCACCTGGGGATACATAAAAGGAGATACATGATACAAGCCTCACACCACCTGGGGATACATGATACAAGCCTCACATCACCTGGGGATACATGATACAAGCCTCACACCACCTGGGGATACATAAAAGGAGAAACATGATACAAGCCTCACACCAGCTGGGGATACATGATACAAGCCTCACACCACCTGGGGATACATAAAAGGAGATACATGATACAAGCCTCATACCACATGGGGATACATGATACAAGCCTCACACCACCTGGGGATACATGATACAAGCCTCACACCACCTGGGGATACATGATACAAGCCTCACACTACCTGAGGATACATGATACAAGCCTCACACCACCTGGAGATACATGATACAAGCCTCACACCACCTGGGGATACATGATACAAGCCTCACACCACCTGGGGATACATGATACAAGCCTCACACCACCTGGGGTTACATGATACAAGCCTCACACCACCTGGGGATACATGGTACAAGCCTCACACAACCTGGGGTTACATGATACAAGCCTCACACCACCTGGGGATACATAAAAGGTTATACATGATACAAGCCTCACACTACCTTGGGATACATGATACAAGCCTCACACCACCTGGGGATACATGACACAAGCCTCAGACCACCTGGGGATACATAACAGGGGATATGTGATACAAGCCTAACACCACCTGGGGATACATGATACAAGCCTCACACCACCTGGGGATACATGATACAAGCCTCACACCACCTGGGGACACATAAAAGGTGATACATGATACAAGCCTCACACCACCTTGGGACACATAAAAGGTGATACATGATACAAGCATCACACCATCTGGGGACACATAAAAGGTGATACATGGTACAAGCCTCACACCATCTGGGGACACATAAAAGGTGATACATGATACAAGCCTCACACCACCTGGGAATACATGATAGAAGCCTCACACCACCTGGGGACACATAAAAGGTGATACATGATACAAGCCTCACACCATCTGGGGACACATAAAAGGTGATACATGATACAAGCCTAACTGCAGCAACTCACCTGAAGGAAGAACATGATGAGTTATCCCCCCTTTCAGTGAAGGTCACACGCGGCGAGTTAAAGGCCGCCAACTGGAATCCAATGGCAAGGAATGCTAGACTTAGGATCACACCTGATGAAAAAAAAAATCAGCTTAGTTATCAACAAAGATGGGAGAAACATTTTAATGAAAACTATTTAAACCAAAGCAATATCAGCGAGTGAGTGAGTGAGTGAGTGAGTGAGTGAGTTGGATGTCATGCAGCTTTGAGTGAGTAAGGATGGTTTTACGCAGCTTTTAGCAATATTCCAGCATTACTGTGGCGGGGGACACTAGAAATGAGCTTCACACATTGTACCATTGTGGGGAATCAAACCCAGGTCTCCAGCGTGACGAGGGAACCCTTTAACCACTCGGCTACCCCACCGCCCCCATGCTGCTTTAAACACTAGTTCAGTTATACCGTGACATGTCAACTTATTGTGGGAAGAAAGCCCATATTGATGCACATGTTCACTATCTTGGTTTAGCACACAAGCTCAGATATGATGCTGGAAAAACAAGAATCCAAATCAGGATGATTCTGGAATTCAATTCCATGACCACAGGAGCCTTGCATACATAAGGGCCACAACTCTGCATGAAGACAAACTCATTGCTTCCGTGTACTGGTAATTACCTGTTTTTGACAGGACAATAGTGGTCTTTGCAATCAAGATTCTTCAATTTGAAATCTTTTAAGTGAGTGAGTGAGTTGGGTTTAACGCCACTTTTAACAGTATTCCAGTTATATCGCGGCGTGTCAGCTTAATGTGGGAGGAAAGCTCGAAGTTATGCAGGTCTCAGACATTTACAACTTCAGTGAGACCCACAAGCACGGGTATGGTGCTGACAAACCTAGAAACATAATCGGGGCGAATTGGGATTCGAACCCACAATCATAGGTCCTTGACGTGCCTAAGGGACACAACTCTGCACAGCGATTCACGGCGCCTTAGACGACTGGTGAAATATTTTAAGACATGCATGTTATCCACAGGGGTGGATCCAGCATTTTTATAAGGAGGGGTCCTAAATATCAAAATCCTCTCTCTACATAATTTTACTGCCTACAACATACTACATTTGGTTTTCAGAAGGGGGGTTCCAGACCCTCTGGACGCCCTCTGGATGGATCCGCCTATGATCCGCACACAAAAAAGAACTTGCTTTGCATGGTCATATCATATATATCATTTTAACCAGCCAATTGAAATAAATTGTTATACTCCCCCTCATGAGGAAAATGTGTGACGCCCATTTGTCACAATGAACATCTTGTGACCACATGCCTAATGGGTTTTGGGGGGTTTGTGGATTACTTTAGAAAAATCCAGGCTGGTAAGTGGGAAAAATATAAATCAAAAAGTGTTTTTTTTAACATATGTTATCTGAATTGTTGCGTTGTTTTCAGCACAAAAAATGAATTTGGTGGAAAAATACAATAGTGTTTTTCAAATTTTTATTTTTTTCCACTTGTCATTTTTTTAGATCATAGGAACCCATGAGCTAATAAAATAAAATGTTCACCTTATCATACCAAATAAGGAGAAGTGAAACAAGGCAACACACACTATCCATAGTATCCTGTATGTAAACTTTAAGCTTCCCCCGAGACAGATGAGGTCATTACCAAAACTGAAAGTTAAACTTCCTGTTGCAAGGACAGCATGTATTTTCAGGCGTACTTTTTTACAAAAGAAAAAGATATAAAAAGATATGATACCATTGATTAAAACAATAACATCATACTCGACTAAAAGAAGGCCAGCTTATGACAGGAAGTATCTCTTTGACTTTCAATTATATTTTAACAGATTGACAATTGTCAATTGCCATATTTAAGAATTGGATGTGAACCTATTGAACAAACTGCGACGTTATCATGGCTAGGAACACACAAACGTGAACTTTCGGCTTCATTGGTCCAGTGGCTGCTGAGAAGATGAGTTTACAAATATGCATCTTAAATTAATTTAAGAGACAGAGCATGTTCAAATTAAAAATTGCAAAAATCAGAACATATACTTTGAATCCCACTACTAACTAAACAAAGTCTTTGATAGAAACTTAGAAGTTGGTACAAACACTATGCATGTACATTTTGTACTCAGCATTCACCTGGTGAAGTAGCGAGGAGTAACTCTGAAACGTTGTGACAAAAAATAAAGAACTAAACATAAGACATTACATTTTGAACAAAATGGCTGAGCTATGACCATAAATAGTTTTTTTCAATATGGCCACCATGGCAGCCATATTGAAAACATGTTTTTCTACCTCTTGAACAAATTATGGTTACAATTTTTGTAGGAAAAAAATGTGAACTTTAACTTCATATGACCACAGGTTTCAAAGGCGGCGTTTACAACAGACGACTCACAGCAGACGTCGGACAAACAAGCCACGGCATACACTCACTTCACTTTCATTTCAATGATTAATGGGTCTGTGAGTACGAACTTTCAAATTTAGTGCAAAGCTCGTTTCCCACATGTAACTGTTCCGGACATGAAAACAAGAAGAGACACAGCACGGAGCAACTGCCGACCTATCAGGCTTCCCAGCAGGAGTTTCTTCCGGCCAATCCTCTCCACCAGCCAAACTCCAATGATGGTGAAGATGAAGTTACATGAAGATGTTGCAGCTGACAGCCATATTGCCTCGTGCTGGTCTGAAATCCCGGACATTTTGATCACAGATGCACTGTAATACCTGAAACAGATACGATAACATAGTCAAGGTTCATACTAGGGCTGGGACGAGTCCAAATTTACTGCCCGGGTACCCAAGCCCCTATTACCCGATCCTACCCGGGTACCCGCTGCAGGTCTCAAGAATTGGGAACACAATGTCTAATTGGAACTGTAGCCCTGGTAAAAACTGTTTAGATACATGTATGCAACCAGAGACCATATAATAGATATATGGTCTCTTATGAAACGATCAAATCATGCATACACTGAAGATGACTGAAGTTTTATTTGTGTGCATCATCATAAAGAAATGGGAACATAAGCGACTTGTAGTGTAACCAGTGAGCTCTAGTGAGTTTTTGTCATTAAGCAATATGTCACATGACTAACCATTGGGCCGGGTAGTATTGTGGATACATGGGTCCTACTCAGGACCCACCCAGCCTGAGTACCCGAGTTACCCGTCCCAGCCCTAGTTCTTACACCATTAGCATGACAACTCTCCACAGTCAAGGTTCATACACCATCAGCGTGACAACTCTCCACAGTCAAGGTTCATACACCATCAGCGTGACAACTCTCCACAGTCAAGGTTCATACACCATCAGCGTGACAACTCTCCACAGTCAAGGTTCATACACCATCAGCATGACAACTCTCCACAGTCAAGGTTCATACACTATTAACATGACAACTCTCCACAGTCAAGGTTCATACACCATTAACATGACAACACTCCACAGTCAAGGTTCATACACTATTAGCATGACAACTCTCCGCAGTCAAGGTTCATACACCATTAACATGACAACACTCCACAGTCAAGGTTCATACACTATTAGCATGACAACTCTCCACAGTCAAGGTTCATACACTATTAGCATGACAACTCTCCGCAGTCAAGGTTCATACACCATTAGCATGACAACTCTCCACAGTCAAGGTTCATACACCATTAGCATGACAACTCTCCACAGTCAAGGTTCATACACCATTAGCATGACAACTCTTCACAGTCAAAGTTCATACAACATTAGCATGACAACTCTCCACAGTCAAGGTTCATACACTATTAGCATGACAACTCTCCACAGTCAAAGTTCATACAACATTAGCATGACAACTCTCATGACTTTTGCAGGGTAGGGTATTATGTAGGGATGTGTATTGGCCATAAAATTGTATTGCAAAATATTGTGATACAGGTATCTGTATTCCGATATGTATTGTGATGTATTGGGAGCTGAAGTGTTTGACAGTGCTTCACACTGATTGTGCATGCAGATCCTATTGCAGTAATGTCAGCATGGTCATTCAAAACCATTTTCAAGTCAAGAACATTGGGGAGAGAAAATCAGCTCTGTGAACCTGCCAATCTCATTAAAATCAGATCTTTGTTCTCTCTATCGCTAAACAAAGATCTGAGGACATCCCATTAAGGGTCACGCCAGAACGACCTTTCCAGATCATGAAAGTGACAGTCGGAATGTGTTTTCTAATCATGCAACCTCGAAATATTTAACATGGGGTATTCCGAACAACAGTTACGGGTTTAATGATTATATCCATACAATCTAGGCCATCTATAAGCCATTCCAGAGTGTTCTTATCAGTTTTAATTTTTTTAATCGAGAATACGTCAAAATATGTTTAGAAGCGTGGTCGCCACTACGAAACTAGTGTTGTAAAGCTCGAGAAAGCTGCCTTCTGATTGGCTAATGTCGATTTCTTGTCAGTCATTTCATTGGTCGGTCAATGTTCGCGAAAGGTCGTTCTGACATGACCCGTAATGAGATGTCCTCAGATCTTTGTTTAGCGGTAGCGAAAACTAAGATCTGATTTTAATGAGATTGGTGTTTCTGCCATTTTGAAAATCAATTTCAAAGGGGAAACACCACTTTTGAATGAATTTCTGTGTAGGTTTTAGATTAAATGATACAGGTAAATGCAACTCGTTTTTATTTTTAACCCAATATACCAGAACACAGAAAAAGTATTGCAATTCGTTTAAACATGTATTGCAGTATACCGGTAACACTGTGCAGTCCTGGTATTAGGCCAGTTTTTCATGATATTGTATCAATAAAAATCACAACAAAATCACAACGTTTTGGAGGCATCAACAAGGAAAACAGCAGACGATTAAGTTTTCTTTACTTCCCTGTCGCTGATTACCACTTGACAAAACTACTGGTATACAAATGTTAGGATGTAATGATACGGAAGGCCATGTAATGAGGTGTATCAGTTGTCAGAGCAACAACATGTGCACAGGAACTGAGTCCATCACAAAAAGTAACAGGGAAGCCAAAATGATCCCAAACACGTTTTTTGTAGGATGAGGTCAGCAGTTCAGAGTAAATGATGTTTACGACAGACGAATAACGCCAGAATAAATGTTTAACAAAACACTGACATGATGGACAGGAGGAAATACAACCTCTGTCAACCACTGTTCATATACATCGTGAAGACGTCCGATTTTCGATCACAAATCACTTAATTTCGTTAATCCCACATACTTGTTAATCCGACACAATCATATGCAACCAACGATGTCGGATTAACGAGACTTGACTGTACATAGTCTGTATTGGCATCCCATGTGACCTTTAAATCAATGATGGTGCCCACATGTTTATACTTGTCTACAACTTCTATTACCTCATTATCATTAACAAGTGGATTAAACGTGACGTATCTTTCCTAAAAATCCATGACCATATCCTTTGTTTTCTTGACATTTAAAAACAGATAATTATCCTTACACCAAGATATAAAATTAGAAATTTCATTTCTGTACTCTTGTTCTGAGAACCTTTTACAAGACCTGCAAGAGCAGCATCATCTGTTTACAGATAAACAATTAACAAAAATGCTAATAAGCTCACTTGACTTTCAATCTGGCAAGCGAAAAAGGAAAAGAGCTGTTTGATATAAATACTTGTTTAACATATTATTATGATGTTTGTATTCTTTTAGTAGAAAGTCACCATATATGTGGACAGTAAGTTAATAAAAGAAACAAGTTTTCTTTACTTCATAATATATTTGACAATTCCTTTCAGAAAAAATATAAGTGCAATAAGGCTAAAAAATATAATAGTCTTGGTACTCAGGAAGCGCCCACATCATCACAAAGTTCGCTTCTCATTTCATTTTTATTTCCATTTTAAATTTTTTTTTTGAATCCTTAAATATTACAAGACCAACAGTAGTCAAAAACTTCATTCCAGTATTTCACTCATCAAGAAAATACATTTATGTAGGGAGGCTTTTACCGATTGATTGTACGCAACTGTTTATTTGGTTTCATACTATACTAGCCACATAAAGAAACAGTGCACGGAGAAAATATATTCTGGACTGAAATACAACACAGCAAGAACAAAATGATGCAGATGCTGTAGCAGCTGAATGATCGGACCATAAGAAAATGTCAACGGGACCTGAACAACATCTGTTACGATGACGTCAGAAGATCAAAATGGAGTAGGGGGTCAAACGACAAAGTCACAAAGTCAATAACGTGTATGACCACCCTGTGCGTGAATCACAGCAGTGCATCGGCGACGCATGGAGTCCACCAAATGGGCATGGAAGGCCTGGGGAATGGCCTGCCATATCCTCCTCAAATCCTGTGCCAAGTCACGGACGTTATCTGGAGGATGTGGAAGCTGACGCAGACAGCGCTCCATTTCATCCCACACATGCTCTATTGGGGAGAGATCTGGAGAATTTGCAGGCCATGGCAGTAACATGACATTGTTATGGTGTAGGAAATCCATTGCGACCCTAGCCGTGTGAGGACGAGCGTTGTCCTGTTGAAATGTCAATCCCGGGCCATGACGTTGCAGGAAAGGAATGACTACAGGCCTCAGAATCTGATCTCTGTAGCCAACACCGGTGGGATTGCCCTGCACAACCACCAAAGGGGTTTGGTGCCGTGCTGTTATCCCACCCCAAATCATCACAGAGCCACCTCCAAAACGATTTCTCTCCACAATACAGTTGCGTGCATAACGTTCTCCCAAACGCCGGTAGACACGTTGGCGCCCATCACTGTGGGAAATGTTGAACCTCGATTCATCTGTAAAGACAACATTTCTCCACCATATTCGAGGTTGGCGAACATGATTTCGACACCATCTTAGACGTTTGACTCGATGACGGTGTGTCAGGATGGGACGTATGGCAGGGCGTCGTGGTCGAATCCCGTACTGACAGTGTTGGGATGGATACGGCGCAGTCCAGGAATTGTCTGGGACTTCGTTACTGCCGTTTGGAACCTGTGTCGGAGATGTGTAACTCGAATCCATCTGTCCTGTCTTGGCGTCGTTACTCGGGGACGTCCTGAACGTGGTTGGTCGGCAACGTCATTTGTGTTCTGATAACGCCTCACCAATGCCGATATCGTGTTACGATGGCATTGGAAATGTGTTGCCACCTGTTGTTGCCTCATTCCCGCTCGGATCATTCCAATGGCTTCATGACGCTGTGCAGCTGTCAATCTTGGCATGATTTGCTTGTGATATGCTTGTGTCTGCGCCTGAGAAGTTTTGGAATTTTTGAATGACCACAGATCATGCTTTCTAAAGTGACAGCGAATTTTGAGTTGCACATGCTGTGTACAGCTGCACAGGATGCACGTGCAGTAACACATTGCACGTCCATAGGCCCCCATCAATGACGTCATATCGCATGGCACGTGCACGAGCGTTTGAATGTCTCCAATAATTGCTGTGTTCAAACCTATATTTCATATATGGACGGTGTGCCCTTATATCTACATTTTCTCCGTGCACAGTTTCTTTATGTGGCTAGTATAGTTTGAACCAGAGATCCCGAAATATTTTTTTGCCATTTGGACATTTGCATTTTGGTCATGCCCGCCTCATATCTGAGGTGCTGGATGTATGAACAAAAAGGATAAACTCAAGTGTCACTTTCATAACATATATAGTGTTCCCACGCTATTCCGCCCTTCAATACCTCGGTTAGGGCGCGGGGTAACAATTGGCTCCCAAAATTTACTTACAAACTTTGAACAACATCCCTCCCAAAACAAACGCCCGCCCGCACTATTTTTTCAAAAGCCATTGCCTGAGAACCAGTTATTTTATCTTTTTAACCTAATCTTGGATGTGACGTTAAACTCCATTTCACCATCACCTCAGAAAAAGATTATAAGTGGCATTATTTTAACAGTTGTATGGGAAACACCATCCTCCTGTCAGCACGGCCATGTTACTCACATGATGGTGTTGATTCCTGTGAGTTGTTGAAAGAGCTGCAGACCACATCCCACAATGACAGCTCGGCGAGTGGACGGAGTAGTCAGCAGACGGATGATGGTCGATCTGTCACCTGAATAACAAGGAGTTTCTGAATCATTTCCCAGAATACTTCTAAAGGTGTGTTCCACGTGGGTAAGTATACATCTGCACCTAGCTTTAATCATGTGATATTTGACTCCCTCAGTTATATGGAAATTCACTAAATTCGGAAAATGTTATCCTGAAACTAGTCAAGTCATTGTAGTTTGAATTTGACCTTGCTTATTTGACCAATTTCGTTGGTTACCATATTATAGAGATGAAATTATAATATTTATTTAGATAATATGTAATGAAGTTTAAATCATTAAACCATGAAATTAAGAGAGAATATGTCACAAATAATAAGAATTGGTAACATTGTTGAGTAGGTATATAGTGCTTTAAGGTGAGGGCCTAAGTGGGACTCGGGCCAACGGAAATATCACATATATGAGAGTAATAAGGTTAGAAATAGCATCCGAACTATCAGAAATAGGGCAGTCCTCAACAGATACCTTCTACAAATAAAAATACGGTCTTGGGTGATGAAATCCAAATTCCTCAAACCATGGAATCCACCTAAAAGAAGGCCAAATAAGGTATCAGGGTAAGAAAGACAAGAGGGGTGGAATAGTCAGTTGCAAGGACAGCTTTCCGACCAATGGTAAATCAATATTGATAATTGTTGTGACATAGGAATTAAACCCAGGTTTTTAACGTAGAGTTCGCACCAAGCTCTCGTCTTACTGTCACTAAACCTCGTACTAAGAAATCTCAAGGCACCAGAATGTTGACTGAGACTGAAGCTTTGCGGCCGAAGTCTCTTAATTAAGTGACAAATTGAGTGGGTTGACCGGCAACACAAAGTGTGAATAAAAACTGTTCAAAGAAGAACATCCTCTTGTGATTGCTGGGGGAACTACGGTAAAGGTCCAAGGGCCCTCGGGTACTGACACTGTACCAATCTCATCAAAATCAGATCTTAGTTCTCGCTACCGCTAAACAAAGATCTGAGAACATCCCATTAGGGGTCACGTCAGAACGACCTTTCATCCAACCAATCAGAGCGTCGCTTACCAGATCATGAAAGTGACAGTGAGAATTTGATTTTCAATCTTGCAACCTTGAAAACTTTAACACGGGGTATTCTGAACGATAGTTACGGGCTTAACGACTAAATCTATACAATCTAGACCATATATTAGCCATTCCAGAATGTTGTTTTGTTCAGGTTTCAAATTTTTAATTGAGAAATTGTCAAAATATGTTTCGAAGCAAATCGCCACTTTGAAATTAGTGCCGTAAAGCACGAGAAAGCTGCCTTCTGATTGGCTACTGTCAACTTCTTGTCAGTCCTTCAAAAGGTCGGTCAAAGTTCGCGCAAGATCAGTCTGACGTGACCCGTAATGGGATGTCCTCAGATCTTTGTTTAGCGGTAGTGAGAACTAAGATCTGGTTTTTAAATGAGACTGGACACTGTACCTCTCACACATCCCAAACCGCCAGGACCGAAGAACGAGGGTGTACCATGGTCGATCAGGTGAGGGTACATCAATACAGGTGTTTGTGATGACAAACGATCTGCAAACGACCTTCTAAATACCGTAAACCAACATCCTTGAATACATTGGACAACCAAACCTGATTTATGTGATGAAAATTCTAACACCTACATTTTTCTGTACTTCGCCATGGTTATTCAGCCCTTAACAATTGAGTATCCAGGAGAAAGAAAGTGGAAATTATTTTGTACTTTTATTGATTTCCTTAAATCTTTTGTTCCAAGTATGGTGATTATGGCAACAATTACTTGAGTCTAATATACAAGGAAACGTTGTAATTTGATACTTAATATGTACTGGTGTAAGGATATGAAGTCTTGCATTCCCAATGAACATCCGGATAAGGTGCTCTCAAAATGTGATGAAATGTCATTTCTTGGATACCGGAGACAGTCAAAGCTTCTGAGAATTTCCTCATTCTCTCTCCAATGTCTTTTTGGTTGAAGACAGCATTGTATTACACTTAATAATGACGATGTACTTAGAGGTGTATATCTTATTGCCCCTTCTTCTTCTTGGCGGCTGATGGTAAATAAGCCGCACTCGGTTACCTCCCTTGAACACACGCGAACGGCTTGCCCACCAATTCCAACACATTTCTCCTGCTTTTGATATTTTTTCGCCACCGCGTTACGCATGGAAGTTGGCGAAAAACATTGCGTTACAGTGCGTTATAGTGTTCCTTAAGCATTTGCGATTCTAATGATATAAGTTTTATTACAAATTTCATCAGATGAAGTTTGCAGTTACCAATTGAAATTACCCTACTGTTTTGCATCATTTTTTTTAACATTTTCCCTTTCTAAGTCAAGATTACTGTTAGAAAAATTACATTAATACAAACATAATGAATGTATGTTACTTTTTGTGTCTTTCTTCATGCAAGTTAATACTTTTTTGATAAGAAAAAGGGGAAAAAATGTCAAAACAGGCCAAACTGAATTTCTACACAGAGTTATGGGAATTGAATTGCCGCACGGGGAAGAGGCCACCCTAACTGATGAAGTGAATAATTTCACTTTCAATTGTAAAGTTGTCGTTGTTTGCTCGATCTAGAAGACTACTTGTATAATAATACATGTAATGGAATAAAAAATATAAGATGACTATGCTATGGAATTATGTAAAAATATCATATTACTTCCATATGCTGCTAACAACATATCGTTTGCAAAACGTGCTTCACATTACAGCATGACATAAATATTGACTGCTGATTACTGTCAAACCTGAGAATTATGTGCAAATGTAGATAAAACATGAGCTATCATCTATGGATCCAAACAGTCCAGGGATAAATACATTTTATGAGGTTTTACTTTAGAAATTGTTAACCAGTACAAGTACTGTATTCGACGTAATAAGCGCCCAGGGAGCTCTCAAAATTAGAAATAGGGGGCCCTTATTAGAATATTATTTTGGTGGAAAAAAGAGAGTTGAAAGATAAATTTCGTGGTTTATGCTGACACACTGAAATATTTATATGCGATAGATACATTTTTCCAGAATTTAATTGCCCATTATTAAGAATGTATATAACACACGAGTGCGTATTATACGCAAATAAATAAGTCTTGTGTACATTGATCAATCGGAAGGGGTGCTAATTGGGATTGTTCACTAGCCAATATATTAGCAAATATCGCCGTGGTCGCTTATTAGAGCGGTGCGCTTATTACGTCGAATACGGTATCTTGGAATTGTATTTAAGAAGTCATGTAACTTTCTAACAGCAAAAACTGCACTTGCAGCACAGACCAAACAATCTTTGTATTTGACCCAATAGCTGTACCAATGATAACTATTGCATTAGAAATATGGGGTTTTGGAAAAGTGGACTTAATTTATTTAAAAAAAGGTCATACATATTTTCATAAATCTATACTTTAATTAAAGAAAAGTTCTACTAATCATATGTTATATATGGAGATTTAGAGAGATGGCCAAATTATCTGCTGTATTGTATAGAATTATTTTCCATGATAAAGTTTTGAAATAAAACTGGACTGAACACATAAAAAACACTCTAAATAATCTTGTTTAACGTTATGTGTGGTATGAGCAATCCTTTCCTTGTCCTCAATGGTTTATATGTACTATCAGAGCTCCAGATATGCTGTGTATCTGCGTAAAATACACATCAGAAATGCAGAATTATTAATACGCAGTAAAATAAAATCCAAGCGTATCAAATAAGCAACGAACATTACAGATACGCTACAAAAATATAACTTGTGCGTATCATCAAAATATTGTGAAGTAACCCTGCGTATTCGATTAGCAAATCAGCAACTTCTTTTGAAATTATAAACGGGCATTCCGTCAACCTTGCCAAACTCCACGATGACAGTTACATCAAGATCATTTGCCATCACACTTTCTTGTCTAAGTATCGCAGTATTTCTGAGTCCTATAAAGCTCTCGAACCCAACACCAGTTTGAAGGGACTAGATGAATAGTGTTTTTGAATATTTAACTTAAATACCCACATGTGTAAAAACTAGTAGGTAACAGAAATTTGAATACCCAGATAGAATTACTGATACCAAATGATTTTAAAATGCATGGGTAAAATACCCACAACACCAAAAGCTAATCTGGAGCTCTGTACTATTCAGCAAGCTGTTACTGATCAGTTTAAACAGCTTCTAATGTAACAGACTCTGCTATAGAGATATGTTATAGGCTCTTCAAAGAGAATGTCCCTACTTTCAACAACACAGAAGTAGATATATCCATGCTAAGTATACAGCAGGACATGATGTTATTACGTTTAAATAGCTTCTTGCACATTTGTAACGTAGAGTGGCATATTATATACCTCAGTGTGAAAGACTGATTTTTATGAAGTAGAGAAAAGTGATATTTTCATTGTAGTGAACATAACACTTGATATTTAACTGCAGTGAACACAACACCTTAACGGAACTATTGTTATATAAGAGTTACCCCCCTTAACTTGTCTCCCTTTATCGTAAGTGTCTGGCCTGTTCTCAAACTGTTGACCTCCTTTTTACGTTAGGTACACATTGACAAATAATGACAGATGGTCATTTATGGAGTTAATATCACTTTTTGCCATTTGTTATTCTCTGGAAAATATTTCGTTATAAACTATATAATATTTCGTTATTTAACTTGTCAATTGAGATTGTTCGTTCGGCAAAGCGCCATTTTGTTCCTTGACCAGCGTGTATTCTTTTGCTTCCAACAACGGTCTCCTAGTCGTCAAGGATATTTTTTGTCAAAGATATTTTTGTATATTATCATATCTAAATGTATGAAAAATAATTTTCGTGACCCAAAATATTTTTTGATACTTTTAGTTATATTGTTTAAGATGTTGCAAACATGAAACTACTTTTTAAGTCGCCAATACAAGGGGTGGTGAATCGCCAATACAAGGGGTGGTGAACCGTCACTGTGTTAGGTAGGTAGAATTTAATTTTCTGATAGATATCTACATAATCTACAGAAAAAGTGTATAATAAATAGGATATTCCATATGCCTCGTGAAATATCATGTTTCTCTCATCTCATGACGGGGGGAATATCTCCTTCCCCTCCCCGTCACTGAATGAGAGAAACATGATATTTTATTCGACACATGAAATATGTTTTATATATAAAAATGAGGTGAAACTCAAAAAAACTAGATGTCTGTCTGTCTATATTAGAATTTAAATGTTTTTTCGATATATTGCTAATTGCCATGAACTTATAATACAACAGCTGCTGTTCGTTATCCGTCCGTGCCATCCTCAAATTAAATTGGTATTATTGGTATTATTGGTATGCTTCATCTATAATTGGATGGCCTGAATCGGAAATAAAGTTAATTTGAGGTAAGTTGATTATAACGTTATTGATATTAAAATTAGTCAATGCTGGAAACCAGACAAAGGTCAAGTCTACATGACCATGTGACTTTTGATCTTTCGTATTCACTGTTTAAGAGCCCTTCTCCAATCAGCACACCTTTATATAAGCTAGGACGAGGGAAAGCTAGTAAACATGAAGAGTTTCTAACGATACCCGCCAGTTCCAAAGTTAACAATTTATACCTGGGTACCCACAGGGCCCATGGTTAGAAAAGTGATATACTGCTTAATGACAATAAGAATGAAACTCCGTGGTTACACTACAAGTCACTAATGTTCGCATTTCTCTCTGATTATGCACGCATTCCTTCTGACTTATATATGTTTGAGTAAAGATAAAGCTTCAGTCAACTTCAGTGTATGCTTGATCTGATCGTTTTATATGTGTACCTAAATTGTTTTTGACAGGGCTGTGGCAAAACATTTCCCAATCGTACATTTTGGACCCAACTATTGTGACCTACAGCAGGTTTTGTTTGTTTGTTTGTTTGTTTGTTTAACCCCGCACTCAGCAATATTCCAGTTCTGTGACGACAGTCTGTAAACAATCAAGTCTGGACCAGACAATCCAGTGATTGACATCATGAACATCGATCCATGCAATTGGGATACAATGACATGCATCAACCATGTCAGCGAGCCTGACCAAACAATCCTGTTAGTCGCCCCTTACGACAAGCATAGTCGCCTTTAACGGCAAGCATGGGTTGCTGAAGACCTATTCCACCCGGATCTCACAGCAGGTAATCAGGTAGTAAATTTGGACTCGTCCAAGCCCTTTTTTTAGCATTTTAATTCAGTACTTACTTATTGATGGTGAAAATAAACTTAAACCTAAAATAATTACATCATTATCATTACAGTGATCTCATTCATATTCAGGGCTTTACCATGTTTACAAAATGTTGCTTCCGATACGCACGTAAAATGAGAATGGACACAATATTTGACAGAGCAAGTCCTGGGAGACACAAAATAAGCATGGTAAATTTAAATCGTCACAAACCAATCAAAATTATAGATCCCATGCTGCATGTTTATATAACTGGCATTTCTATTCGTGCACGAAATACACTCAAAGTTCAGGGTGTCATTGGTAGATGTCTTCAAGCTAACACTGACATCCTATCGATTACAGGCTTTGGGGCAATGATAGGACTCTTCGTGTTCAAGGGACAGGTCACCGTTATGCCGGCAGCCTGGGACCCAATGTTCATGCCTTGCAAAACACTCCCTTACCAAAGCATTTCATATTAGTTAGACCCAGGTAAATCCCTACATTCTTATTTTACTTGATACAATGTCCATGACGATACACATCCAAAGTCTGATCCTTCAATGACTGATAATCCAGAATGTACACGCAACACACCTTGTAGCCTTGCTCCAAGGCTGTATTGAATGCTAAGTCCATTGATGAATGCTAATTCCATCTTTATATTGGCAAGTCTAGATAAGCCGAAAGTACATCTAAGGCGCCAGTCTTTATAGGGAATACTTGTTCGTATTACTTATATAATCTAGGAATTATTAATCTAGGAATTATTAATAAAGTAATATTCATTTGATTCGAGACTTGTGCAAGTCTACAGACCTTGTTGCCGCCTGAGTTCTTCATCCTCTTCACAAACCCGCCTCAGAACCTGGATCTCCTCCTCCACATCCTCTGTGCCTCGTATGTCGGCCAGCACAGCGTACGCCTTCTCCTCGTACCCCTTCTTCATCAGCCATCGGGGGGACTCCGGGAGGAACAAGAAGCCGATCAGTTGAATTAAAGATGGCAGTGCTGCTAGACCAAACATGTATCTGTAAAAGGTAATTTTGGGAAAAAATGTCATTATTTTGAAATTGCTTATGTGTAATTTTGTTAGAAATTTCAGAGATTTTTTTAAATCTTATATCACGATAATTCCCATGATGGGTTTCACTAAACAGTGAGTGAGTTGGCTTTCACTTAACAGTGAGTGAGTTGGCTTTCACTTAACAGTGAGTGAGTTGGCTTTCACTTAACAGTGAGTGAGTTGGCTTTCACTTAACAGTGAGTTAGGTTTCACTTAACAGTGAGTGAGTTGGGTTTCACTTAACAGTGAGTTGGGTTTCACTTAACAGTGAGTGAGTGAGTGAGTTGGGTTTCACTTAACAGTAAGTGAGTTGGGTTTCACTTAACAGTAAGTGAGTTGGGTTTCAATTAACAGTGAGTTGGGTTTCAATTAACAGTGAGTGAGGGAGTTGGGCTTCACTTAACAGTGAATGAGTTGGGCTTCACTTAACAGTAAGTGAGTTGGGTTTCAATTAACAGTTAGTTGGGTTTCAATTAACAGTGAGTGAGGGAGTTGGGCTTCACTTAACAGTAAGTGAATTGGGTTTCACTTAACAGTGAGTTGGGTTTCACTTAACAGTGAGTGAGTTGGGTTTCACTTAGTAAGTGAGTTGGGTTTCACTTAACAGTGAGTTAGGGAGTTGGGTTTCACTTAACAGTAAACAGTGAGTGAGTTGGGTTTCACTTAACAGTAAGTGAATTGGGTTTCACTTAACAGTGAGTTGGGTTTCACTTAACAGTGAGTGAGGGAGTTGGGTTTCACTTAACAGTAAACGATTTTGGTTTCAATTAACAGTGAGTTGGGTTTCACTTAACAGTGAGTTAGGGAGTTGGGTTTCACTTAACAGTAAACAGTGAGTGAGTTGGGTTTCACTTAACAGTAAGTGAATTGGGTTTCACTTAACAGTAAGTGAATTGGGTTTCACTTAACAGTGAGTTGGGTTTCACTTAACAGTGAGTGAGGGAGTTGGGTTTCACTTAACAGTAAACGATTTTGGTTTCAATTAACAGTGAGTGAATTGGGTTTCACTTAACAGTGAGTTGGGTTTCACTTAACAGTGAGTGAGGGAGTTGGGTTTCACTTAACAGTAAACGATTTTGGTTTCAATTAACAGTGAGTTGGGTTTCACTTAACAGTGAGTGAGTTGGGTTTCACTTAACAGTAAGTGAGTTGGGTTTCACTTAACAGTGAGTGAGTGTGTTGGGATAAACCTAACAGTGAGTTAGGGTATGTTGTTTAATGCCAGTCATCAATATTCCAGTTATATCAGATGGGCCTGTAAATATTCGAGTCAGGACCAGTAACTCAAAACAGAAGCCCAATTCTGGTGTCCCCTGCCGTGATATTGCTGGAATAGTGCTAAAAGCAGCGTAAATCCATACTCACTCACTCACTCACTCACTAAAGCAGAAGCAACATTCCATATCATCGGTCTTAATTTCCAGTATGATAGCACGTCATCAGGAAAGTCACAGAGCCTGACCACCAATCCCCATATTAGTCAGCTCTTTCAACAAGCATGAGGCGCTGGTGACCTACTCTACCTAAGCAGGGTGGGGCTTAAAGTCTCTAACATAGTTTTCTTATAATAATAAAAGTGGTTTACCTCCAGCCACCCTTCTCCACATAGCTGAAGGCACCGTCCATCACACTGGCCACAAACTGCCCTCCCGTGATGAAGAGAACGTTGAGGGTCACCATGCGACCTCGTAGATGTGAAGGTGAACACTCAGCGATGTACATCGGCACTGTCATTGATGCTAGTCCTGGGTGAAATATGTTTATTCTCTGAGATTACTACAAACTATGTCACAAGCATTACTCAATCCATCTTCCTGAGGCAAGGGTGTTAACTGACTTTAAAAATCCAGTTTTCACCCTTGCCGAACTAGGCTCGATCGTAGCGCCACCAGTGGTTATTACAAGTTATGCCCCTTCTATGTCCCTCCTATTGACCAATCAGATTCCATCTCTCATATCACTTGCATTTGCTTCAAACAAAATGGTGACGCCCTGTCAAGACGATCTGATCATACGCACCATCTGTATTGTATAAAACGAGTCTTACCTCACGAAATGCAACTCACTTGAGCACCTTCATTATAAACAAGAAAAGATTTGGAAAATATGTCAACGCCTAGTTGCTGGTACTCATGCTTTATTTACTCATGTAAATCCTGCAGTCAACCGAAATCCATGTTGTTTACGAACCTGATGTCTAGTTCATTACATGATGTTGATTTAAAAATGCATAGATTTGTTAGTCCAGTCAGAATGTAACTCCTGAATGCCAGCCTAGTTCGGCAAGGATGGAAACTGGATTTTTATAGTCAGTTAACACCCTTGCCTCAGGAAGATGTACTCAATCCTATTAAAATCAGACATTTCACTCCGATACGATGTCTCTAAGCGTGAAGCTTCATCCTGGATGATCCAGTGTATTGCATCTCCTTAATATTATGATGAATACCCTAGACTACTACCACCAAAGATTCATGTCAGGAGTGTTGTCATCAGTGTGGTCATAATCTCCAGTTCTTACAGTCAAAGTATACACAGATTCTTTTCTCGCCATGAGTGCCACTGTAAGGGTTATTTTTACATGATGTCTTTTAATCAGGCTTGGAATGCAGCTGTTGGTAGTGTCTGGGTCCAAGGTATTTTTAATATCAGTGACACTATGCATATTTATTTGCATAATTTTTGTCTTATCCTTTGATAAATGTTAATAATGAGAGTTTGTGGAGATATTACATTTTGGATTGGGAGTCTAAATGCAAGATGTTAACAAATCTAAAGAAAAACGATGAGTATGTAATTATATTTTAGAGGGAAGTGGTTGTATTTTTACCATGTTTACCGCAGACTTTATCACAGAATTATGACAATTTTACCACAGAATTCAACTGGGACTGATTAATACTCTCGATTATTGAATATGATAGATGTAGGGCAAGAGCACATGTTTGTGTAGAAATAATTACCGGTATAGCAATATGAAAGAATCAGGTTTTCTTTCACTTTCTTTTAGCCCTGACAGATTAAGTATAGTAATATCAAAGAATTGTGTGTTCTTTAACTTCTGTTGAGTAGTATATATACGACATTTACTGTAGTATTATGAAAGAATCGAGTGTTCTTTAACTTCTTCCTTTGAGTAGCATATACGACATTAACTGGAGTAATATGAAAGAATTGGGTGTTCTTTAACTTCTGTTCAGTAGTATATCCACCAGGAATGAAATCCAGGTCTGCAAAACAGTATGCACTGTGTCATATAACAATGAAAAGTCAAAGTAATTGCATGGAGTAATAATGCAACATATCCAACCCCTGGAATATAGTCAGGGGTATAAGTGGCCATGTCACACGAACCCAAGTTCCATCTTCCTGAAGCAAGGGAGTTAACGTTCTATGAAAGTCCAGTTTCCACCCTTGCCGAACTAGGCTGTTATTATGGAGCTATATTTTGGCTGGACTAAACGAGTCTATGCATAGTCCAATCAAAATCAACTTCTGGTCCTTAAACTGACATGCAGATTTTGGTCAATTGCAGGATTTGCAAAGCATGTGCACCGCCAATTTAGCATGAACATATATATTCCAAATCTTTTCATGTTTTTAATCATCTGCTCATGTGTTTTGATGCACTTCGCGAAGTAAGACTTGTTTTGTTACAAGACAGACCTTGATTATCAATCAGATCGTCTTCACATGGCGACGCCATTTTATTTGAAGCAAATGCAAGTGATATGAGAGGTGGAATCTGATTGGTCAATAGGAGGGACATAGAAGGGACATAACTCGCAATAGCCACTGGTGATGTTACAATTGAGCCCAGAAATTCAAGCCTAATTCAGCAAGGATGAAAACTGGACTGTTACAGTCAGTCAGTCTCCTGCCTCAGGAAGATGCCCAAGTTCTTGTTAAGATAATGAATTGTTATGTCTTTATATACAATCAAACATCCCTCCCTATATTGTTATAAACTACACATGACTGATTAACTATAGCAATATCAACCCTGCAGAAAATGGCCAGCCAAATTTTACTTTCTTAGTCGGACCAATCGTCAGTGATTATATCAGTGATACCTGAAGTTAACATTAGTTCACATACATATACAAAAGTGATTTTTATCATATAGACTTAATTAAAAGTGATATTTTTAGGAAAGTGTCCTAGGAGACATTGACATTTTCACTTGGATGATATTTATACCTCTGAGGGCTGGAGGTTAGTGGTTTGAGATGAAGAGAGTTTCAGAAGAATGTCCAAACCATATACCAAATTTCAAGATCCAATCAAGGTAAAATAACCAACATATACCTTGATTAATTAATTACAAAATTATTACTGTCTCTAGGACTAAGTACAACTTAGTTGTCCTAAGTAGTTTAAAAATCAGTATCCCTTTTGAATATTGATACCATAAGTAGTTTCTATCAAAAAACAAATTAGTGGATTTTTTAATCTGTACTATATGGCAAATATTGTTCCATGCTTGATCTATATTTTTTAAGTCTGCATCTGAATTGTTAATATAATAATTTAAAGACATCACTATGATGTTGTTGTTTTCTATTGTTATTATTATTGTTATTATTGTAAATTGTTATTATCATTATTCCAATCCCGATTCCAATTATCATCATCATCATCAATATCATCATCATCATCATACCAATGCCAATCCCGAGGATGAGTCTGCCAGTCACTAACATGGCCAGGTTTTGTGCGGCTCCAAGTATCACACCTCCTATAGTAAAAACCAAGCTTGCTAAAATAGTTGTTGACTTTCTCCCAAATCTATCATTGAGAACTCCACCACACAGCGCTGCAACAAAAGCGGATCCTATCGTCACACTCACGACAACTTCTTCTCCGACAGATGTCAATGAAAAGTCATTTTTAACTAATAGCATTGCTCCCGACACAACACCAGTGTCATAACCGAACAGAAATCCACCGATGGCTGAGAAAAATGCCAGAACCCATATGAACAGTGTTGTTTTCGGCTGTTTAGTGCCGATCGAAAGGCCGTTTTCGTGTTTTGCCTCTGATGGGTCCATTTCGGGACGAAGACGTCCGACTAAGTTCGTCGTCTCCGAGGTATCTTCCAGACTCATCTCGTCAATATCGGTATCTCCCGTGTACATTATCTCGGATGACCTAGATCATGCCAACAACTGTCCGCAACTGTCAACACGAACCGATACAGCATTTTCTCTTCACAACAATCTGAACGTACTGCGGGTGCGTTCTGTCAGGGATGTGATTGTTTGGGCCTATGCCCGCATGAATGAGCGTGTGTAACATGTCGTTGCAGAGTTACGCCCCTTTGAATAGTTCGATTTTATCTGTAACATAAATATATATTTAAATTGGGCTGAAGGTGAATACTTTAATCAAATTAATTCGTAACCATGGCGAATTCGTTGCCACTCTACTCGTAGACATATATTTACCGTGAACTCGTAGACAAAACAAACTGACATATTTTACTCTTTATTCACAAAATAACCTGCAAAAGAAAACAATCGGAAATATGAACGAAACTTGCAAACAATGAAAATGTGTCTTTCAGTCAGGAAATGACCAAACCCGTCATATGCCTTCTTGTAAAACAAACCCCTGTTGTTTAGGTAAAACATGTCAATGTTCCCCTAAGTATCAATGATATTGATAATAATACCCATATTAATTATTATCATTCAATTCAAATATTTATTTTTTTTAAATGTGCCTACGAATTTACATGGTTTGTCATGGGTACAATGTGTGAAGCCCGTTTGTGGTGTCCCCCGCCTTGATATTGCTGGAATATTGCTGAAAGCGGCGTAAAACCATACTCATTCACTCAATTTAAATGGATGAGGGTGAAATGGGGTCGCGTCCAAAGGTATTGCACTTATATATATAGCGACGTACATGCACGTGTGTGTGTTGATATATACTTGTAATGATCAGGACTGATGCCGATTTATAGCGAGATACTAAGCAACAGGTTAACATGAATACCCCATTCAGACACAGTATACTGACTCCGAGCCATCCTTGTTTTGTCCCTTTAATGCCGAGCACCAGACAGGGTAACAACAAGTACCATCTTTTAACGTCTTTTGGTATGACGCGGCTGGGGTTCGAACCCCGGGACCTTCCGCTCTCTGGGCGGACGCTCTACCATTAGACCACGGTGGCGGTCGAATAAGATTGGTACTGAAGGAGTTCACCCTCGTGGATTGTAGCCATGGCAATGACTGATTAGTGCAGTGTCACATTGTCCTGATCGCAGAGAAGTCCTATTCTCAGCTTAAAACGTCTCGTGGTCTTACTTTCAACCCTCAGTGTCTTAAAAAAATACAGCAGAATATGCTCCGTTTCTTGTCTGGCCTTTGGGAAAATAGTAACTGACTCCGAGCCATCCTTGTTTTGTCCCTTTAATGCCGAGCACCAGACAGGGTAACAACAAGTACCATCTTTTAACGTCGACGCGCCCCGGACCTTTCGCTCTCCGGGCGGACTCTCTACCACTAGACCACGGAGGCGATCCCTTTTAACTTGTACAGATGAGCAGGGTCTCGTAAACATGTTTTTTAAACGTTCGACTCATTTTGGGAAAATTTAGAAATGAAAGTTATAACTTTAGAAAAGCAGGCACCATAAACCAAACTGGTTACATTGTTGCAATGTGTCGGTATTAAACCCTTCGGTATGTGCACACTTTGATGAAACTTATATTTTTTCAGAAACAACACAATGCATCGTTAATTAATATTTGCCCCGCCGAAACATCCTCTACCATGAGAAGCAAAAATAAAATATGAAATCAGAGACCAGAGAGACAGACATCAGAGACCAGAGAGTCAGACAGACTGACTGACTGACTGACTGACTGACAGAAAAAATATATTGTCTGATTTTATTTTAATTAAGGAATCGAAATAATGGTCCAGGAAACCAAAACGTGATTGAAATAATCCTTTTCATGTTTTTTCAGGTTCCCCCGTGTATTCGGAATTAAGTGTATATCGACGGCACAATGTCATTATTCGTCTGAATTAAATTTTGATTATTGTTCTAAGGGAACGAACAATAACTCGTGGGAATAAAATAATCTCTTTTCTTTCCTTGACTTGACAATACGAAAAAGGCACGAATATACAATGATGTTTCATTGTACGGGTATAATTGCTACCCATTGTCATAGCCATACGAACTGCCCTCGGGACATGGACTGTTTTAAGAGACGGTTAGACCCTTAATAATAAACTATGTCCTCGGCAATACTTATTGTCGTTTAACTGGTTTATTTCAATGGTGAGCGAGTGTGCTTGCGTAACCGCACCGTTGGCGTTCATCGCCAGCAATTAGGTGATGCACACATGTTCACATGTGTAGGCCAAGCCAAATTAATCGGGTATGTACATTAAATACACGTTAACGATCAAGGAGTGTGGGCCGCTTGCATATACAACACGTATAGTTGAACTGTGAGTATTTTCCATCTATGGCCAACTTTTAAAAAAACTTGGTTTAGGAATGTGCCGACTGCTAAAATACTTGAAATGTGAAAAAAAGTGAAAAGCAGACTTTGTAAAATCTCCCTGGATATAGTCTTGGTATCGAGATCACAGACTTCAGACCCTTGAGAGTAAATTAGGAACGGACTCCAACTCAAGTCTAGAATGATTTGGCTCGTTTTAAAATTAAGCATTGTTCTGGGCTTCATTTGGATTTGATTTGATTTTTTGTAGAAACATATTTTTAAATTAGATAAGTTTATATTTCTGGGACTTAATGTTAGTCTGAGCCGCTATGGCGCCCGACAGTCAAGACGTGACCCATGACATTGATAAGGACATGAGTTGACTGTCGGACCCCACCGCGGCTCTCGACAATCTAAATGTAAGGTTATTGACGTGAATCAATATTTTGTTGTACAGCTACGTATTCTTGTGCATCAATATACATATACAACCTATGTTTTAAGTGCATTCGTCGCCATAGCAGCGGATACTGGATACCCCATTATCCGTTTGCAATCAGCTGTGTATATATTAATCGACAAGTGAAACAGCTGGTAGAATTCCATAGAATACAATAAACCGAAACAGTTTGACAACACAATGATATAGACCATCATTAAGCTGTGAGTCACTCCATTCTTCTTGCAAAATACAACAATATATAATTATATTTTGATAATAATTATATAATTATATATTGATAATATTTGAAGTTCATATGCATTTAGATTGGACATTTTTAATTTGGCTAGAAATAGGGATATTCTGAACCTTATGTATGAATAAGGCTAACTGTATTCGATGTAGAAGTGTTGGCTTCAGCACATGTCCCCGTATTAATAATTAATACTATCTATATCCAATCGCAAACATTTTATTCCCATGTAATCTCCCAAAGGGGCGTCTGCATGGCCCAGTTCTGCACTCTGGCCGCCGCATGATCCCGGTTGCGAATTCCTGCACACACACACGCACGCACGCACGCACGCACGCATGCACACACATACATACACGAACACACACCCGAAACGGCGTATATATAGAAAGTCTCACCAGAGTGTCTTTTGATATCAAATATATCAACACGAGTTGATAAAAGTGGAAAAATTCCGAGGCTTCCCGAGGATTTTTGCCACTTTTATCATCCAACATCATTCTTCCAACTTTTTCAGTTTGTAGACAGTTATAAGCAGTGTCTTCAGGGTAAACAGTACTGCTTACAGCTTCAGTAGCAGAGCCATTAGTGATGTCATTTGATTTTGATGTCATGGTAACCAGTGATGTCACAATGGTCTGCAAAGCATTGTGATGAAATTTCATTGCAGCGTTATCTACAGTGTAGATATCGCTTGATCTCATCCAAGCGATATCTCCTGTGGGAGCCAGTTTTGGATGATAAATATATATTATGTATTTCCTCGCGATAGTTACATTGATCAGTTATATCATGTATCGCATGGCTTAGTTTTAGACTAACATCTAGTCTCTGAAAAAAATAGTTGTTAAATTATAGTTAAAAAATATAATAAAAGGGAGCCCACAGACTTTCTTCATTTTCAGAGACAAAATAAACAAATCTGCAGAGCTATAATTGCTTGGAAATTCACAACACATACAGATTGCTATCACCCATCACTGACATGACACTGAAAGTGGGTGTGGCAGGAATATCTAATGCCCCTACTATCTCTCCCCTAGACTAACATCTAGTCTCTGAAATGAACTTATTTTACAGATAAAAAGCGGTTGTTAAATTATAGTTAAAAAATATAATAAAGATGAGCCGAGAGACTTTCTTCATTTTCCTTCATTTTCCTGCGTCCAAGATTATTGCACTTGTATTGCGACAAGCAGTGCACGCGTGTGTATATGTGGCTGCTTGTACTAGTCCGGACTGATGCCGATTTATAGTGCTAGCCCATTGAGATACCATGCCACAGTTTAACATGAGTACCCCACTCAGACACAGAATACTGACTCCGAGCTGACCAGTCCTTGTTTTAGTCCCTTAATGCCGAGCGCCAGACAGGGTAACAACAAGTAGACCACGGAGGCTGTCAAAAAATAAATTAACATTAAATTCAACTTGACCGTGAAGTGAGAACACAACATGAAACTCACTAATCTTGGCATGAATATCAAACCAAAATATCTGTCAGAAAGACAATTCAATGTAGATTACATAGAGATGTCCGCATGTTGATTGCAACACTGTATTCATCATTACGTTTCGCTGGAGCCCCGTGAAGATCCGGGGTTGAATAGGTCTTCACCAACCCACACTTGCCGAAAAAGGTATGACGCGGCCGGGGATCGAACCCGGGCGGACGCTCTACCACTAGACCACGGAGGCGGTCTACTGAGTTAATGGCTGACAGGGGCGGTGGGGTAGTCAAGTGGGTAAAGCGTTCGCTCGTCACGTCGAAGACCCGGGTTCGATTCCCCACATGGATAAAATGTGTGAAGCCCCTTTCTGGTGTGCTCCGTCGTGATATTGCTGGAATATTGCTTAAAGCGACGTAAAAACATGCTTACTCACTCACTTATGTCTGACATGGTGGCGGATAAGCGCCTTAGTTTTCTTTCTGTCATAAAATACCAGAAAAAAATAAATGCCATTTTGCATATTATTGCAGTGTCGTGAATTGATATAGGCTCGGTACTGGGTCTAAATGACCTACTGTAAAGCACACTAACAATCTCCATTTCATAAAAGTTTCCCACAGGTGTGACCTGTTATATATAGGTCATGCGCTACATCACGTGATCTCTTATTCAGCAGTTAGCGGGCCTTGTGGGACAGAGCTGATTGAGTGAGTGAGAATCACAAATATACTATTATGACGTATGTTTGTTTTCCATAGAATGCATGCACATCACATTAAAACCGACTGACAACTTAGTTGATATCTATTTTCTTAAACACGTTTGAAGACGTGGACATCAATACATATTCTGAAACCGGTTTCTTCGGCGTTACAAACGTGTTTCCATAAAACCCTGTCAGGAGTATTTGTTGACTGGACTCCGTCTACTTAAATCAGTCGCGTACGAACAGTGGAACCAGTTTAGAATATCTGCACGATGCATATGCGCAGAAAGCTTTTAGCCCCGGAAGTGCAGACGCTAGTGTGTTTACTTGTAAAGATGTTTGTTTCTCTTCCACGTTGTGATTAATAACAGGGAAGATGACGAGTGTTGATTTATCGGAAACTGCCAACTGGCAGAACCACGAAATTGAGAGTTTACTGAATATTTGGTCGAAGAAGGATATTCAAAATGAACTGGGTAACATGCATCAAAACTTGCCAGTCTACGAGAAAATTTCTTCTCAACTTTCCTCAATGGGAATCAATCGATCAGCAATAAGTTGTCGAGATAAAATCAAGAAACTTAAATTCAAATACAGACGAATAAGAGAGAAAAAGGGCTACAAGAAAAGTAGTTTTAAGTTCTATGACATTCTTCGGTCGGTGTTGGGGGATAGCGTAGAGGAAGGTGGGGATGGGTACCCACAGCACGTGCCTCATCAACCACGCCCACATTCCCACCATGGTGATCACGCCAATGGACATGGATCTCATTACTATCCTCAAGAATACGACAAATCTAGATTCAGTCCAAGTGTTGTAAGCAATGACAATAACAGCATGATCTTGAGTGATTCTGAGTCGGACAGTGAATATGATTATGTGAAAGGTGATTTATCTGATGATGATTACCTACACGAAGAAATGTCTTCTCAGTATAGTGAGGCTCAACCGACATCTAGTGCAACACAACAGCCAGCAGGTCCAATGCATGACGGTGGAGGAGCCGGTAGCTACAGTAATATGTTTATGCATGGAGGACCTAGCAGATTTCCCAAATCAAATAAAACAGACAGTGTACCTAAAGATGATCCTGCCTCATTTTGGCAGCAAATGAACACAGGGCCACTTAATGCTGCTCGAATGGCAATGAGTAGACGGGCAGAATGTATGAGAGGAGGATTTGGGTTTGATAGAGGTTTTGGAATGATGCACCATCATCATCCCTTTATGGGCCGCGGACATGGGTGGCGGAGAGGAGGAGGAGGAGGGGGACGAAAAAGAGCTCGACTCGAGCAGACGTTTGATATGATGTTGAACAAAGTATCTCAAATTCAGAAAGACATGCAAGATCGCTTCCTATCAACCCACGAGAAACAACATCAGCAGCATCTGAATTTTGAGCTGCAGAGACAAGAGCTTGATAATAGGCAAAGAGAGATGGAGAGGAAACATGAGATGAACATGTTCCAAATGATGGTCAGTTCTCTTCATCATGATGGGAACCATTTAAACCATGCGCTTGGAAATGATATGGCTGTAAAGCACAGTGCCAGTACTCAAAACTCACCACAAACATCTTTTCCAGGGTATGGCAATATCTTCTTAAATTCTTTATTGATACTGTTATTCAATCTTGGTAATTTTCCAGATTATGAGTTAATGATAACTGACATATATTAACCATGTTTACATGGTTAACAGTGATGCATATTATCCTAAACAAAGTGGAATATTGTTTCATGCCAGTTGTCATGATTGTCATGATTGTCATGCAGACTTTGTTTAACATGTCAGTGGCCCAAGCAGTGGTTGAGTTACATTTGCTAAGATCAATTGGTTGTGATATACACAACATGCTATTAACAAGAGTATTCCAGGTATTGAGAATTGCACATTCTACCAAATGGTGACGAAATATGTGTGAAAATGATAAACATTAGGGCTGCAATGAATAACCCATGAGGCGAATATGATTCGTATCACGAAAAAAGGGGAATGAATACGAACATTAATTCACGAATAAAATAATTAGTCAGTAGTTGATGTATTATTTGTTATATTCAGTGAAACATTAACAACATAAATTGTCCAGGGGACTCCCTAAAATTGATTTCATGTGTTTACAGGCAATATGAGCATGATGATGATGAGGGTCCTGTAAAGTAATAAAATGAAGTTGTGTACTGTACTGTAAGATTTGATAATTATGTTAATTACATTGACTTTATGTTTCTTGTCAAAAATTCGATGATGTTTCTGATCTTCATGAGGGACACACTATATATGTATTCCCCGTCACAAAGATAAGTTAGAGAAATGAAATTTTACACACTGATGTTACTGGTCATGATCTAAAATGAGTTCGGAAATTGGTGCCGTTAATTATTTTTTTACAGAGTTATGGCCCTGACTCTATGTTTTTAAACATAGTGCATACTGCGTGAAATTGGGACAAGTTTTCAAAGAATCTGCTAAAGTTACACGAATGAAAGTTTGAAAGCTTATCTAAGAGACACTTGTCAAGACTGAGTCAGAAAATTGGCACCAAAAATTATGTTTTTCCAGAGTTACATCCTTTGCTACATATTTTAAAAATGTGAATACACAGTTCCAAGCGTTACGGCCCATGTTATTTTATATTGTGTCTGCAATGGGGAAATAAAAATCAGATTTTCTCACATCTTCCCGAGGCAAGAGAGTTAACTGACTTTAAAAGTCTAGTTTCCACCCTTGCCGAACTAGGCTGATATTATGGAGTTACATTTTGGCTGGACTAACGAGTCTATGCATAGTCCGATCAAAATCGCGCACCGAAATCGAAATCCGGTTTGTAAACTGTCGTGCAGATTTCGGTCGATTGCAGGATTTGCAAAGCATGATATTTTCCAAATCTTTTCATGTTTTAAATCAAGGTGCTCACGTGATTTGATGCATTTCACGATATAAGGCCCGTTTTATCATGATATAGAACTTGATTATCGATCAGATCGTCCTGACTGGGCGCCACCATTTTGTGTGAAGCAAACGCAAGTGATACGAGAGGTGGAATCTGATTGGCCCATAGGAGAGGTTTAGAAGGGACATAACTGGTAATAGCAACTGGGGCACTACGATCGAGCCCAGGAATTCCAGCCTAGTTCGGCAAGGGTGGAAACTGGACTTTTAAAGACAGTTAACTCTCTTGCCTCGAGAAGATGATTTTCTCATGACATAAGGCCACCGCAAAGCCTATCTCCTTTTAAGCATATATCAGACTTTTCTTTATAGTTAACATTTCTGTTTGTGTAAAACCCTGTCCTTGCATATATATTTTTTAAGGACATGCATTCACTATTTTCTAAAACATGTAAAAGGCTACCCGTTTAAGAATACAACATAACATTCCTTCAAGTACCTCGACACGTTTTCCATCACGTTGAACATTGAATGGAATAAGTTTGTGTCAAGCTGTTCTCGGGTAAAGTGAATCACATCCATCTCATAGGCAAAAGCTGTAGGTCCGTCATTCGTACACTTGATGTCAGCTGCTGATCATTGTTATGATCATGATAATCATGATGATGGTTATTACCTAGTCTGTCTTACAGACCCTGATACATTTATATCAACTACAGCCCATGCAAGTCTATAATGTTTGGCAAGTCTAGATTACTGCAAATGAAGAGAATCACTGGGCTCCCTTTTTATTAGATTTTTATTAAGATAACTGAACAACTGTTTTTTTCTGTATGATATGTTCATTTCAGAGACTATATGTTAGTCTAGTTATTACCTAGTCTGTCTTACAGACCCTGATACATTTATATCAACTACAGCCCATGCAAGTCTATAATGTTTGGCAAGTCTAGATTACTGCAGTATCATGTGGTAGGGGCAATAAAATTTCCTGTCACACACACTTTCAATGGCATGCCAGTGATGGGTGATAGGATCCTTTACACGTGTCGTAAAATTCCAAGAAATTATAGCACTGCAGATTTGTTTAGTCTCTGAAAATGAAGAGAATCACTGGGCTCCCTTTTTATTAGATTTTTATTAAGATAACTGAACAACTGTTTTTTTCTGTATATGTTCATTTCAGAGACTATATGTTAGTCTAGTTATTACCTTGCTCTTGAGATATGTATCACATAGTCATAAAACTGACAACTGGTTACAGGACCCGTGTAGATCTGGGTAGAGAATAGGTCTTCAGCAACCCATGCTTGCTGTAAGAGGCAACTATGTTTGTCATAAGAGGCGACTAACAGGACACAACATGAAACTCACTAATCTTGGCATGAATATCAAACAAAATATCTGTCAGAAAGACAAATGAATGCAGATTACATAGAGATGTCCGCATGTTGATTGCAACACTGAATTCATGATTACCTTTCGCTTGAGCCTCGTGAAGATCCGGGGTAGAATTGGTCTTCACCAACCCATGCTTGCTGTAGGCAACTCTGCGTGTCGAAAGAGGCAACAAATGGGATCGGGTGGTTAGGCTCGCTGACTTGGTTGATGCATGTCATCGTATCCCAATTGTGTGGATCAACGGTCTTGATATCAAGCACCTGTCTGGCCCTGATTTGAATATTTACAGACTGCCGTCATATAGCTGGAATATTCTTAATTGCAGCATTAAACAACAAACAAGCCGTTATTATTATCTCTTTTTCTGTCATAACCAGTGTCTCAAGCTGATATAATATGTTTACATGGTGGCATGGCACATGGTTAAGCAAAGTCAGTCACAGCGAGGAGTTGGTTGGGTTGCCGTATTTGGCAGCTTGGCTTTTAGAGAGTTATTATTATTCAAAGGTTGTTCAAAGTTTTTCGTTCACTCTAGTTCTAGGAAGCTGCACACAATGTCCCAGGAGGAAGTGAAAGCCACATGGCGGACGGCCGATATCGTGTGTTTTGATGTCGACTCAACCGTATGTAAAGATGAGGGTCTTGATGAGCTGGCAGCATTTTGTGGCGTTGGGGAGAAAGTAGCAGCATGGTACCTCTTGGAAATTTCTTCACCTAATTACTGTAAATCGTGAAATTAGCGCAAGAGTGAATTAAATGCGAAAAATGCCCGCATTTTTAAACATCTCATTTATATCAACAGTAAGACAATTTGGATAACAGAAATACCAACTTAGACATACGCTGAAAACTAACAAGTATGTATTCCACATCACAGTTTATTGAGCAGCACTATACTATATAACAAGTATATAAACAATGTCATTCAAACACTAATTATATCCTGTAAATTGTTACTGCTGAGGTCAAGACGAGAGTTCTACTCACTTATGTTATCCCTGATCACACCTGCAAGTCACAACAAAAAAAGTATCTGTTCTTCTTAGGAAAACACTATGTATTGTTTTAGCGGAAGTACTCTATTCAGTGCTAATAAGCGGTGCCATTTGGTGTGTGATTAGATTAATGTTAGGTTGGATACAGGTGAGGATTCTCCTATAAACCTAACAGAAGACATTTCCTTTAGATATAAATCCACTGATGCTTGAGAGGAGGGGGTCGTGGCATTCATATTGAGTCACATTTTTGGCCAGGCGCAAGTGGTTGCATTCTTTTAAAGACGTATTTATTTCACGATTTACAGTATTTTTTAACATGTTCAATACATATTTACTTCACCTTACAATGCAGGCTTTTGACACTGAAAATTGACACTGAAAATTTCCTATTTTCTTAGATTTGCCATATCAGCATGAACAGATTTTTTTTCCCCAATTTGTCATTGTCCTAACCCTTATGTTTACTGTAATGTTTATGTGGTGGCATGTGCACAGTGCTTAGGTCACAAATCAAGAGTACCTGGATGGCCGTCCACGTTTCGGCAGCTTGACTCCTGAGAGTTTCTAGGGCTTTGGTCCTGCCCCACACTGGAGCACATGTAACTCATGTGGCGTATCCTTGGGCAAGTGACTTTGTTCAAAATGTGCCTCTGTTCAACCAGCAGTGAATGGGTGCCCGGTAGAATGAGACGGCAGTGTGATTGTTGACCTTCTTTAAGATTGAGGCAGTCCCTGAATTAAAAAAAGAATGCTTCTGTGGTCTAGAAGATAAAGCATCTGTCCAGAGAGCGGAAAGTCAGTGGTTCAATCCTTGTCTGTGTCATACCAAAAGACTTTAAAAGATGGTACTTGTTGTTTCCCTGCCTGATCCTTGATGTTAAGATGATAAAACAAGGACTGGTCGGTTGAAGTCAGTATTCTGTGTCCGCAAGGGGTAACCATAATAAACTACAAAGCATGCAATCATACACACACATGCATGTCACTAAGTAAGTGCAATAATCTTAAAAGGACGTTAACAACTCTTTCAAAATCCATTAATTATCACAATGTTGTAGGACACAGAAGGCCATGGGAGGAGACGTGTCATTCCGTGTGGCACTGAGTGAGAGGCTGAATATTGTCAAACCATCAAAACAACAGCTCAATGATTTTGTAGCCAACCATCCCCCTCAACTTAGTGATGGCATGAGGTAAGAGAGCCTGTGGTTACATTAGGAATAGAAATGTAGTCGTTTTCATGTGTGCCACAGGGCACTCAGATGTTTAGGTGTGCCCTTTGGAATTAAAGTGTGCTCTTCAGAATTAAAGTGTTCCCTTTGGAATTAAAGTGTGCTCTTCAGAATTAAAGTGTGCTCTTCAGAATTAAAGTGTGCCCTTTGGAATTAAAGTGTGCTCTTTGGAATTAAAGTGTGCCCTTTGGAATTAAAGTGTGCTCTTTGGAATTAAAGTGTGCTCTTCAGAATTAAAGTGTGCCCTTTGGAATTAAAGTGTGCCTTTTGGAATTAAAGTGTGCCCTTTGGAATTAAAGTGTGCTCTTCGGAATTAAAGTGTGCCCTTTGGAATTAAAGTGTGCTCTTCAGAATTAAAGTGTGCCCTTTGGAATTAAAGTGTGCCCTTTGGAATTAAAGTGTGCTCTTCAGAATTAAAGTGTGCCCTTTGGAATTAAAGTGTGCTCTTCAGAATTAAAGTGTGCCTTTTGGAATTAAAGTGTGCCCTTTGGAACTTGTATTAACAGTGCCATGATTTTAATGTAAACGGCACTAAAATAAGACAAAGTTCAAACTGTAAACATAGTAAAGCTAGACTTGTCCAATCTCTTTGGTCAAAGTCTGTTATCATGTGATAATTGGTTCACCATATAACAGCTAAGATTAACATTTACTTCCAGAAATGTTATTTAATAGTATGTAAATACAAAAAAACAATCCAAATGGAGCCTAGAACAATGCTTAACTTCAGGCCAAATCATACTAGAGTTGAGTTGGACTCTTTAATGTATTCTCTAGGATCTTGGAGACGGATTAATCATAGCTATGTGATGTCAATATATTCAAGCATACATATCAACAAAAACAGTAAAATCTATCTAACATAAATGGGTGTTTCATGTATTTCTGGATTTGTTATTTCAGAAGCTTGCTTGGACTTAATATTGACAGATTACTGTAAGTTTTGAGTTTTTTACGTCTATTTATGACAATTATTGTGGCACTTTCAGTGACTTGGTGAGTGCACTGAGACAGAAGGGTCGAACTGTGTACCTGGTGTCTGGGGGGTTTCGGTCCATCATTGAACCTGCCGCTGATCTACTTTCTATACCTGCTGAAAATATCTATGCCAACAAACTCAAGTTCTACTATACAGGTGAGACTTTTCCAGGATTAACATAGCTGGGGGAATTCAGAGCAGTGCTGGGACGAAGGGTTTGGGGTGGGAGGTTCAAACCCCATGAACCTTTGCCTTCTACCTTTGGAAATTATTATTGAGATACCTTTGTGCCATGTTGTGCATCCCTATCTGATTGTCAAGTGGACAAGGCCCTCAGTACCTCATATTTGTTTGTTTGTTGTTTAAAGGGGAAGTGTACACGCAAAAATCACTTTTTATCTTTTCTAAACAAAACGAAATTTTAGAATTAATTAGTATCTGTGTTTGAAAATATACACTCATTTTTTTCACAGTGAAAGTAGGAAGCTCACAATAGTGTGAAAATGATATGCCGTTATGAGGCCTTCGTTTTTCGAGCTAAACAGGCCTGAGTTATCCCCCTTAGATTATGACGTAATTGGTGCCAATTCAACTGGGTCCCTGTCTATTCTCAACGCAAAAGATATCAAGTACCAGTTTGCGGTAAAACAACATGGCCTACGACACATTCCGGCGCAGTGGTGACTCAGCATAACACTATGCTGGCTGGCATCTGAGACGCTAGAATCACACACCTGTACCTACACCACGTGAAGCGGCTCTAACAAAGCATGATGACGTCATAATGTTTATCAATTGGCACCAATGACGTCATATTGCAAGGGGCATAAGCCATGGTGTTTTTGTTGTGGAAATTGAACACTTGGTAAATGTGAAAAATATCAATCATTTTAATGCGATAAATATGTTAATAAATTGTGATATTTTTATATTTTTGTCTATGACACTTCTAGGTTAACACTTTTAATGTGGAAAAAGTACAAGAAAAATAGGTTCATTTCCGTGTGAACTTGCCCTTTAACGCCACACTAAGCAGTCCAGCTATATGGCCGCGGTCTGTACGTAATCAAGTCTGGACCAGACAATCCAGTGATTGACGATGTCATGCTCATCGAACCATGCAATTAGAATACGATGACATGCATCAACCAAATAAGTGATCACTACCATATAAATCCTGTTAGTCGCCTCTTACCACAAGCATAGTTGCCTCTTACTCCAAGCATGGGTTGTAGGAGACCTATTCTATCCCGGATCTTCACGGGGCTCATGCTTGTTGTAAGAGATAACTAAGCTGAGGATTACCAGTACATGATATATTAAATTTGTAAATTATAATCCTTTAGAGTTTCTTTTCACAAACACCTGGTATCATCACTGTTTTAGTTATCCATTCATATAATTTTCACTGCTGTTTTGCCTTTTGTGACAAATGGAATCTGATCATGCTGTATTGGTGGTTAATAGAGACTAATTCAGAGCTCCAGATAAGCTTTTGGTGTTGCGGGTATTTTACCCATGCATTTTAAAATCATTGGGTATCAGTAATTCTATCTGCGTATTCAAATTTCTGTTACCCACTAGTTTTTACACATGTGGGTATTTAAGTTAAATATTTAAAAACACTCTTCATCAAGTCCCTGCAAAGTGGTGTCGTGTGGGTTCGAGAGCTTTATAGGACTCAAAAATACCACGATACTTCCACAAGAAAGTGTGATGGCAAATGATCATGATGTAACTGTCATCGTGGAGTTTGGCAAGGTTGACGGAATGCCCGTTTATAATTTCAAAATAAGTTGCTGATTTGCTAATCGAATACGCAGGGTTACTTCACAATATTTTGATGATACGCACACGTTTTATTTTTGTAGCGTATCTGTAATGTTCGTTGCGTATTTGATACGCTTGGATTATATTTTACTGTGTATTTCTGCATTTCTGATGCGTATTTCACGCAGATACACAGCTTATCTGGAGCTCTGCTAATTATTATCTGGTGTTAACGTTTTATATAATCATATTTACCTTGTTTATCATCATTACCAAATTCTGACTACAGGGGAGTATGCTGGATTTGATGAAAGCCAGCCAACATCTGACTCCGGCGGCAAGCCCCGTGTGATGCAGATCATCAAGGATCGTCATAAAGACAACAAGCTGGTGATGATCGGGGATGGCGCCACGGACTTGGAGGCAGCACCACCTGCTGTAAGTGTCTTCTTAGCTGTAGGGGGGTGGTCGGGTAGCCTAGTGGTTACAGCATTCGCTCGTCACGCCGAAGACCCGGGTTCGATTCCTGACATGGGTACAATGTGTGAAGCCCATGTCTGGTGTCCCCCGCCGTGATATTGCTGGAATATTGCTAAAAGCGTCGTAAAACCAAACTCACTCACTCACTCACTCTTAGCTGTAGGATGATGACTAGTGAGGAGTGAGTTGGGTTTAACACTGGTTTGAACTGTACTGCAGTTATCATTGGCACGTCATGGCGTGATGTGGAAGGAAGCATTTACTGCTTTGGTGAAACACACAACCACAGGTATGGTGCTGACAAAGCTAGACACATCATCAGGTGAACCTGAATTCAACCCCTGATTGTATGGCTGTGGCATGGGTAATGGATGCAGCACGAACATGCAACACGAACATGCAGCTGGATGCACAGCAAACTGAGGCGCCTTTGAAAACTTGGCCACCCATGCCCTCATCATTTGAATGCAATAATATCCTATTTCCAAAAGTAAATATGTACCAGAAATAATATATTCTAGTTTCCTTTTTTTCAATTAATGCTTTTGCTGTATATATGTATTATAATAATAACTTTAAGCATGGTAAGAGAAGCAGTTTGGTATATTAATGGTCATCTTTTAATATGCACCAGTTTGACCTATCACCATTTGAGATCAGCCAATCAGTTATTGTAACTAGCTGCAGTTATCATATCCACTTATCTTTTCCTTGTTTGATATCAGCTTTGTTTCATCAAAAGTGAACAAAGAATAAGGATTCCAAATCGGGGGGAAAAAACAATACAAGTTTTGTGAAACAAGATGGAGACAGCCTTGAAATTTTTTATTGAATACAATAAAATTGCGAAATAGTTTGAACACCTTTATAACCAGATAGTGTAACCATGGTAATAATAGGACTTACTTGTGTATTTACAAATGGGTATACACAGACAGAGAGAGCTGAGGTAACCTGACATGGAAACACATCCGCAAAACATCATCATCAACTTCCGAGAGTGTGTCCAGATTCAATGTTGATAAATTTTCAATAATCGATAGGTTGATGATGTTGGTATCAATCACAAATTTAGTGCTCGTTTCCTATGACTAGTGTTGAGTTGGTGCTTCATGTCATTCAAGTCATTGTTTCATCATGACATGACAAACTGTAAAGCCAGAAATGCTGTTTTGCTTCAGACTGTTGAAAAAGACCATGCAAATCCCAGCTCACTCGCTCCTTTCCCCCCCCCCCCCCCCCCCCCTTCCTTTCCACCCCACACAACCCACCCACCCTCCTCTGAATATCACATGGTTCATCCCTTATTAATGGAAGCAAGGAAGCACACACCTCTTTGTTTCATTAATGTCATGATTACCAGTCATCCACCTGCTCACTTTGATCCTGTGTTTCCAGGATGCTTTCATTGGCTATGGAGGGAATGTGGTCCGAGAGAGTGTCAAGTCCAGAGCTGCATGGTTTGTTACAGACTTTCAGGAACTAATCACTGAACTCAACTCATCTAGCTAGTGGAGAAATATGCTTGACATCACTTTGTATCACACGGCTTTGGCACGTTGTCAGTCTCATTAAAATCAGACCTTAGTTCTCGCTACCGCTAAACAAAGATCTGAGGACATCCCATTAGGGGTCACGTCAGAACAACCTTTCATCCGACCAATCAGAGCGTCGTTTCCCAGATCATGAAAATGACAGTCAGAATGTGATTTGGATTCATGCAACCTAGAAAACTTTAACACAGGGTATGCTGAAAGGTAGTTATGGGTTTAAGACTGAATCTATACAATCTAGACCATATATTTGCAATTCCAGAATGTTCTTTTGTTCAGGTTTCAATTTTTTTAATTGAGAATTTGTCCAAATATGTTTTGAAGCGTAGTCGCTAATTTGAATTTAGTGCCGCAAAGCACGAGAAAGCTGCCTTCTTATTAGTAAATGTCGACTTATTGTCAGTCCTTCCATTGGTCTGTCAAAATTCGTGCAAGGTTGGTCTGACAGGACCCTGACCCGTAATGGGATGTCCTCAGATCTTTATTTAGCGATAGCGAGAACTAAGATCTGATTTTAATGAGATTGGCACGTTGTGTATCACTTCTTATAATTGTTTTAATGGTTGGTATTGGTGAGAGTACTTGAAAACCAAACAAATTATACAAATTGTCAATTTGGAAAATGGTATTTCAATGCAAGGAAATCCCAGATTGTAATTATGAATTAAATCTTATGAAATTTAAACTTTAAGCAAATTTGTGATAAGGTTATGGGAGCAGTGCCATTGTAAAGGATTAAATGGTATTTGTGTCATGATTTGGTTTAATCACAAATGTATTGGCCAATATGCAACCAGCTACTTCATCATCTGATTTCTTTCTACTAGGGAGACTATAACCTCTTTATTTTTAGCATGATCTGCAAGATGTTAAGATATTAATTATTATACTCTTTTAATATCCCTGATTAAAGTTTTTATCTACTTTTATGCTGAGCAAGTGGAATGTTGAGTTTTTCCAGATATAATTGTGTTTTATTTTGTCACTGTTATTTTATTATGTTGTTAATGATGTCATGCTACTCAGAATTAATTCCTATTTGTAACATAATGTATTAATTGAAAAATATATTGCACATTAGGAATGTAAATAATACTTTGTATTTGATAAATGATAAAAATGAATATGTTTTGTCATTTTCTTTTGTACACGGAAAACATCGACAGACTTAATCATGTTAAGTAGCAACAATTTTAGAATCTGATAGCTTGTGAGGAAAATGAAGTGAATTGTCAATGCTTAACTTGAAGGTTAACACAGATTTCATGTGAAAGAACAAAGAACAGCGTGGAAAGAACAGAATGGGGTTTACAGGGTAGACATTGGCATGGTTACTGCACTCAGCTGTATTCCCGTTATATATGATGGTGGTCTGTAAGTATTCCAGCCTGGACCAGACAATCCAATGATACTATGAGCAATGATCCACGCTGTCAGGGAAGGAGGACACACCATCAACCAAGTCACCGAGACTGATCGCCCATTCCATTTGGTTGCCAGCATAGGTTGCTGTGGACCAGTTCTAATCCAGAATCCCTACAGGGGACCAGTCAATAAGGATCTGGTGGTTGCAATCTATGTCCTGCCTGGCTATGTATCATCGTATCCGACAGCGTGGATGTTGCTCATGTTATCAACCACTGGTCTGCCTGGGACTCTATTAATTAGTCAGCCATTGAGTGTTGCTGGCAACAGCTTAGAAATCAGTAACTCACCTCATTTCTTTAGCTGTACACATTTTATTTTGAAGCAGTAATTTGATCAATTAACCTGTAGAGAATGTGATGGATGAACACCATTACATTCCATTTATGAGTAAAATAAAATATAAATGTTAAAAAATTATAAAGACAAGCCAAAAAGTGAGCAGGGCTTACTGATACCTCCGACTACAACTCCAAAATATATCTTAGTTCAAAACAAGAAAACAGCAATATTTTCTCGGAAACTCCGCTTATCAAAATCAAACTTTTCACTGCTGTACCCCCAATCGGAAAAGAATCCATGAAGTAGTTGTAAGTTGTAGGACGCACTAATGTTCACAACATGAAAAACATAATATTTTTAGCAGAAAATACACATGTGAAAATCAATCTGTGCACTGCATCTCTTCTATTAGTGTGAGTGAGTGAGTGAGTTGGGTTTAACACCGATTTTAACAGTATTCCAGTTACATCACAGCGTTTCTATTAGTATGTAATCATTCCTAAATTTGAAAAGAATCCATGCAGTAGTTTTCAAGTTATAGGTTGCGCAAATGTTTTAGTAACAAAATTCTAAGTAAACAAAATAATATAGCTGCATTTTTTCAGAAAATACAAATATTGAAAAGAAACATCACACTGCACCTCTCCTATTGGTATAGAAACTGTACCCCCAATTTGAAAAGAATCAATGCAGTAGTTTTCAAGTTGTAGGTCGCACAAATGTTTTAGTACAAAACTCCTAAGTAAATAAAAAAGTTGTATTTTTTTCAGAAAATCCAAAAATTGAAAATAAACTTCGCACTGCACCTCTCCTATTGGTATAGAAACTGTACCCCTAATTGGAAAAGAATCCATGCAGTAGTTTTAAAGTTATTGGTCGCACATATGTTGGAATAGACAAATTCTAAGTTCACTACATGAACAATATCATATCTTTCTGAAAATACTCATATCAAAATTAATCTTTGCACTGCACCTCTTCTGTTGGCATGGAAACTGTTCCCTAAATTTGAAAAGAATCCCTGCAGTAGTTTTCAAGTTATAGGTCGCACCAACTTCAAGAGAAAATATGTCCTTGGGAGGATGGGCAGACTTCCCATATATGGTATAACTATATTCCTCTCCCCTTTAAGATTGGGGGTATAAAAAACCAACACATTCATGCATGGCCTCCCGTCTTTACAGCAACCAGGTGCCCTCCTCAGTTTAGATATCTGTGATGATATCTGTCCTCGTGTTGTGTCATATGGGCCTTGTTTATCAAAAGAACCACCAGACGTTTGTTCACGCTGAAAAACAGAGTAAGTGAGTGAGTTGGGTCTAACGCTGTTTTTAACAGTGTTCCCGTTATATCGCGGAGTGTCAGCTTAATGTGGGAGGAAAGCTCGAAGTGATGCAAGTCTCAGACGTTTACCACTTCGGTGAAACCCACGAGGTATGGTGCTGACAAACCTAGAAACATAATCGGAGCGAACCGGGATTCGAACCCACAATCATAGATTTCTGGCGTGCCCAAGGGACGCAACTCTGCACAGCGAATCGCGGCGCGTTAGACGACTAGGCATCTTCCCGAAGCAAGAGAGTTAACTGACTTTAAAAAGTCTAGTTTCCACCCTTGCCGAACTAGGCTGGAATTCTTGGGCTCGACTGTAGCGCCACCAGTGGCTATTACGAGTTATGTCCCTTCTATGCCTCTCCTATGGACCAATCAGATTCTACCTCTCGTATCACTTGCATTTGGGTGTTTGCAGACACAAGGTGATAATAGTAAATTTGACATTATTTTCAGGGGCACGAGAAGCATTTGACCAATTTGTTGTTTGTTAGCGAGATATATGAATAAACACTGATGACCTTTACCTTATATATCTCAATGTCACTGAAACATTTTTTCCTGTTTGCTGTTTTTGAAATATCTCAAGCTATACTTCACAGAGGTCTGCAGATCTCACTTAATTATGGTGACAGTGAGCATATTTTCAAAGTCACAGAGAGCATTTGACTGTTTTCTGTTTTGGGTTTTGTACATACATCATGTACATTGTATTTGTTTCACTGATCTCTTCTTCTTCTTCATCATCATCATCATCATCATCATCAGGGGCGATCGGGTAGAATAGTGGTTAATGCGTTCGCTCGTCACGCCTAAGACTCTGGTTCGATTCCCGACAAGGGTACAATGTGTGAAGACCATTTACAATGTGTGAACTGTGATATTGCTGGAATGTTGCTGAAAGCGGCGTAAAACTATACTTACTCACTCACTCATCATGTTTTTCTCTGCCAATATATCCTGTACCGTTAATACAAATTGGGATGCGGATACAGATGATAGGTTTTTGACACACTCTCTCACTCTCTCTCTCTCTCAAACGTATTTGCTCTACAAGTTAAAGCCTTTGGAACTAAATGGAGTTTGTTATTCAAATACCTGATGACACTTTGTTTCTGAAGTGGGTCATATATCAACGGAAAAAATACCAATTTAACTTTCAGCGTTTCGGTGTTGTAACTAGGCAGAGTCTATACGTTCTCATCATAATCAGGATGAGTCTGGGACGCTTGCCATAGATCAGTATGTCCATTCCACTGGAGATTCTTTGTCATTCCATTCATACGGGCTATCAGCAGCAGAACTTACAAAGCCAACAGAAGAACGAAACCGGATATGTAGAGATTCCTCTGAGCCCGGAACATTTCGGCCCTTGTCGACATAATCACCTCCTGCTGCGCGTTCGTAATCTCCTTTGGCAGTAAACCTCTGCACTTCTTGTACTGCATGACAGCATCTGTAGGTGGAACCCGAGTGAAATCATTGCAACGCAATTTATATATTCGACGTCCTGGTTTTGAAATAAAACTGTGTCCTTTAATAACATAGGTGCAAAAGATGTTTATATCATATCTTCATGGTAATAAAGTATTCAGACGCTGAACCGAGTTCAAATGACTTGGAATAGGTAGGCATAATGTAAGAATTGCGGAAAATGCTGAGAAATTGTAAAAAAGAAAGTTATCAGATATGTTTTTATGAGTGGGAATTAATCTTTGTTTCAACGCTAGTATGTTTTGGACTTTAAACAATTCTAAACAAAGACGTAAATATACTTAATGTTAAGATTTGTTCTTGACGTTCATTCATTTTCATTCATTTTCGCCATTCATATGTAGTTGATCATGCCACACGTCCTATGAGAAAGAAAGTCTAGCTGTCAGCCATTTCAACATGTGTGATAACTGTCATGCCAATCTGTCAAAGAATTCCGTAATTTTCAAATTTGGTACAACTGTCCTTGTACTACCTCGACCTTTGACAAGAACGATATACAACAAGAAATACTTTTCTGTAAATAGATGTTTACAAGAAATATATACGGCTTTTCCATTGGAAGTCAAGTGTATGAACGACACAATTTTACATTTATACGTTTTTCACGAGACCGTTTTCTTGAAATGACGTAAACACCGACGGACTACTTCCACATTCCTGGGGGAACCCACGGGCATTCCCTAGCACGCATAAATAGAGTAGCGTTGTTTCTGAGCATTTAGACCCTTTAATATTGAACTTTAGTGTACATTGAGAAACGTTAGAGAGTTTGACTGCATGATCGTTCACGAATATCCTCGCTTCGTCCCATCCTAGTGAACAATACGGAGAGGCACATCCAAACTGTTGTAGTATCGACTCGATCCGTCTCTAGGCAGACAATTACAGTCAACATCAATTTACGAATTTACCTTAGTGTCTATTTGACACATCTTTAATCACCTTTCAATGATCGGCCAATTGATCAATGATGACTAAAACATGTAACCACCACACGTTTATTAACAACTTCGGAAGTGTCTCCTGTCACGTCTATCGTGTTGGGAATTTTGACGTCTTTTACTTGTTGTGAATATATTAGGATGCGCTGTCATTGTGACTGACTTACCGAGGTAGCTCTTCACAGAACTTTCTCATCTAATGATTATCCTATTTAAATACATGTGTTGTGTCAGATGTTTCTGAAGAGTAGTTGTGCATTTAAAAGCTCCTGTCATCTCTCTTTTGGGGGAACCATTTTATTCCGCGATACAGCTGGTTGTTGTATGGCTGTCAGTTTAAACATGTCACACGTACTATAGACATACAATTGTGTATTCGATCCATGTCTACATACTTTGAGGTAAACAAATTGTGATAAAAAATTATAAGAATTGACTTTCACTTTTGGTGAGTTCACTTGTAAGCTCCGACGTTCATAGAGTTTGGCCCTCGCTCCATGAAGGTTCATACTCCAATGATTGTCAATGTTCATACCTAGATTGCGCAATTTAGAAACATAATTCTTAGAAGCATTTTGTCCTGGAAAAAACACAACAGTGATCTCACCTCCAAAAACAACACCAATCGTGAAGACTGCAGTCCAAAACATCATCTGGATATTTCCTACGAGCCATTGAAACGGAAATGACGTCAAGAAGAAGCTCCACCTGGATAGATAAAAACAAAAAGACATTGGCACTGTAGCTCAACAAAATAGCAACATTTTTGGGGAGAATCAAGATTTTACAAATTCAAAATCACTGTTGTCCATTGTTTTCGAAAGGATAAATGAATCATTAATTCAAGTAATCCAACACTACTTAAAATTATAAGAACTACTGGACATAAAGCGATGTTCCGACTAAATGAAATTATTGAAGATTCTCAGAAGGTCCAAACGATCAAGCAATCGAACGCAATTTTTCATATTCGAACGATCTAATTACCCCCTCTCTCAAGTTGTGAGATAGTTTTATTTCCTAGTAAAGTTTATCCACTAACTCCTTATAGCACGTGGAGACAAAAAATGTGAGAAAGAGTGAGGCCAGAGTCTTTTATAAAAAATAAAGTGCTAAAGTGAGTATTTGTGTTTTTATTAAATGTGATCTAGTTTTACTGAACATTGAAAAACAGCAAAATTATGCCAACCGATTATTTTCGATGATCGATCGGTTGGCATGATTTAAATATCAACCTTGATTTTAAACTAAGAGGCAAAAGAAAGAATAGGTTGGCAATTTGTAATTTTCCTAAAAACAGCGATAACTAGTGGAAAGTGGGTATTAGTTATATGACTGCCCAGGAACAGGTACTAAAAACCTCACCCGAACGCGCCACCTTCGACGGCGCTCGTGCGGTGACAAAAAATGGTGAATCTGCACGTGCATGTTAGCTGTATAAATGCGTTCGTCTGCAGGGTATAACCACAAGTGATGAAAGCACACAAAAGAAATGCAGAGAGAGAGAGCCATCGGTATACCCGAAATGGGGGCAACACAGGTCCAAATTGCTAGAAGGTTTGGTTGTACACCATTGACAGTAGCCAGGCTGATTCAACGGTACAGGCAGACAGGGAGGACACAGGACAGGCCTAGAACCGGACGACCCCGAGTGACAACACCACTCGAAGACGGTCAGATACGGCTCATTCACCTGCGAAACAGATTCGTAACGGCGACGGCGACGACAGCAACAGCGTTGGGACATCCCATTAGCCAACGTACAGTACTACGACGACTTCGTGCTGCTGGAATCCGAGCGTATCGTCCTTTCCGAGGAATGGTACTGACTGCTCAACATCGACGCCTGAGACTGCGATGGGCGAGGCAGGTTCGACGCTGGCAAGTGAGAAATTGGCGTCGAGTGCTGTTTACTGATGAAAGTCGGTTTAACTTGTTTCGAAAAGACGGCAGAGAACGAGTTTATCGACGCAGAGGGGAACGTTTGTCTCCGGCGTGTATTCGAGAGGTCCATCCATTCGGCGGGGGAGGTGTCATTGCGTGGGGCGGTATTTGTGGAGATCAGAAGACTGATTTGGTGATTATACAGGGAAACCTGAACGCTGTGCAGTACAGAGACCAAGTGTTGCAGCCAGTTGTGCTTCCGTTCTTACAAAACCAACAGCAGAAGACATTGTTTCAACACGACAATGCCAATGCCCCATACTGCAAGACTGACTCAGAACTTTCTTAACCGGCAGAACGTTGACGTTTTGCCCTGGCCTGCCCACTCACCCGGTATGAATCCTATTGAACATCTGTGGGACCATCTTGACAGACAGATTAGAGCACGCCATCAGCCTCCCGTCAACAGACAAGAATTGCAGCAGGCCCTGAGAGACGAGTGGCAACGGATTCAGTCCACGTCATCAGAAGACTGACGTCATCGATGAGGCGGCGTATCACAGCATGCATTGGGGCAGCTGGAGGTCATGCACGCTATTGAAGGCAACTGTGTCGACAATGAACTTGTAGTGTGTCTGACAACTTTTTGGTGACATTTCAGACAACTTTTGAAAATGAAATTTCTTATCCCACCATTACTTACCTTGAGCTTACATTACCTGTGATTGCACAATTTCATTCAAACTGTGGCTGATCAATCATTTGTTACCCCTCCCTAAATAATATAATAATTCACAACAAAACCTCTTGTTATTTTTTTATCGATCATGGAACTCGACCTATACTTTCTTTTGCCGCGCAGTTTACAATGGCAAAGCCCAACACTAGACTACATGTCATGGGAGTGAGTGAGTGAGTTGGGTTTAACGCCGCTTTTAACAGTATTCCAGTTATATCGCGGCGTGTCAGCTTAATGTGGGAGGAAAGCCCGAAGTGATGCAGGTCACAGACTTTTACCACTTCGGTGAAACCCACGAGCACGGGTATGGTGCTGACAAACCTAGAAACATAATCGGGGCGAACCGGGATTCGAACCCACAATAATAGGTTGCTGGCGTGCCCAAGGGACGCAACCCTGCGCAGCGAATCGAGGCGCCTTAGACGACTGGGCCACCCGTGCCCCCCTACATGTCATGGACATACACATGGCGTGAATGGGGAATAGAATGGGTGAGTGATCTTACGCCCCTTTTAGCAATATTTAAGCAATATCTCGGCGGGGGACACCAGAGATATGCTTCACACAATGAACCCATGTGGGAATCGAACCTGGGCCTTCAGCGTGACGAGCGAACGCTTTAACCACTAGGCTACCCGACCGCCCCGGGAGTAGTATGGGTATCAGCAACGATAGGTTAAATAGATCAATGTAGAAAAGAGGATATGGATCGCCAAGTCGTCCATACTGACCCAATTCGCTATGCAGAGTTGCGTCCCTTGGGCATGGCAGAAAGCTATGATCCCAGTTCGCCCCGATCATGTTTCTTGGTTCGTCGGCACCATACCCGTGCTCGAGGGTTTTAACCAAGTCAATAACTCAATGCAGAGGGTGTTTTTTTAGAGAGGATATGTTTCATAAATGTTTAAACTTACACATTCGGTGAAATCCCCGGCAGGAGTAGCAGAACGGTGAAGGTCGCGATAACAAGCCACTGGAAACCCATAGTGATGATGGCTGCAGTGAGAAGTGAGCGAGTGTTGTTTAACGCCGTTTTAGACGGTAAGTTCAATCATGTCTTGGCTAGAGAGCAACATGTGGGTGGACAGACTGTAATGCGGGTCCGTAACGTTACCAGTGATACCCACACGGGCATGTTACTTATTAACCTAGAAACAATCAGGGTGAATTTTGGAATCTGGCGCGTCAAAGAGAAACACGTGGAATTACGGCGCCTTATCATGTATGCGAGGAAAAGTGGAAAGGTCTCTTGTTCTAAACAGGCTAAAAAGACAAAAATAAATATGGCAGCAATTATTGGTTATTGGCTGGGTCGGAACATGTAGTTTAATTTTTACAAGACAGATTCATATTCTTCAATATCAACTTCAATATACGGGCTTTTATCTTGAGCCGGGCCAATAAATGGCCGACATCAATGGGCACGAAAAGGGGGCGTGTCGGAAAGCAGCTCTCTAATTGGTCGATATATACATTCCAGACCCTTGCTTTTGTTCTTATGACTGTTGTAAGGCTACTGTTGTATAGACTCTGAAGGAACATAGAAAATATCAGAAAAATTATATGTACTTTATGAACCATTATGTGAGTGGAAAGACAATGCTGTCAAAAATGGATATATGTCATCATTACCACGAGTACAAGTGAAGGCATTACATGCTCAGTTTTAGAGAATGGATGAAAAAATACTGGGAATTGGGAGGTACGTGTAATATGTTGACAAATATTGTGTTTTTGTCACAGTTTGTAAGTATGTGTAGTGATGTTCCTAAATGACTTAGAAGACTGTAATTTGATAACAGTAATTCCATGATTGTCCTTACCATTCCCAATAATTTCAAAGATGATTAACAAACCAGATGTTACAATATAACCTCGTAGATATTTGACATTAGTTGCTTCTATTCAATTACTTAAAAATAATAAAATTATATTCTTTTTCAGGTTGGAATATTGAAAGGAAACACAGTATTTAATACATTCAGTAGTTTGAATATAATTCTAACAGTCCTACTGAGTATATTTCCTCAAATAAAACAAACACACCAACAGCACCTGAACAGCTAATGTTCATTTCACGCCAACTATCTGCATGTGTCTGTAACTCATTACTATCAGATCATATCAAGTGGATTATTATTAAAATGTTTGATTTTTTATTTAGGCTATTTAATTTCGTGTCCTGTAGCTACCTGACTATGTGTCAGGTATGTCAAAGGTCCTGGAATAAAATATTTCACTCATGAATAAAGTTTCAATTTCATTTATCATGTTAAAAGTATATATATAAAACCTTATTACAAGTTACATCCCTCAATGATAACAGCCACAGCCACAGCCATTTTGTACTTCCAGTAATAAACCTGTATTCCTGACCAATATAACATGTTGTGTTGCACTTGTATGCTTTACGGATAAAGTTTAACAAACTGAATTCCCCGACAATACAATAATGTAATAAGGTTAAAATGCATCTTTAAAAAATTAGAAAATGGTAACAAAATTGTAACAAATTCAACTGTTCATAACTGCAATGATGTGTTGCATTGGCTATAAAATATTCGTGAGAGAGAACTATGAGTTGCAAAGGAATTAATAGAGAAAGGACATTTCACATTTATCACAAGAGTATTCAGGACATTCCGTAATTTATCATTGTATTGGTTCCACATTGTGGTCGATTAGTTAAGGAACCATGAATGATGTAAGATACTTTTCATTTCTATAAAAAGTGAGTGAGTGAGTGAGTTTGGTTTAACGCCGCTTTTAACAGTATTCCAGTTATATCACTGAGTGTCTGCTTGATGTGGGAGGAAAGCCCGAAGTGATGCAGTCTCAGATGTTTACCACTTCGCTGAAACCCACGAGCACGGGTATGGTGCTGACAAACCTTGAAACATAATCGGGGCGAACCGGGATTCGAACCCACAATCATAGGTTTCTGGCGTGCCCAAGGGACGCAACTCTGCACAGAGAATCGCGGCGCCTTAGACGACTGGGCCACCCGTGCCCCCCTATAAAAAGTAAGTGAGTCACAAAATCAATAGGAAGATGGTCATTTGGTCACGTCGTCTTCGGTATGTCTCCGACTGTGACACACGAGTTCATGGTCAGATCTAACTTTAACGAATCAAATTGAGACATTGTTACATGTTACAAATGAAAGGTTAGACTCGACCCCTTTAAAAAGATACGTTCGGCACAAGTAGTAGAGGGTGGTTCTGGCAGTGACTGAGGCCGATCGATATCACTCTGTTGGTCTAGTCTATGGCGAGTCTAGCCTGTCTTCTGTAGATGTTGTCTCTGATGGACTGAAGCATTATGAAAAGTATGTGAGTATCACCTATTTTTTGTGTTTACTCCTGGTGTATGCAAGGGCCGGTACATGACTGTTGTCAGTGTTGATTGAGACAGTTCGGAGTAAGAGTCGATAGACCAATCACTCCTTGAGTAAGATAACCGGATTCTGACCAATCCGGTTTGCCGATTCTGGTTTACCTTGCCTATGACGCCACGGAACGACAAGAACATGGGTAACTGTAGTAGGGCCCAGTTGACCCCAAAACGCAGTTACGACAGACATATTGACCAATCAGAGAGCTGCCTCCCCTTGCACATCTCAACATTTTGCTCAGCGATTTGAGATTTTAAACTAGAAACTGCGATACAAGGCGAGCGGCGCCTTGTCTAAATGTGTGTATAGGGTAGTGCATTTCCGAGGCTCGTGTGAAATTAATCAATATCGATATAATATTATATCTAAGCAACGAGAAACAACTGGAGACAACGCAACGACTTACGGAGGCGTGATTGACAAGGGGAATCTGCTACACCGCTGTTCACAGGAGATGCAGGTTTATACCTATGTGGACAATCCTTCGTGCTTCGTGGAAGCTGAAACGCAAGTTGGTATTCCAGAAAGCTATATAAAGGTTTATAGACAGTCATCCGCATTGCTAGCGATTCAGACTTTCTCGCATTTCAAAATGTAGCCTAAATGTTCACAATGTAGACTGCATGTTCACCATGTAGCCGACATGTTCACAATGTAGCCGACATGTTCACAATTTAGCCGACATGTTCACAATTTAGCCTGCATGTTCATAATGTAGCCAATCTAGCCGACAAGTTCACAAAGTAGCCTGTATGCTCACTTTGTAGCCAACATGTTCACAATGTAGTCGGTATGTTCACAATTTAGCAGGCATGTTCACAATGTAGCCTGCATGTTCACAATGTAGCCTGCATGTTCACAATGTAGCCTGCATGTTCACAATGTAGCCGACATGTTCACAATGTAGCCTGCATGTTCACAATGTAGCCGACATGTTCACAATGTAGCCTGCATGTTCACAATGTAGCCTGCATGTTCACAATGTAGCCGACATGTTCACAATGTAGCCTGCATGTTCACAATGTAGCCGACATGTTCACAATGTACCTGACATGTTCACAATGTAGCCAATGTAACCGACATGTTCACAATGTAACAGGCATGTTTACAATGTATCTGACATGTTTACAATGTAGCTGACATGTTCACAATGTAGCCAATGTAACCGACATGTTCACAATGTAACCGGCATGTTTACAACGTAGCTGACATGTTCACAATGTGGCCAATGTAACCGACATGTTCACAATGTAACCGGCATGTTCACAATGTAACCGGCATGTTCACAATGTACCTGACATGTTTACAATGTAACCGACATGTTCACAATGTAGCTGACATGTTTACAATGTAACCGACATGTTCACAATGATACCGGCATGTTTACAACGTAGCTGACATGTTCACAATGTGGCCAATGTAACCGACATGTTCACAATGTAACCAGCATGTTCACAATGTAGCTGACATGTTCACAATGTAACCGGCATGTTCACAATGTACCTGACATGTTTACAATGTAGCTGACATGTTCACAATGTAGCCGACATGTTCACAATGTACCTGACATGTTCACAATGTAGCCAATGTAACCGACATGTTCACAATGTAACCGGCATGTTCACAATGTAGCTGACATGTTTACAATGTAGCTGACATGTTCACAATGTAACCGGCATGTTCACAATGTACCTGACATGTTTACAATGTAGCTGACATGTTCACAATGTGGCCGATATGTTCACTATGTAGCCGGCATTTTCACAATGTAGCCGGCAAGTTCACAGGCCATTGTGTCTAGTATCACACCAGTTCGGTTCTCTATATGTGTTCGATGTCCGAAGCCAATTCTCGGTGTCTCCAGTTATGGTATGGCTTTAATATTGCTAAAAAAAACCGAGAAAAAACAAGCTTACTCAATTTCCAGCATTAAATAGTCAAAGAGTAGAAGCTAACAAATACGGCATGACCTGAATCGATGTACTTCCTGGATTGATCTTTATGTCGGATCTGTCAAGTGGGGATGAAACATAACAATAGGGTAGCTAACATCATTTGTTTGTTTGTTTGTTTGTTTGTTGTTTAACGCCGCCCTCAGCAACATTCCAGCTATATGACGGCGGTCGGTAAACAATCGAATTTGGACCCGACAATCCAGCGATTGACATCATGAGCATCGATCCACGCAATTGGGATCGATGACATGCTTCAACCAAGTCACCAAGTCTGGCCACCAGATCCCGTTTGTCGCCTCTTACGACAAGCATAGTCGCCTTTTACGGCAAGAATAGGTTGCTGAAGACCTATTCTACCCCGGATCTTCACGGGTCAGCTAACATCAAGAAAAGAAATACTAGTACTTGAATTGTGCGACGTATAAATGTCGGTAGAGATGGCCCAATAGCATGTATTTTCTACGTCCATCTGAACATGGGATGGTGAGAACAAGACTATGGCCACCGCGGCGAGATCTTTGTATCGGTGCATCTACCGTCATTGTTTTGTTTGTTTGTTGTTTAACGCCGCGCCCAGCAATAAGCAAGCTGTATGACAATGGTCTGTAAATAATCGAGTCCGTACCAGACAATCCTGTGATTGACATCATGAGCATCGATCCACGCAGTTGGGATACGATTGACATGCATCAGCCTAATCACCGTGCCTGGCCATCCGATCCCGTTATTGGCCTCTTACGACAATCATAGGTTGCTGACGACCAGTTCTAACCGGGACCTTCACGGGACCTACCACGAGTGAATCACTGTGGTTCAAAACACTACTTTTATATATCGGTGATCACCTTTAAAAGTGTTGTTTGCGTCAAACATTGAGATTAACTTCATGAAGGTTCAAGATTCTTTATTAACGTATATTTATGCCACCTAAAATACAATATAAATATATATTTGTTGTAACACAGAATAGCTGTTAGAACCAGAGAGTCTATATAGATTCTTTGTAAAACTTTGTATAGTATCCCTGGTTAGAACAGATGAACAACTGAGACAAACTATTTGCAAAGATTCAGCTTTTAGGTAGATTTCCAACGTCCTGTATAAACGTGAACCATGCCATTATTTTAGTCTACCTTTAGCTCTAGTTCGTGAGCTTGGGGGATGCTTGGATCAGCAAGTCAATCAGAGGTTTCAAATGATAATATACTATGCCTCTGATTGCAACAACCATATTACCACGGAAGAAACTATTTAAAATACTTCTGATTCGGTATGCTCCCTTAGCGGCTTCTGACGACAGTTACATGTGATGGTGGTGAAATAAGGTATAACGACGTGTACAATTTTATTTCACATATTGGGTACAATGTGTGAAGCCCATTTCTGGTGTCCCCCGCCGTGATATTGCTGGAATATTGCTAAAAGCGGCGTAAAACCATACTCACTCACTCATTATTTCACACACACATATATATATATATATATATATATATATATATATATATATATATATATATATATATAGCGACGTACATGCACGTGTGTATACCATGCTATACAAATTACTAACACTGACCCGACCAGTCCTTATTTTATCCTTTAAATGCGGAGCGCCAAGCAGGAAATCAACAAGTACCATCTTGTGACGTCCTTTGGTAATGACCAACGATCGAACAAACGAGCTTCAGAGCGGGCGCTGTATCCGCTAGTCTCCGGAGGTGGTCAGTTTTCATGTAACGGTATGGTTAAATGAAGGTTAGAAAAGCTATGATGCCCCCGTTCCAAGTTTGTGTAGAACATTGTGTCCGAAAAGCGAATTACAAAGTTCATGGACATTACAATTTTAGCGCACCCCTATTATCGTTAATTCCATCGGTAATTCCCAGTTTCCTTTCAGCAACCAACTCGGTGTGGTTTCGTGTCACAAACAAAGATCCAAATATTGATTTCATCAAGACTTGAACGCTATTTATATCTTGCACTATACATAGTCTGTGTTTATTCAAAACCTGTCTGTGAAACTTACCTTCAATGTTTTGACATTAAGAACATATAGACAGATGTATCACAATTCCGTTCAATAGTTTGTGACTTGAAGGGAAATTCCGTTCCGAATTTATGACATGAGAAGCCACACTATTCCCCAAAAGCACATATTCCATCTAGAAATATATATGTTTTATTGTTACCAACCACGAATATTTGATAACTTGAAAATGTTACTCTATTTATTAACCCTGCCACTCACAGACAGATCTAGATCTCCTTCTTTTCTGACCCCCACACGTTAACTGCACCCTCACGTCGTGCGTGAGTTGTGTATGCTCCCCTCCTCCTCCCCCTCCCCTCTTTCACCACCCTTGATCCGCCTCTGTCATTGTAAACAGGAAATCACATTGTTGAGGCACAAATGTCTTGTACCATGGGCCTATGGACGCCATTTATGATGAGTAAACTGTAATATAAGGTCACAAAGGGGGATAATGAAAAGCTCATAAACATTTTAAAGTATTGCATTAGGTAATAATATGTCATAGTTTAATATAATTGGAGATTTTATCTCATATTCCTTCTCAGTCTAAGAATAATACTTGCAAAATTACACATCGTTAACGGGGCGGTGGGGTAGCCTAGTGGTTAAAGCGTTCGCTCGTCACGCCGAAGACCCGAATGTGAGTCCCCACATGGGTACAATGTGTGAAGCCCATTTCTGGTGTCCCCCGTCGTGATATTGCTGGAATATTGCTAAAAGCGGCGTAAAACCATACTCACTACAAAACCCATAATGTGACTCTCGTCACCGTGACGTTCTACCCAATATACTTCAAATAGCAAAACATATATAATTAAACTGTTTGTGACAGATACAGAAATCCCTTTTTGGCCACGAAAGTCTACTATTAGAAGCGTCGGTTCGTTGTGTTCTCTCTACTGGACCTGACGTTAAGCTACAAGTTACAAGCAGTTTATGAACTTTAAGAAATCATGATGGTAAACTGGTGTTTAAGAACGAAACTTATTAAACAGGATGCAGTTTCATTGATAGTCCTGTCACAGTGCACCAGACGTTAACCCTCCACTGTGTCAGTGATCCGTCTCCTCGCTGTTGACGACTGGGATTGCCGTAACTGTTGCTGCTGAGCGTTGTTGGACGCCATATTGGTATCTTCCCTACTCTTCAGCCTGTTGATCATGTCAGCGTTGGCAGAAAGTAGAACTACAAGACGTCCGATCACACTGCGAACATATAATCCAGTGCTTATAATATAAACATCGTGGCATTTACATGAGGATTTAATAGAAGTAACCAAAAGCATCTTCCGCGCAATAGCAATGCATTCCCAGTGATCACATAGCCAGAAAGTTCATCTGGCCCGATGACGTCCTTCGTCAGCAACAGATTCTTTGTACGGCTATATAGATTATGCAAGGGAGTCTATATAAAGACTCCCCGACTGAGCTGACACTCTGTAGGTCTTCCTGTTCAGCAATTGCTTAAGATCGATGCATTTTAACATTAACAATTTGTTAAAGAAATGTTGAAAGAAATTTTAAAAATTGTAAATTATCCATGGCAACCAGAATGACGAGAACGTCGTGAAGTGACTGATTTGGGATAAAAGCCGCTTTGGGCAGTTATGATTAATTACATCATTGCCACCCAAAACTGATACGGGAGAGGTTGTGGACGTTATCGCCTTGGTGAAACCCACAAGCACGGGTATAGTGGCAACGAATCCCTATACGGGTCTGCAAAGAGAAATGTGTCGCCTTGAACGTACGCCTATGGCCTAAAAACGTTTCTGAAGCTGTGTATGAATGCCAATTGACATGAAAAGCTTAAGATTTGCTCTCCGTGTTAGGGAACGTTTTATAACAGACCTCACACCAGAGAAACAAGTTAGTTCCTTACAATGCCAAGAGAAGAACAAATCCAGATATGTACAGATTTCGTTGCGCTCGAAACATCTTAGACTGCGCCAACATCCGGGTCTCCGTGGACATCTTCAACTCCTGACCCCTCACAGAGCCACTGTACTTCCAGTTGTCGAGAAGAGAACCTGATGACAGAGAAAACTATCCTTACTCGGCGTCATTATTGAAGGGTTTGTAAGGTGACAGACATGAACATATGCCAACAAACGTTAAAAGGTCTGGGTGTGTTGACAATGTGATTAACAGTTGAAGAACATGGTGTTTATGCCTATGTCACGATTGGATGCTTTTGTGAAACTGGAAAATGGACAAGGACTGTAACAAATAATAATTGGAGAAAAGGTTACCTAAAACACACGCCTGAACGCAACCAGTGGCTTTGCCTATGCAAGTGCAATAGATGACAAGTAACAGTCAATGTGGGTATAAAATGGTTCATTCCAGATGCACCTGAACTCCACTCTTGGGAGTTAAAAAAACGTTTTATCTGATATTATCTGCGTGACCTTACTGCGTGATCTTTGCTTGTTTGTTTGTTTTTGTTTAACGCCGCACTAAGCAATATTCTAGATATGTGACGCCGCACTAAGCAATATTCTAGATATGAGACGCCGCACTCAGCAATATTCCAGCTATATGACGGCGGTCTGTAAATAATCGAGTCTGGACCAATCCAGTGATTGATATCATGAGCATCGATCCACGGAATTGGGATACGATGACATGCATCAACCACGTCAGCGAGACTGACCACCCGATCCCGTTAGTCGCCTCTTACGCCTGTTAAGGCAAGCATGGGTTGCTGAAGGCCAATTCTAATCCGGATCTTCACGGGTCGAAATGGGGTTATACGTCGCGTTTAAGATTATTGCACTTCTAGAGCGACGTGCATGCACGTGTGTGTATGTGCATGTGCATGTGTGCGTGTGCGTGTGCGTGTGTGTGTGTGTGTGTGTGTGTGTGTGTGTGTGAGAGAGTGAGTGTGTGTGTGTGTGTGTGTGTGTGTGTGTGTGTGTGTGTGTGTGTGTGTGAGAGAGAGACTCGGTTGATCGTATCCCAATTGCGTGGATCGATGCTCATGATGGCAATCACTGGATTGTCTGGTCCAGACTCGATTATTTACAGGCCGCCGTCATATAGCTGGAATATTGCTGAGTGCGGCGTTAAACAACAAACAAACAAACAATTAACAGGTATGGGTAGTTATGTCTATGTCACTGTGTATGTGTGTGTTTAGAACAGGCTATATTGTAGTCTTGTTAAGTGTATTTCCTCGAATATGTCTTTTCAGTGGATATCCTACCTCTAAACACAAAGATTAGGACCACAACTGTAGCCCAAAAGTAATATTTGGCATAATCTGTAACCACGAATAACCATCGGGACCGAAACAGTCTCTGCCATCTGCAATAAAACAAAAGTTCAATTAACTTCAATCATGAAGTATTTCAATTTTATCTTCAGCTGTGGAGACGTAACACTACTTTACCGTTCCACTCCAGTGTTGGATCTAATTTGTATAATACAGTTTCGTATCAAACACATATAACTATGAGCATCACACTAATACAGTAAACTACGGTTATAACGAACTCAAAGGGACTACTATTTTTAGTTCGTTATAACCGTAGTTCGTTATAAGCATATATACAGCCTAACCACAGCAAATAGTCGGGACTAAAAAGTAAGTTAGTTATATCTGTCAGTTCGTTATAAGCGTGTTCGTTATAACCGTAGTTTACTGTATATCAGTTATGTATTTAAGATTGTCATTGAGCGTTGTCGCCATAGTCTAAAAGGTGGGTGAGTTTCCTTTAACGCCGCTTTGAACAGTAGAGTTATAATTATCACCGCGTGTCAACTTCATGTGGGAGGAAAGCCAGAAGTGATGCAAGTCTTTGACGTTGAACAAGCACGAGCACCGGTATGGAGCTGACAAACCAAGAAATGTCGTTCGATCCATAGTCAACAACACTACCCTTTACATGGTACCAACCGTCTCTGTGTTCTAGTGGTAGAACGTCCGCCCGGAGAGCAGAAGGTCCGGTGTTCGATCCCTGGCCGCGTCATTACAAAAGGCGTTAAAGATGGTACTTGTTGTTACCCTGTCTGGTGCTCAGCATTAATGGTCTCAAACAAGGACTGGTCGGTTCGGAGTCAGTATACATGTTAAACGTCCTCATGATATCTCAGTGGGCTAGCACTATAACATCAGCATTAGTCCGAACTAGTACGAGCAGCCATACACACACACACACACACACACACACACACACACACACACAAAAAAAAACACACACACACACACAAAAACACACACACACACACAAAAACACACACACACACACACACATATTTCCTATTTCACCTCACCTCACATGGTACCGATTTTCCAGCAATGGTGTCACTGAACGTTGCTGTGAATTACAATCCTGTGTTAAGTATGGCCGCTGAGGCAGCCATATTCAAAAAAAGCAAATCAACTCTAACAGTCTACATACACATGCGCTCAACAACGAGGTCGTTTTGTAAGTGATTTCCCACATGCAGAAAATGCCAGTTAGCGTTAACATATGTATATCATTACTTTGACCGTAACTAACCTTTATCAACCTTTGCTACTCTTTCATATTACTAAAGTTAATCTGTTATGCCATGACATAGCAACTATGATATTGTGTGACGTGATATTACAAATGGTTAAGTATAGTTATATGTATATGAAATGATATGATGTGACATGACATGATGTGATAGGATATGAAGTGTTGCGGTGTGATATGATACATGAGGGGATATGATGCAATATATTATGTGTATTAAAGAAATTGTGTAAATACTGTTTTTTAGTGTACATATTATATGGCTTGCGGTCTTCCAGTGTTGAATAAATATTGATTGATTGATATGAAATAAATTGGCATGGAATGACATGGCATTATATGGTATGATATGATAAGAAATGATGGGACAAGCTATGACATTGCTAATGTGTTGTGTGATATGACATGTTGAAATGTGATACAATATAGTTGTGATATATGGTACGATGGTATGTATAGTATGTTATGATAATGTTATATGAAATAATACTATATAGTATGATCTTATAATAATGATACAATATGATATGATGTTATAGAATATGTTGTATGATATAACAAGTTGTGATATGGTAATATAGAAATTATGAAATTACAGGGTATGGTATTGTACTGTATGTGTGAAATTATGTGACTGCGTTGAAATGCGAGGTGGAATGACGTGAGGTGATCTGGTGAGATAAGTACATAAATTGTATAAAACTGTATATTCTTCAAATTGTACTATAGGCCTGTGGCCTCTTCAGTATGTGAAATAAAGATTAGACATAGCAACTATAGTAATATAAAAAAAATGGGTGGTCCCGATTACACATCGTTATTTCAGTCTTTTTAGTTTGTTGTTGAAATATCAAAAACTTCAGATTTACGAAGGCCCGTTTACTCAAGTCACTGATAATGGGGTTTAGGGAAGGAAGATCCTGTGTTCATGGAATTTGTTTGATGATGCATAATATGTTTGATATAAATAAAATAAATATATTATATATTTAAATACAAACTAAAGGACAAAGTAGTATATGAGTCCTTTTTGCCTACTGGAAATGTCGAATATTAAATGTTTAAGTATTGGTATAAAAATTATCAAACTCGTTCAGGTGGTTGACAACCTTTTTCGTTGTTACACGTGGACTTGGTCTTGGTCTGGTACATGTGTTAGCTTAATTCAAAAGATTTGCTCTTGTTCACTTATTAAGAAAATTCTTAGTGAAAACCTCTAAGCTATTTTCGACACAGTTTAGCCTCACATATGCAATTAGTGTTGTGATAAGTCAAAAAAGTACTCCTGTATGAACTGTTCTTGTCTAGTTCTCTTTCATATGAAGACATCTGATACCTTTCATTACATTATTAAAAGGTGTTACTCATTTCTAAAAGAAAAATGCGAATCTCGTGGGCCAAAGGGGTCCCTTATCATAACATGCCCTTCCAAGATGCTATTATTTATCAAGTGTAATACTTACAGCGTGGGAGAGATCCATGGACAAAGAAGTAACACGGTGACTCCAATCTCCACGTACAGACATCCAGCGGTCAGCGTCCATTGCAGAGTCATCTTCGGGCCTATATCTGCGATGTAAAATATGCGTTTGTTTGCTTCGCTTGTTTACTAACGCCGCTCTCGGCAATATTCCAGCTATATGACGGTGGCCTGTAAATAATCGTGTCTGGGCCAGACAATCTAGTGATTGATGTTGTGAGCATCGGTACACACAATCTGGGTACGATCACACGACATCAACCAAGTCAGACCCTGGCCACCCGACATGCATCTATGTTGCTGAGACTCATTTAACCCGGAAACCATGAAGCGTATGAAAAGTATGAAACGGAGACGCGCCGTTTAGGCTTTCAACACCAATACAACAACCGAGGCACTTCGAATACAGAAACAATCACATTCAAAATGTGAACCATTCTGCAAATATCTTATACAACAGACAACATCTAGACATTCTACCAAACGTTTTTGTTCAAGAATATGAGAAACACACAATAAATCAATCTTCCCGAGGCAAGGGCGTTAACTGACCATTGAAGTCTAGTTTCCACCCTTGCCGAACTAGGCTCGATCATAGCGCCACCAGTGGCAATTATGAGTGATACCCCTTCTATGTCCCTCCAACAGACCAATCAGATTCCACCTCTCGTATCACATGCATTTGCTTCAAACAAAATGGCAGCCCAATTGGCGGCACACATGCTTGGCAAATCCTGCAGTCGACCGATATCTGCACGTTGAAATCCATGTTGTTTGCGAACCGGACTCTTGTGGACTCTTCAGTCCAGCCGAAATGTATCTCCGGAATTCCAACCTAGTTCGGCAAGGGTGGAAACTGGACTTTTATAGTCAGTTAACGCCCTTGCCTCGGGAAGATGCAATATATCATGGCTGGGACAAGGCCTCGATGTTAGGATTGTTACACTTGACTGGCCTTCGATGTCTTTCCTGGAGAACGACTCTACGATGTCCTTCTTTGATTTCGAATCTACTTTCCCAATCTACAGGCAAAGAGGATGTCAGCTTCACTTTCAAAGAATGGTAGTTTACTTTCACTGTCTACTATGGGAAACAACGCTACTTTCACTTTCTGTGGCTATGGAAATGTTTCCCTAACAGCCCAAAGGAAAAGAACGAAGGAACTATCACTTTATGTAAATGGCTTAAAACAACCCTACTTTCACTTTCTGTGACTACGAGGAAAAAACAACTTTATTTGCTTTATTTCAAGAGAAGCTTGTTTCGACTTTCTACGATGTAAATCAACACTTTCCTTTCGCTGTAAATATACCTTTACTTTTCAGTTTCGTTAAATGACATTTGCCTTTATGGATTGCATTGTAAAAGAGCATACTTTCATTTTCTTTGGGTATATACAAATCAACTTCCACTTTCGACAGGAATAGAGCATAGCTACTTTCACTTTCTTATACATCTACTTTCATGAATGAGATATTTGGACCTGCCTGCTTCTATATATTTTTCGGAGTTGTTTGTACGGTTTAAAAAGAATTGATGGTACCTTGGGGTTTTAATTTTAAACTCTACGAAAAATATAAACTACTTTAATCAGGCCTAAACGCCATGAATGATAAAAACATATTTATTCCAACACCCTAAAACAAAACAAATATCCATTAAAACGTCTATGATTTTAGTTTTTTGAAATACTATTTCTCCAGTAGTAACAGGTGCCTTAGTGACACTAGAGGACATTGTCATATGAAAGATAATATTTAAAACAGCTTACCGTGAGCGTCCAAAACTGCCTGTGTTGTCAAGCCACGAGTGAAGTACGAATCGATTACTGACTGAAGTCAACAGCTGTATATTAGGTCTGAAAGAGACTTTTGTCCAAGTATTGGCTATAGCTCAATAAGGCTATCTATAGCCCTGGGTATTACACAGTCACATTGCACAAGTATTAACATGACGAGTCAAAATATACATGTACATATTCAGGGAAGTGGAGTTGTTTTTGTTTGTTGTGTTTTGGGTTTGTTTGTTCCTTGAGTAATTGAAGAAATTGCTTAGAAACCACTGTGGCCGGAGTGAGTGATAATGCTTAATACTTTTCACGTCCAAAAATGAAATCTCATTGTGGTCACATTCCATAGTGAATGAAACCAGAGAATGGATCGAATCTAGAATCTTCCGGAATTTGTGTAACTCTTTCACTGTTGAGGACCAAATAATAAAACAGTCGTCCAGATATCTTCTCCATGTTTCACGAATATGTTTAGCTGTATTTACATCCATCAGTTGTTCTACTTTGGAATATAACATTTATTCTATGTATCACATTACCAGAGTGGCGTATGTGGGTGCTACGTTTGTTTCCATGGCTGTTCCGTTTATTTGCTGATAAAACTTCTTGTTGAAATAGAACGTATTGTTCTCCAGTATACATTTCAAAGATTCCATGATAACGTTTGCGTGAAATTGCAGTCAATGGCATCGGGCTGCTTATTCGACCAATATTGCACCGCTTCATGTCCCAGATCATGCGATATATTAGTATACAAACTTTTCACGTCAAAGGTCACTAGAACAGCATCCGTTGGTATGACTTCCGGTAGGTGACTTAAAAAGTCTATATCATCTCGAACAAAACTTGGAACTTTCTTTGTGAGAGGTTTCAGAATTATATCTCTGAAGTTGCTCAAACGTTGAGTAGGACTATTGGGGCCTCCAACAATAGGCCTAAATGATAAGTCTTTAGGGTTATTGATTTCAACATATTCACAATTCTGTTCCTTAACTGCTGAGTTTATCTCTTGACTTTTGTGTATTTTTGGCACTCCATAAAAGTTTTCAGTCGAAAGATTGTAATTACATAAATAATCTTATTCCTTTTCATAGACTGATCAGAATAATGTTTCATGTGCTTTTATTTTCTGTACTACAGCATGTTCTTGGTCGTTAGTTTCCCGATAGAATTCCCGGTCATGTAACAATTCATTCACTTTAGTTTCATAGAATGCAGAATCCCTAATGGCCACCGCCCCACCTTTATCTGCCCTTTGATTGCAATAGAATGATCATTTTTAATTCCCGCTAGTGCTTCACTCTCCTCAAACGATAAGGGGGCACGGGTGGCCCAGTCGTCTAAGGCGCCGCGATTCGCTGTGCAGCCTGGAATTATGTCTCCTTCCTACTCCATATTTCCACGGACTTCATCTCTTCCTTGTCAGTATCTTCTTTCTATAATTTTAAAAGAAAGTCCTGAATCTGAGGTGAAGTGTCCTCCTGAAATGCAAATTCCATGCGGTCGTCCATGTTACGATTTTTTAAATCGTGTCTCGGCATTCTTTTCTCAAATAGATTGACTTTCGTTTGGAACCTCAATGGTTGCTGGGGACCAATCCTCACCCATAATCCCACAGGGCCTCTTCTTGAAGGCATATATGGGGCGGTCGGGTAGCCTAGAGGTTAAAGCACTTGCTCGTCATGCCAAAGAATCGGGTTCGATTCTTGACATGGGTACAATGTTTGAAGCCCATTTCTGGTGTTCCCCATCGTGATATTGCTGGGATATTGCTAAATGCGGCGTAAAACCTCACTCACTCATTCACTCACTCACTCACTCACTCACTCACTCTTGAAGGCATGTTTGAAGCCATGTATAATGAAAACCCCAACAATACAGTCACTCCAATCAGCACATTTATTCATTCCAAATTAACAAGTAAAGAAATACTGAGCATTCTGGATTTATCACAAACAAAGATATAAGATAACCTGAAACAAACACAGAATACAATATTGTACATTTTTGTTATCAGGTCGGCATCTTCTGTAAGCTATCCTCATTGTCTTCCAGACTTTTTCATATTCTTCACTTCATTTGGTTAGCATGGATAGAAAATTGGTTTAATACTGGACACAGACAAATATTACACACAAAGTAAAAGTTGTAATATAGTATAGTGTGAACAGGGAAAATTATTGCTTAAATACACCATTCGTTAACCATTTAACAGCAATAGGCATGTTTGACATTTTCCTGTTTTATATATATATTTATATATATATTTTTATATATATGTTATGTACATTAGAATAACTGTTTAGGTGAACAAATGATGAATGAAGAAATCTCGATTCAAATTTAAATTTACATTTAAACTAGCAATAAAACACAGATGTTTTGTAAGTAAGCATTTCAAACTGTGTTTCTTCACTTAGTAAAGTTTAAGAAAGTATGCATAATTCTGTTTTCAACAACATAAATTTCAAAGTTCACAATATACAAAATCACAGTGTCATCCTTAGTCTTATTTCTTCTTCTTCTTTCCTTTCTTCCCCTTCTTTCCCTTCTTGCCCTTCTTTCCTTTCCCTCCCTTTCCTCCTCCGTCATCATCGTCACCCTGCGCTGCCTTTGCCCGCTTCTTGCCGAGGGGCGTCTTGGCATACCAAGCCTGCAAGGAACATTCACAGTTTAACCCCAGTCTTATAATATTGTAACCTTAGGTTCCGGGTACTTTACCCTTCTACCTATGGTCACTTGTACCTATCAACTACTCCTTGGTTCTAGGGATGATGTAGCTCTCTCAAAATCACTAGTCAGATGGTTTGCTCCAGTCCTTTTTATTTATGATAGAATTAATCATAAATAGGTACACATGGTCCTCAGATTAGTTCTTGTTGTTGCCTGATATAAATACAACACATACCTAGATGATGTTGAAGAGCCTGATGGTTTTTCTGATGAACGTTAACTCTACTTCTTTTCTGACTCGGGATCCCAAAACCACAGTGAACCGTTCTGTTCAGCTGTATGCTCCCGACTCCCCGCACCACTCTCGGACAACTCACTAAATACTCTTCATGATAATTTTTGCTCCTCACACCGAAATAGTATTTGACGTCATGTGAAATGAGTCCTAATGCTCACCTCCATATGAACCCCAATTTCCGTTCCAATCAGTTCTTCTATCAAGCCCTTCTAAACCAAACCTTCAGCTAATTTCCTAACTCATTGGTCAACCGATAAACTCTTAATAACATACTCATAATTCAACCTCTTTATGACAAAAATCCAACACTCTGTCAGACTGGAAAGCGTCTAAAAGATGCTTAATCATGTTAATCAGACATTCCAATCAAGCAGTAGTAGTGAGAAATATTCGATCATTTCAAGACTGACAGTTTGTTCCATCCATTCATTTCCCCTCTGATATTGTACTAATGAAAATGTTATCTCTATCACTAAGAGAAGCAATATCAATAATCATTTGCCCTGGGGGTTATGCCCTCACCCTGTACAGTCACTTCTTTCATATGCATCCATATTTTACCTAAAAGCTCAATTTAGTAAAACTACATTTAAGTAAATATAAAAAACCTTTTTCCAAAATACCCTGGTTATAATATATAGAGAACTCATTATGTCTGTTAGTTCAGAGTATTAAATGCTTTGAGGAGATTTTTTTTTAAAACCTGTTTGAATTAAGAATAGGGAGTCACCATGCATTCAATTTCCTAATAAAATCGTTCACCAAATGTACATTTCACTTTTGGGGCACACAGGGAAATGTGTATATTTTCATTTTTGCATGATAATCATCAATAATTATTTCCTTTTTAAAATATGCATACCACATATTGATAAAAGTTTATTCATAAAGAAAACAGACCAATTTCCACATGTTCCTGAGCAAATGGTTTAGCAAATGATCATAAAGTAGCTGGTTGCATCTCCATACAGACCTTGAAAGACTCTTCTTCCTCCTTATAGATGGGGTCAATCCTGGCCAGCGGTGCCACGAACTCCACAGCCTGCAGGTGCTTCTTGGACAGCTGCTGGATACGGCGGTCAGTGAGCACCTGCTGGACAGCGGTCACCATGTGTCCGGGAGTGTAGCCGTCCGTCACCTTGGACAACGAGCTGACGTCCAGGTGGCTGGTCAAGACACCGTTATACTTGGTGATGAGGCGACGCCATAGCACTGAAGGTGACAATTTAGTCTTCAATTCAATGTTGTAACAATGTAAGTTACATTAATTGCAATATGGCAAGTGTCATGAATTTACAACACAGTTTGAACACAAAGGGTTAATTCTCTGAAATGTACATCTACATCGCATGAAATCAGCAATATGATTTATAACTCCACAGAGGTAAAAAGAAATTCATACAATCAACAGTTTGAGTTGCCCAGATAATACATGGGTGTATGAATTTCTTTTTACCTCTATATATATATAGCTTACATACCAACGAAACAACTCCTTAAGCCAGACCCATCATGTTCAAATTAACAACAGAATTATGTTGACCTTTTAAACAGTCATCAGAAAAGGAAAAATCCCTCTGACAGCAAAAGGCACCACTTCAGCTCCTGGCTAATACATGTACCAAGTTTGGATGTAAAATCTTTCACGGTTTTCAAGTTATGCTCCGGAATCAAAACATGGATGGACAGACAGATGGATGGATGGATAAAAGGACAGACAGACAGACCAGATTATATCCCCCTGTATTATTTCCGGTTGGGGGGATAAATATGAAGGGATCAGTATTCATCTGGAATGACTATCTCATGAGGTAGAGAACCGCTCCCTAAGATCACGGGTATTTGAAACAAGAGGTCTCAAGATCAAGGGCAGCTAACTCCAAATGGGTCACCATGAGCTGGTTTTAGTCAGTGTGACGGATATCAAACATACCATTTGTTTGTTTGTTTAATGTTGCACACCAGCTATATTGCAGCAATATGTAAATAATCAAATCTGGACCAGACAATCCAGTGATTGACATCATAAGCATTGATCTATATGCATTTGGGACATGATGACATGCATCGAGTCTGACCACCCGATCCCGTTGGTTGCCTCTTACAACAACATGGCTTGCTGAAGTCCAGTTCTAACCCAGAATATGAATATAAGAAGCAAACTGCACTATCATAGCACAATAGGAATAATGTACAGAAATGCATGAAATAATCCCATTGGAACCATCTGTGCTGTACAAAGCTCTGCACTCACAGTGTCTGGACGCGTAGTCTGGTCGGGGGATGAGGATGATCCGGTTGTAGCAGCTCATCAGGGGTTTCATCTCCGCATCAAACGGACATCTTGATGTGCCCACCAGGAGCAGACGATCCTCGGACTTGATGGTTTTCAGGGCCTTCGGTAGCTCCTTCTTCAGACGCTTCGGGTCAGTCTGGCAAGGGAAACATTTATGTCAGATCAGGCGATCTTGATTTTGGTCTTCGACTCCCTTCTTATAGCTGTTGTAGCATGTTTCTGTGTTTGAAGCCAGCCTTGCCCATACATACATACAAATTCTTGAGTTAATATCTTTGTCTCTTTATAATATATCTATGAGAATACCAAACTTACTGGATCAGTTTTTGGCACTTTCTTCTTGAACATCTTCTCACATTCCCCGATGTAGAACACAGAGGGCTGCATTAGACGGCCAACCTGGGGAGAAACAACATACACAAGTTGCATCACTAGCTCCAGGCATCATGCCAAGCTATTCTCCAAAATAGCCAATTGAAAGTTGGATGAACGTGCAGAAATTCTGGTTACATGTTCAGACAAACAGGGATAGACAATGAAAATGTGAAAACGCATGAAGGGGATTGCCAAAATTTATCTCAATTATAAGGGTGGAGAGTGAGTGAGTGAGTATGGTTTTATGCTGCTTTTAGCAATATTCCAGCAATATCACGGCGGGGGACACCAGAAATGAGCTTCACACATTGTACCCATGTAGGGAATCAAACCCGGGTCTTCGGCGTGACGAGCCAATGCTTTAACCACTAGGCTACCCGACCGCCCCATAAGGGTGGAGAACATGCAAGAATTACAGAGTTCTATTTTTCAAATAGTGAACCTGTACCCACCTTAAAGACAAGGTGCATGAGCATCTTCAGGCCGTCCTTCCCGGGGTATTTTCCAGCCAGGTTCGCAGCACTGAGGTCAAACAGGTTGGCTCCCGTCTCCTGACAAATGGCGTGGACCAACATCCGCTTGCCTGTGCCACGTGGTCCGGCAAGCATGATGGACTTGGTGATGGGTGCGCTCTCATGCACGGCTGCTGACCCTGGAAGAACACGTAGCATGGTGAGGTGAGGTGAAATTGGGTTTCACGTCACGTCCAAGATTATTGCACTTCTATAGCGACATGCATGCACGTGTGTGTGTGTGTGGCTGCTTGTACTAGTCCGGACTGATGCTGATTTATAGTGCTAGCTCACTGAGATACCATGGCGCAGTTTAACATGAATACCCCACTCAGACACAGTATACTGACTCCGAGCCGACCAGTCCTTGTTTTAGCCCCTTAATGCCGAGGGCCAGACAGGGTAACAACAAGTACCATCTTTTATCGTCTTTTGGTATGAAGTGGGTACTATTATGAGGGTTACGCGAAAGACATTTGTAAGCGAGTGTCCATTTGATATTCGCCTTGGATTGTGTATGGAGACTGAATACTGTTTCAACTACATTTTCAGAACCAGGAACTATGTAACCAGTAAAACTATAAGCCTAAAACATATTTATCAAACTTGTTAAAAGCATCTTTTATTATTTATGGCAGACAATTCCCTCTTTGTTCAGCAGTCTGAAGCATAATTATTTTCTTCAAGCATTTTCTGGGTCAATAAAAAATATTTCGAGAAAATCCCAGGCCCCCTCCCCCCTCCAGAATATCAAAAGGTCGGTCACAGGGTAACTGAAACTGTAGCTCCAGCACCCTAGGACAGACTTACAACAGTCACAGTCATTGGTTAAAAAGACCTCGGCTTGGGTTCCATAAAGCGAACTTTAGTTTACATAGGTAAATACTAACGTATAGAAACTACGATGAACTCAGCACAAAGATTGTTGTGTGACACCGACCCCTGGGCTGCTGTACCTACCTATCGGCAGTATGCCAAACTCTGTCACCAGCCGCCGGACGTCACTAAGGGAAGGCATGGGCTCAATGTTAGCCTGACGTAGAGTCGTCCCCAGATAGCTGTACTCTCCTTCAAAGTCGGCCATTTTGATCTGTGGGGTCCGGATGATAATGCCCTGGGTCACCAGCTCCTCGTACAGGTCCTCGATGGTCCTGATTGAGGAAGATACGGAAATCTGTTTACTCTCTTTAATTCTATTTGACATCTTTAAATTAAATTTTCAAATGAAAAATAGAAAATTTACACGAAGCAATGGGCAATAAACAGTGAGTAAGCTTATATGTGATTATTATATTGTATTCATATCATATCTCACATAGACAAAATTAAATAGACGAACATCTTGAATACACACAAGTACAAAGGTAAAACTTCCGTCTGAAACCATAATGCTCCAACATCATCAATGACACTGGTAACCATGGAGATTAGAGTAGAACTGGCACCCAGTAGCCTCTGTGTGACGGAGGAGGCGTGTTATCATAGCCTGTGTTACTGCAGCGCTGGCACCCAGTAGCCTCTGTGTGACGGAGGAGGCGTGTTATCATAGCCTGTGTTACTGCAGCGCTGGCACCCAGTAGCCTCTGTGTGACGGAGGAGGCGTGTTATCATACCCTGTGTTACTGCAGCGCTGGCACCCAGTAGCCTCTGTGTGACGGAGGAGGCGTGTTATCATACCCTGTGTTACTGCAGCGCTGGCACTCAGTAGCCTCTGTGTGACGGAGGAGGCGTGTTATCATACCCTGTGTTACTGCAGCGCTGGCACTCAGTAGCCTCTGTGTGACGGAGGAGGCGTGTTATCATACCCTGTGTTACTGCAGCGCTGGCACTCAGTAGCCTCTGTGTGACGGAGGAGGCGTGTTATCATACCCTGTGTTACTGCAGCGCTGGCACCCAGTAGCCTCTGTGTGACGGAGGAGGCGTGTTATCATACCCTGTGTTACTGCAGCGCTGGCACCCAGTAGCCTCTGTGTGACGGAGGAGGCGTGTTATCATACCCTGTGTTACTGCAGCGCTGGCACCCAGTAGCCTCTGTGTGACGGAGGAGGCGTGTTATCATACCCTGTGTTACTGCAGCGCTGGCACCCAGTAGCCTCTGTGTGACGGAGGAGGCGTGTTATCATAGCCTGTGTTACTGCAGCGCTGGCACCCAGTAGCCTCTGTGTGACGGAGGAGGCGTGTTATCATAGCCTGTGTTACTGCAGCGCTGGCACCCAGTAGCCTCTGTGTGACGGAGGAGGCGTGTTATCATACCCTGTGTTACTGCAGCGCTGGCACCCAGTAGCCTCTGTGTGACGGAGGAGGCATGTTATCATACCCTGTGTTACTGCAGCGCTGGCACCCAGTAGCCTCTGTGTGACGGAGGAGGCATGTTATCATACCCTGTGTTACTGCAGCGCTGGCACCCAGTAGCCTCTGTGTGACGGAGGAGGCATGTTATCATACCCTGTGTTACTGCAGCGCTGGCACCCAGTAGCCTCTGTGTGACGGAGGAGGCATGTTATCATAGCCTGTGTTACTGCAGCGCTGGCACCCAGTAGCCTCTGTGTGACGGAGGAGGCGTGTTATCATACCCTGTGTTACTGCAGCGCTGGCACTCAGTAGCCTCTGTGTGACGGAGGAGGCGTGTTATCATAGCCTGTGTTACTGCAGCGCTGGCACTCAGTAGCCTCTGTGTGACGGAGGAGGCGTGTTATCATACCCTGTGTTACTGCAGCGCATCCCTGTGTTACTTTTTATGAATGATTTTGACATTGTCTTGTCGCTACACAGACAGTTCCATAGTGTTTTCCAAATAGAAGCACAATCCAAATCTGCAGCACACTTTATATGCTTCAGAAAAGTGCATGTGTCTTAACCTAAGGACAAGCGCAACATGATTCATTTACTATATAAAGGCAATTGCTTTCAAATATGAGTACTTATATTTTAGATTGTGCAACAATACATCTACTTATCAAGTTGAAAACCGGACTGGTAAAGTTGACTTATCGGCCATTGCGCTCAGCGATGGCAACTAAAAATGCATACCCTCTTGTTGATGCCAACTCATAGTACATATAACATAGAAAGTTACATGATCAAAAATATACATACACATATTTGAAGTCAACTGTTTAAAAGATGCAAATCGTGTTTCAGTTACGTGGGATCGCAATTCATGTACAATATGTCGCTTGTCGGGAATTTATTATGAAAACAACTATGGACCATTCGTAGCTCTGCGTAGCAACAAGTCAAAACTAAAATCGTTTAGGAGCACAGAGATACAGTTACTGCTGCTGGGGATACTGTCCATGACATCAATCACTGGTTTGTCTTGCCCATACTCAGTTATCTATAGGCCCTGTCATATTGCTGCAATATTGCTGACTGTGGCAAAAAACAACAAAAATACTAACAAACAAAACAAGAGTCATCAGTCCGAGATGCCCCCCGATTCTGGTGCAATTCGGAAATGGAGTTTGGCTACTTATACCCCACTTTTGGTTCATTGCCATTGGATATCTTCAGTTCATTGAAGAACATTTTTAAAAATAGACTGATCTATATAGCAAGTTTCAACAAGAAGTATTCAACAGTTTTGTCGTTCTGCTTTGGACGGACGGATGGATGAACGGACGGGCAGACGGATATGGTGATTGCTATATCCCCGGGGGGATAACAATGACATCTGGACATACCTGTCGGGAGTCAGATCCTTCTCCTTCTTCTTCTTCTTGCCCTTCTTTCCACTCTTCTTCTTCTTCTTCTTCTTTTTGCCAGATTTCTTCCCTTTCCCCTTCTTCCCCTTGTCACGGTCCACCGCCTGGGGACCACATGATCAGTGTTTGAAACTTAGAATTAATGTCAAGGGTTCCTTGTCATGACCCTTATGTTAACAGTTCAAGATAAAGGGGGTTCTAGATTCAAATACTATAGGACCAAACCTCGAGGATCACAGGAGCCCCCTTTAATTTTAACAGGGATGATAAAAGAAATTTGTGTTTGAAATTCAAAATGGCTACATGAACATGAACCAGTGTTGCACTGTGTCACAACTGAAGGACGGGAAAAACATAAAAACTAAAACACAAGTTCATCTGCTACTGACCATCTTGAGGTTCTTCAGCTCGGTCCTCATCAGTTCATCCACCTGAACTCTGACCTCTTCCTCCACTTCCTTGCGTTTCTCCTCCTTAATCAGTTCACCATCATGTTTCTGGGAGAAGTTGTCACTCTCGTCTCTGAACTGCCACACATCTGGAGCACAACAAACACTGGGATAATGACAGATCCCATCTGACTTATATCATCAACCAAATTGTATCACATTCCATGTATTTAATGATCTCTCCAATATGAGTGAGTGAGTGAGTGAGGTGGGTCTAATGCTCCTTTGAACAGTAAGTATTCCAGTTATATCATGGCATGCCAGCTTTAGGTCATCTGCCTGAGGCAAGGGAGTTAACTGACTATAAAAGTCTAGTTTCCACCCTTGCCGAACTAAGCTGCAATTACGGGTTACATTTTGGTTGAACTAACGAGTCTATGCACAGGCCAATCAAAATCACTTAACAAACAAGACATCCTGTTCCTGAAAAAAATGGATTTCAAGTGCAGATTTCGGTCAACTGCAGGATTTGCAAAGCATGTGTACTGCCAACTGGGCGTTGACAGATACTTTGCAAATTCTTTCATGTTTTTAATCACGGTGCTCACATGCTTTGATGCACTTCGCAGGGTAAGACCCGCTATATTACAATATAGATATTGTCTTGACTGGGTGCTGGCATTTTGTTTGAAGTGTTATGAGAGATGGAATCTGATTAGTCAATAGGAGAAACATAGAAGGGACATAAGTCGTAATAGCCACTGGTCGAGGCTGGAGATTCCAGCCTAAATAAATCGGCATCAGTCCGGACTAGTACAAGCAGCCACACACACACGCACACACACACTCATACACATGCGTGCATGTTGCTATACAAGTGCAATATTCTTGAACGCGATGTTAAACCCTATTTCACCTCACCTCTTATTTTACATCATAACTCACTTTTGTACTGATCTGTTCCTTCATTGACAGCAGGGACAAAATTGGAAGGAGCCATTTTCCATCCCTCTTCCTCTTCCTTAAATATAAAACAATATTAATATAAATAGTGAGTGAGTGAGTGAGTATGGTTTTACGCCGTTTTTAGCAATATTCCAGCAATATCACGGCGGGGGACACCAGAAATGGGCTTCACACATTGTACCCACGTCGGGAATCGAACCCGGGTCTTCGGCGTGACGAGCTAACGCTTTAACCACTAGGCTACCCGACCGCCCCTAATATAAATAGAACAGAATGACAGCGTTTTAGCGATTCTCAATGCTGATTGGTCAACTGAAGCCATATGACATCACAGTGTTTCATTGTTGAGAAAAATATGATATGACGACATCCATTCTTCACGACGTCCTCTGAACAAAAGGCTGCGTTTGGTGAAGTTTCACTCTAGGGCTGACATTGCGTATGTTTTTCCTCCTTTTCTTTCTTAAAATATCAATGAGTAATACATGGGCGGATACAGAGGGGGGGTGTGGGGGGGTGTGGGGGTGCGCACCCCCCCTTTTTATTTCGAAAAAAATCTTTATTTCTGTATAAATTTCCACCAAAGACAATAAATAGATCTTAATTGTGCACCCCCCGTTTTCAAAAAAGCTGTATCCGCCCATGGTAATATATGGAATAACATAATCGAACTAGGGATTATCTCCCCTCGTCAATGGATGCTGTTAGTCCATTGCCAAAGGCTTGGGGATCACACCATTTATTCCCTCTGGACAGATAGTCCACAATTCCTCGTAGCTCGTTGCTTATTCTCTCATCATTATCCTATACATCTATCCCTCTGTACTTGGTGTGTTCTCACCAATTCAAAAACACATGTTGCCACAGTGTACGTATATTGCCATTATTTTATGATAAATACCCTGGAACTATGTACCCCCTCGACTTTGTTACCAGCTCAGTTGGCAAGGCACAATGCTAAAAATAACTGCCCAATCAAATTACTCTCACAAGCAAGAGAAATTCCATGCTGAGACAGGAGAAGTGGATCTGGTGACGTCACTTCCGAAAAGAAACAATGCCGGCAGATTGGTTCAGGATATTTATTATAATAGAATGGAAATATAACACATTGGATAGTCGAGGGTGATGTTGCCATGGTAACTCAACGCCTTACCTCATCATCCCCTCCTTTTCCCTTCTTTCCTTTCTTTCCCTTTTTGTCCTTCTTCTTGTCTTTCTTTCCCTTCTTGCCCTTTTTGTCCTTCTTTCCTTTCCCTTTGTCGTCATCCTGCAATCAAGGATAAACAGTCTACCACAAGAGAATACTGTTTATGCATTATCAGCAATTCTAAGAAACAGTTACTAAGAAACAAATACTAAAAACAGATACATGTAACGTTTATAAAGTTAACACTGAAAATAAAAAAACAATCATTCAGTACGGTAAAGTAATGATCATACAATCTGTTTTAATAAGACAAAACTGAGTCTTTATTTACTAACATTTTTAATATGGCAAGTGATTTATGTGGCTTCTTTAATTCATACACCTACAGTGATCGAAACCTCTTTAACTTCCTGTCCACACGGACATACAAAAAATACTGTATTATCCGTCGTTTTCAGATATCAAACAACTGAACCATCTCAATTTTTATACATTTTGACAACCCTTCACATAATCAAGAATGTATACACTTGTTTGTTTGTTTATCATTGCACTCATCAATAGTCCAACAATATGATGGCGACCTGAAGATAATTGAGTCAGAACCCAACAATCAACTAAGTCAACGAGCCTGACCACTTGATCTATTAAGTCGCCTCTTACGACAAGCATGGGTTGCTGGGGACCTGGTCCTAACCCCGAATCCCCATGGGGTATAAAAATTTGCAGACAAGGAAGGAGATCCGGGATTTCGCAAAGGGGTGATATTTGTCATTGTTACCTTGAGTTTCATGATTTCTTTTAAAGGGGAAACATTTCGATTTTCTATTTCAGTTTCATGAATATTTACCATCAGTTTCATATATAGTGTTATAATGGTTAAAGAGGTTTTAAGTCAAAGAGGTTTGCAGACACATTGTAATTGCACACTCCAACATGACTAGCATATGATGGTGATGAGTGCACAACCCATACAGACATAGTAAGGATAAGAATGTATGGATGAACAACTTCTTTATTACAATTAAGAGCGACATTTCAGTGTTTCGGTGTTGGTTAATTCTAACAACGTTATCAAGCAAGTGATCACTTGCTTGATAACAGTGTTAGAACCTACACCGAAACGTCGCTCTTAATTAAGAAGTTGTTCATCCATACATTCTTATCCTTACTTAGTACTCCAACTTCTAAATGCCTATCAAAGACGCCATACAGACTAGTCACACAGGCTACAGCACAAACACAACACACATTACACAAGTAACTACGTTCCACTGTAACACTGTCATGGTGAGTTGGGTTACACACAGCTTAGAACAGTATTTCAATAATATCCATGTCAGTCAGCTAACGTGGGAAAAAAATCCAAAATGACAGGTTGTAAACTTTCATAACTTAAACCATGTGAAAAGGCATTGTGGTGAAAGATTTAGAATTGGTAAAAATGTGGGATTTGAGCACCCACAACCAGCAGATCCTGAAAGGCAAAGGGATGTAACTCTGCACATAAAGGACACCTCTTGCCTCTAATGTAATAGAAGAAGAAAACATGAGTTACATTCCCATGGTTCTTACATAACCAAGGGCTTGTTAACTGTGTGTACATATAGAGCCATCTCTTAAGTATTTTCTTACACATTATGTTTCAATGTCTTTTTGTTTTATATTTTCGCCAACTTGAAATGTGTGTAAAAAATATCCCAAGAAAAAAATGCATAAGCATCATAAATAAAAGATGGCGTTAATAGCAGCTAATAACTATACAGATTCTATGTACATTATCTAATCTTCCCAAAACAATATAGTATCAGTAAATCATTATTAAAGAAAAATAACTCCAGTGTTTGAAATTAAAGATGGGGGATTTAAACACCAGCTGCCCTTACATTAAACAATAGACAAAATTTGATTGTTCGTTAATGTTTAATGCCTCAATCGGCCATATTCAGCTATATGACAGCATCCTGTAAATAATCAAGTCCGGACCAGACGAACCAGTGATATTATGAGCAACGATCCATGCCATTGTGGTACACACAATCAACCGAATCGCCAAGAGTGATCAACCGATCCATTTTAGTTGCTCTTACGGCCAGCAAAGGGTACTGGGGGCAAAATCTTACCTGGTACCACAGGGTCTATACACAAAATATAAAGGACCTGCAGATCCATTAATGTCAACGAATGCAGTTTACTCACAAACACATGACAAACACAGTGCATGATGGATGTGATGTCACTTCCTGTCTTAGCTAACACAACCCATCATGCTGCAGGGGAGTGAGTGAGTGAGTGAGTGAGTGTGGTTTTACGCCGCTTTTAGCAATATTCCAGCAATATCACGGCGGGGGACACCAGAAATGGGCTTCACACATTGTACCCATGTCGGGAATCTAACCCGAGTCTTCGGCGTGACGATCGAACGCTTTAACCACTAGGCTACCCGACCGCCCCCGCTGCAGGTGAACACACAGCTAAAGCAGGCATGATGAAGCATTCTGTGGATTGGTCACAAATGTTTTGATCTCATTTCTATTCTTCAAAGTTTAACAAACCTTCCGCTGTGATTTTCCTCTTTCAAACTTCAAAGCAAATCAAACTGATACATAACACTTCAACACACTACGCATGCAGACTACAGACACAAGATCACTGGTATTCATAGCGAGGTAGAAATGGGTATATAAACACCTACACTAAGTTTCTCTGGGTTATTTTACATAAAAAATACACAAACTTGTATTCAGCAGACTTTTGACACAGAGAAAGCGTTATCAATGTCCCCATTTTTGTACCATTTAACAAAATAAATATTCCCTCATACATCCACTAGTAAGCCTATGAACAAACTACAACTATATACAGTTACTTGCAAGAATTTACTGCAAAACGAAACAGATATATATTCAATTGATATACATCATAACAACATTCTCAACAGGCAGCATGCTGGTCTTTTTATCCAAATTAATAAAAATATAAACAAGTTAGGCAAGACCTTTTCTTGTTGGTTTACGGATTTGATAGTAAAACATTGGTCAGTAGGTCAAAAACATACAATACAGGATTTTTGTAATCACCTTAAAGTTTCATTTGGATCAGAAGGTGATAAAAACATAACAAATCTTGACCTGGTTAGGGTCCTTATAAATGTTATTAATCTAAAACCTGACAGAGGCATTTCATAATTGTTTACATTGTCAAAGAGATCTTTGCTGTATAAAAAATCAAAATATGTGCTTTTGATTCTATGTATTTTCAGAATTTTCAATTTTCAAGATCACAGAACCTAGCCAGTAATTATGTAAGGCTTTATATGCATGATTATTTTCATCATCTAGAAAAGTGAGAATTTTAGAAAACTTAACAGTACTTAGCAGAACCTAATATTTACACCTGGGTGATTCAATTATCTTTCTGCTCTAACAATAAATGAAAGTCTTCTCCATGAGACCAATATTTATAAACAGTAGAACATGGATATAACAAACTACAAGGGACCGGAGAAATCAGATCATAATATAGGCTGTTTGTTATACATGTTTTCGCTTGGAAAAGTCCGCCATCTTGGCTAAAACAAAACACAATACACACACACACGTTTATACACGTTTCCTCCCACATCTACTGGTGATTTGATTAAAAAGTACAAATGATACAACTTAAAAAAAATTAATGCATTGGTTCGGAAGAAATTGTATCTGAAATTATTATTTTATCAGAATAATATATTCTAATATCCCCAAAATAAACAAAACCATTATTGAATGAAATTTGTTTGTTTTACAGACTAGATTAGTCCAATAACATGGACAGGTAAGATTAACATAATGCAAGTTTAACAAGGTTGAATGGTCACCAGTGATTGTGCTGATTCGCCGCGGTTGTGTTGATTCGCATCTGATTGAGTACAGCCAATTGTCAGTGACACTTGACACTGAGAGATTTCTCAGTTCCCTATACACATCACTAATTAGTGGCAGATGGGCCTGTCAGTGATCAGATATCACTTCGCTATATCCATTAGTTAGCTATAGTGAGTTCGTTATATAAGTAAATTTTATATGATAATATATAGGAGATAAATCAGGGATTTTTAAACAGTTCATTGTATCCGTTGGTTCGCTATATCCATGTTCTACTGTAGTACAATGAGATTTGTCAAATAGCCTAGTTTTTGCAGACTTACTACTTTAGAGGACAAGCCAATCTACTATGTAATGTATTGGTGTTCCATAATATAGATTATTTTGTTGACATATCAGGAGTTTACCTGGGTCTAGTATTGAGTTCAAGGTACTCTCAGAGGTAAGCTTAGATAAATGTTATGATTCAAACAGTCATATGTTTTTGCGACACACAGAAGTTGAAATATAAACATGTAAATTATTTTCACTCAGTTTCAATTTGCATGCATACAGAACACAATTGTTTGGTACTCTGTTTAGCTGTCATTAATTAACGATGTAATCAACGTGTGTGACAATTTAGCAATGTAACTGACTTTGATGACCCTAAAAAAACTTGACTCGGCACAAATTACATCATGGCTAACTGAGAGGTACTCAGGTCAGGTGGGTACTGAGTAGGACCCGGGTACCAACAGGACTACCCGGACCCGTGGTTAGTCACATGATATATTGTTTCATGCCCCAACTTATCTAGAACTCCTTGGCTATACCCTACAAGTTATTAATATTCACATTTCTTTTAGACTATGCACCCATTCCTTCTGACTTTTATTTATGTTTGAATAAAGATAAAACTTCAGTCAACAATCAGGGTTTGCATGACCAGAACGTTTTATACATGTATCTAAATACATTTTGTCCAGGGCTATGGTCAAACTATTCCCAAATGGACATTTTGTACCCATCTCTTGACACCTACAGTGGGTACCCGGGTAGGGTAGGGTAATAGTGGGCTGGGTTATCGGACATTTTGTACCCATCTCTTGACACCTACAGTGGGTACCCGGGTAGGGTAGGGTAATAGTGGGCTGGGTTATCGGACATTTTGTACCCATCTCTTGACACCTACAGTGGGTACCCGGGTAGGGTAGGGTAATAGTGGGCTGGGTAATCGGATAATAAATTAAGACTCGTCCCAGCCCTAAAAGACATGTTGCCAGTGATACAACAACTATAGATCTGACAATAAAGGACATAGGTCTTTGACTGCTGACTATTGTTCAGGCAAGTAACCTCAGCACTTTAGCAAGAAGCCTAACTTAAATTGTTTTCTTAACCAGACTACAAAATGTCATTCCTAAGACAGTTCCAACAGATTCCACTGAATGTTAAGACTTCAGGGTTTTATAGGAACAGTATCCCTACCTTTTCCCTGAGTTCTTGTTCAAGTTCTTCTGGAGTTTTCTGTTTGAATACGGCCGCCGAACCACCATCATCTTCATCAGGGTATTCTGGAAACTTCCCTGAAGCATCTCTGGAATTGTAGAAAGAATATTAGAAAATCTGAATAAACAGCTCTGTTTCTGTCATAAGGAAAGCAGTAGGTGTATTGGGGAGTAATGCAGGATAAGTAAAAAAATTAATATTCGGTCAACATTTAGTCCCTGAAAAAGTCCCTGAAATCATTATCATGATCAGTTCAATTGAACACTCAGCTCCCTGGGGAGAGTAGACAGCCTAAACAGCCTGCATGGTGCTGGAATGTCACCATCTTATCCTACCCAGTGCTGCCCATTCATTGCTGGGTGAACAGAAAGATAATTTCAGGCCGAAAATACAAAAAGTTTTTACATAACATTTGTTACAGCATGGGGCAGGACCTTAGTCTGTCATACAGAAACAAATATATCCAGTATAATTAATACAGCCCAGCAAGTCTAGATTACTGCAGTTTCAGGAAAACAAAGAGAGTCTCTGGGCCCATTTTTATAATATTTTATTATGATAATTCAACAACTGTTTTTTCTGTAATATATGTTCATTTCAGAGACTAGAGACTACAAAGAACTTGAAACTGTCATTAGTCAACTCCAAGTCACCCAGTCATCTACTCTCAACCACAACAGTTGCTGACGGCCAAATGGCAGTCCTAGTGACTAGATTCAAGTATTTAAATCTACAATGCTAGTCTGCTGCCATAAAAAATGTACAAGTTAGCGTCCTCTTCTTTACACGAAGGTGCAAAACCGCGAACTGGGACCCCTCCCCTTTCATCTGAGTCGATTCATCAACCTCAATGCTTTGGTGAGCAGGGGTCGGTACGGAGAATAACGACATGTCGAACCAATGGAGGCAATGCACCCTTATATATTGGTGTATCAATCTGGCAGTTAACGATTACCCTGGTACCTTGGGAAGCAGATCATGCATCATCAAGACTTACTTGGCTCATATGAAATAGCTGCACGATGAATCGCAAAGAACAATGAAGAACGAAGGGTGGTTTATTTCACGACACAACATTGTTCTATCATGACGTCATTTCTGGTGATTTGAAATGCGCTCGCAACTTAATGACATCATATATTGGACAACGTTATTTTTAGAGGGAACTGTCTAGTAAGTTGTTCCCCATAGATGTAGCTGGGCTATGCAGCTAACGCAATGGCCGAATGTTCACATTCAAAAGTGGGAGAGATATCGGTATTAGGAGAAAAGGAACGGATAATAGATGTGATTATTGTGAGAATATGTGGGATATACCAAACTTAACCCTCTTGTTCATAAAATAAATCATTATTAAAATTTGGGTAAATATTTTTAAAGCTTGTACATTTTATCAACATCCTTAAAGAGGCTGTACATAACGTTGATATCTCATTTAAGAAATAAACGACGAGTGGGAATTTTTTAACGTACAATAAAACACTACAGGGAGAATTCACCAGGGGGTGCACAGCCCCGAGGGGTTTATTCTCCCTGCAGTGTTTTATTGTATGATAAACAACTATCACTCATCGTTATTTATTACATATACACTACGGTGAAGGAAAAGAGGCTATGCAATCCCATCAAGTACTGACCATGCAGACTGTGGAGTATATGATACTCCTTGGAATGATGTGTGTTCCAAGACCAAATATTTCCACAATGCATGGATAAGAACAAAACACTACCTACACAGTCCATGCAAGAAGTAGTTCAATAGGTTCCTACCTGCACTCGATGAACCACTGTCTGATCTGGTCCATCATGGTCTCCTTGATGTCGGGTCCCTCGGTCTCCCGGATCTTGTCCTTGATGGTAATGAGAGACTGCTGGTATTCTTGCTCATTCTGGTCTTGGACTCGGCGCCGAGAGTCCTCCGTCTTGAGGGCGTGAGCCTGGGGGGTGTTCTTCAGAGGCACCAGGGTGGTGGGTGGAGCCTAGGACAAACATTACGCTTAAAGAACTTTGCACATGTCACAGGGAATATACTCTTCTCAAAGAGGCTCTCACTGCAGACAAATTGACAGGCCTAGCAGGTTTGGTTATGTTTGTGTGCTGACTCATTGACAGTGCACTTATTGATTGACCTACCATTCCAATGAAGATCATTTCTTCGTCTCTTTCACGTTTGGTCTGACGCCGCTGAGCAAAGCCTTTCCACACCTGGAAAATGGAAAAAAAATTGTATGCTTCTTTAAATAAAATTAATTCACACATACTCAATATCATCTGGCAGAAAAATATGTGACATACAAGTTCATATACAAGGTTATGCCATAGCACTATTCTTTGTTTTCAAATGGCACTCAAAAACAACATGGAACCATCAGAGTAACTTCTACCAAGAATCTTCTATGTTTAACTGTATGCATGGTTTAGAATCAGGTCAGAGGCAGAACGCATGCAATTTTACATTACCACAAACATAAAAACAGCATAAGTCCTATTTCAGATAAGTCAGATACTCTGAATGGCATACATTCTTGCAGTCAGAGAATCGGTGTCACATGTTGGGGGTATCCCAACAGACAGCGTACCTTCTGTATTCTCATGGCAGCGATGTCGGGATCAAGGGTAGGAGCTCCCTTGCTGGATCTCTGTTTCTCTCTCTCCTCCTGCTGACGGATCTCCCTCATGAACTTCGCACGGAGACGTCCCTGGCGGGCTCGCTCATGAATCTGGATGAGTCGAATTGCTTCCTCCAGAGGCATCTTGACTTCCTCCTTGTCCTAGGCAGAGATGTTGATGGTTTCACATCTTAACTAGTGGTTCTTAAAATGACTTGAAATAAAAGTTAAAAAAAAACAAGTGCAGAAATGCCCACAATAAGCATATTTTCGATCGCTCACAGTTCTTAAACTTCTTCTCTCTTTTTTTAACTTGTTTATTGATTAAGACATCTTTAAAATAAGAACATAGCTTTGTCAGGGTAAAAGAATATCTACAAATTAAAAGCAACATTTAGGACTTTTACTTTCAGAAGGGGTCTTATAAAATGTCAACCTTTGAGAGGTCTCAAACACTACGTAAACAAAAATAAAGGTTATGAACATTAACTGGTCAAATATGCAACGTATATATTGCACACTTATATCAACATTGATAGCTTGATGACCTTGAAACTGTGTTCAGTTAGTGTGACATACCCTCTCCTGATCCTGTGGTCCAATCTTTGTCAGAATTTGACCCAGGAGTTTCTCACGTTCTTTTAGAGGTTTCATTCTTTCCATGATGAAATATTTGGGGATTGGAATCTCCACATCATTCTGAAATGGTCCAGAAAATTATTAATAACAAACAAGTATTGATAACACTGATGCATAACTTTACCAGTAGATCTAAACATTACACATACTGTACTTACGTTTCGTAAAAATGAAAACAGGTGACATTGCCAAAATGCATACAGAAATTCTTCTTGTTATTGAAACTTGATGTTTTCAGAGTAGACATTTAGTTCAACCAAACAATTAGAACATCAAAACAGACATACAAAACTGAAAATGATTACATTTCACAAAATAATGTCATTGCAAATCTTATAAACATTTTTTTCCAGATTACTCAAATACATGTACAAAAGGAACTTACAGGAGTGAGTTTCAAGTCAGACAGGACATCATCAAAGTAATGGTATTCCGAGAATTCAAGGTTAACCATTTCATGTTTGAGTTCAATGATGCGCCCAATGATGCCATCAAGGACATGACGTAATACCCTGCGCTTCTGTGGGTGAACAATCTGATCATATGACTGCTCTAGACGACGGAAGATCTGAATATACTTGATGTAAAGTGTTGCCAATAACTGGAATGCTGCCAGGCGATCCTGTAATAATGAAGAAAGTAATTCTGATGACATAGCCTATATTTTCATGTCAATGTTCAAAATTAAACACCATGAAAGGGTACCTGGTCATAACACTAATGTTACATATTAAAGATTTAGGGGGCCTTAGATTCAAATACCATAGGAGAACTCAAAGACCCCATAACTCCTTCAATTCCGAACACAGTATGTGGATAACATGCATCAGGGATGTGAGCAGGTTTTCCCGAAAAAAGAGGAAAAGTCTAGGGGGGTCTTTTAAACATTTGATTTCATTTTAAGCAATTTCATGCAGTTTGGACAACATTCACACCAAGAAATGTAATAACGTTTCCGCGGAGATTTCACATCCCTGATGCATACTAGCTATTGGGAACAATATTATATATTCATTGAAGCCATGGTAGCAAATGGATCCAGGGTATTTATCATAACAGAATGGAGATATTACCAGGCTATCAAGAATATGTCCCTCTCGATCAGATCCGTTTATGGAAAGAGGTAAACTATAGATTATGAATAAGAGTTAAATATTTGATTTCAACGAGATAATGTCAATTTATAAATCATATAACTCACCCTTTCTGGTTTGGGAGGTTCTGGTGGCATCTCCTGCTGGATAATGTCCACCAGTGTGGCCTGGGCCTCGGCCCATTGCTTGTTGTAGTAGCTGAAGAAGACAGAAAAATAACATCCTTGTCAGTTTATGTATTTGATTGACTTCAGCTACATTTCAGTATACCAGATACCCTCCACCATTTTGGTACGGGATGTGCATGAGTTCCTTCCTCAGTAACGATTTTGGGGTTTGGGGGTCTTGCCCCATACACACTTGAAATAGATGATTTTGTAAGTGTAATTTTCAGTAACTAAAATTTATTAAAGACACTAGAATCTACCAGTACATTTTTCTTGAAATGTGGCCCTGATGCCTGTAACTGATGAGGTTGCCAAATACCATGAATTTTCATTTTCAAGCAATTTTTTTTATGTTGGTGACTGATTTTCTATGTTTATGAATTGCTTTGTTAGTTAATTTCGAGGTTTAATCCTATTGAACCATACAAATTCAAGCATGATAATTTTTTCCTGTTTTTTTTCTACAAATATCCATGCTGTTGCATGCCTCTTTAATAGAATCACCAATAAATTTGCCTGACAGGCATCCGGTATAAGTGTACCAAAACTTCAACAAATTTACAAAGAAATATTAGGATTGGTGCAGCATTTAATTCAATGTGACAAATATTTGACATAGATCCTCTATTCGGGAAATGTATGATAAAGAATAATGGAATAGAATACATCCATTCAACAAATGTCAAATATCAGATATTTGTTATACGTTACACTAGATCTACTAGGAATATGTATATGAAGACAAATTTCACGAAACAAATATATCATAATAAACAAAACATCCACTCATACTACCACTGACAACAACAAAAATCGGATCTAAGGGGCAAAATTAAAATGTTCCATTACCTGTGTGACATTGTCACAGCTACAGGAGCGTCTGGTAACTAAAATAGCATTTATTTCCACCACAGAACGCTTTGACAAGACGCCATTATGTTTTATTATTTGCTGTCATGGAAACAAACTCTCGATTGTTACGAGACTTCCGGTATGTTCAACAACTGGTTCTGTGCGCTGAGAAGGGTACATTTTTGCGCTTCTTTCGAGTCTTTAAGAAGGAGTCCAGTCTATGAATACCCGGAAGTGGCTCGCAGGGGGAAAAGTTCACTTTGGTTGTTGACGAAACTTGCGACGCTTCACTGTGTTTGTATTGTTATTTGTCCACTTTTACTTAAGGCACAATTGAAAATCCTACTAGCCGCCGTCCTCATATTCAGTTTAGGAAAGGCAATCTTTTGGTTGATGTAAAAGCACTCAAAACAAGAAAGCTAACGATCACGTTGATCAACAGGCGCACGTTTCAGTTTCTCTCAGTTTCTGCTGAAACAGTTCGAAGGTTAATCGTTTGTTGACATATGCATTGCTCAATTCATTTATTGTATTGTCGTCACTTTCCGTCGGTGCTTTAGAACATGCCACGTAACACGTTTTTCAATGATCATACTCATCACAAGCGAAATGAATCTGACGCCTGACCAGTAAATGAGTGATACGTGTTTCTAACGAAACGAATCCTTTGACCATGTTGACACTGTTGACGTTTCTATTTTAAGAAATTTACGTTACCCCTGTGTCGAAACCCATATCATTCCTATTGGCCAAAGCTAAATTGTTGGCAGTTATGACCTACGTTTACAAGGGTCTTGGTAGCCACACATCTCTATATATGCAGTAGCAACGTGAATCATGACTATGATCATGATGATGAGTAACAGCACTACATGAAAAACATACTGGGAAGGACCTCACAAAGATATCTGAAGTTAAATGGGCCAATATCTAAATTTCTCTTCCTATTTTACTTTGATATAATACATGTTTGCAGGTAGAAGAAGAGACATAAACAAAAGAGAAGGACCTGTTTATTACCACCGGACTCAGTCAACCATGTCGCTACAGTGGACATTCATTGCTGCTTGTCTCTACATTGAGATAGCTGTCATTGTTCTTCTACTGCTTCCTTTTATTTCACCACCAAGGTAAGAGAAAGACTGTACTAGATGAGTTATTTTTGTCAGGCGAACCTTCTTGCTTTTATAAAGATGTCATTTTATATCATGCATATCGCTATATGAGTGTATCATGATGTTTTGCTAAATTTGTAATCATGATAATGTTGATACTGTATCCATGGTATCAGTACAAATTTATGAATATTGATGCTTAATTAATAATTCAATGTCACAGAAACATTTACATTTATTATCAAATGATTAAGAGATATCATGGTTAAGATGGTTAGTATTACCTTCCAGTGTGTTTGCCGAAATGTATAATGCAGAAAAACTTAACAATGCTAAAATTGCAAGATAGTGAAGTCATTCCCCAAAATGGGAACCATCAATAAACACAGTGGAAAGTCATTTGACATGGTTTAATCCCATATTGTTAGCTCTCTCGAAAACACATACCAGCATTATATAAACCAAATTTTCATTATGTACAAATACAATCTGATTTTCCTTTTCGAGAAAACATGCTGCCATTGCTGGGTGTGTTCAAACATCATTGTATAGTCCAGATCAATGATCACGATAATGGTTTGGTTTAGCAAAATATATTCATTATTTGCCTTACATCTTTACCTCTTTGTTCACAGTTAGCTTAGCAATGGTTGTAATAGAAATGACCGTCTGCCATGGACAGAAAACAATAGGGTCGTCTTGAGTATTAATTATTTTCTGAACACAACGCTTGATGACAACAATGTTTTCAGAGTGGCCCAGGACCAGTGTGTCATCCAGTTGGGAATAGTGTAAATGTTGGGGGGGGGGGGGTCTGTGATTGGTGTCATCTTTACACAATAAACTAAGTTATTTATTTGTTTTTAAACTAAGAGTTACTTTTTGTTTTTATTTCAGATGGCAGAAAGTATTTCGGTCACGACTTCTGAAGAGCATGGCTGCTTATGGCCACATATATTTCAACGTGTTTATTGGTATATTAGTGCTGCTGTTCTTAGGTGAGTAGAAATGGTTACGTGTAGATTAATACATGTTAAGAATAGGATCATAAATAGGGCTGTAACGATTCCCCAATACCTACAAAGTTATCGAAAACAGCAAACTACGGTTATGACCATAGTTCGTCAAAAGCATGACTGTCAGACATCATGGATCAAGTCCTATCATGTTAATGCCCATGAAGATCCGGGGGAGAATAGGTCTTCAGCAACCCATGCTTGCCGTAAGAGATGACTAAACGGGATCAGGTGGTCAGGCTCGCTGACTTGGTTGATGCATCATATGCATGTCATCGATCCCAATTGTGTGGATCGATGCTCATGTTGTCAATCACTGGATTGTCTGGTTCAGACTCAGTTATTTACAGACCGTCGTCATATAGCTGGAATATTGCAGAGTGCGGCATTATATCGTTTCGTAAGATGTCAGGCGATACTCAGTTCCTATTATAAATATTATAGCTCTGTGAATGGTGCAAAATTTATGGTTATTCATATGCTGGTCATCATAATAATTAGGAATGATCTATCATCATGATCATATGACATACAGTCAAGTCCCATTAATCCAACATAGTTGGTTGTGTATGATTATATTGGATAAACCTCTAAAACTTAACACAAAACAGCTGTTAAGGACTGTATGACTTATTCAAAATACTTTTAAAAGCATAGTCTGGAATGGAAGTCGCCAGTTTGAAACTGGTACCACAAAGCTCAAGAAAGCTGCTTTCTTAGTGGCTAATGTTGACTTCCTGTTAGTCATTTCATTGGTCGGTCATAGTTCGTGAAAGGTCGTTCTGAGAACTTGAATCTGATTTTAATAAGATTGAGGCAATCTTAGCATGTGATTAATCTTGTTTTGTTTATTCAAAGTATAATTGTTTATTGTTAAGCAAGTTTATGTCTGCAGCCGTTGTAATATGCAGCTATCAGCGGACTGCTCTCGCATCAAAACCCGGGGCTGTGTACTCACGGGCATATTACCACAGAGTACGCTGATCACTGTGTCCGATTAAGGAGACTGATTAATGAGTGATTTCGGTAATTCATTGCAGAATAAGTGTGTCAGAGTCAGATTGCAAGACTGTCAGATTAATGGGTCTAAATAGCATTGATTTAATCGCTTCCCATCATTAGTGTCAGATAAAGTCGATTGTCAGATTAACGAGACATGACTATACTTCAAGGTCCTATATCACTAAATAGTACAGTAGCTGTTTCAGACAAGTGTGAAAATGATTTCAGTTACCATTCATCATCATCATCATGTTCATGTCAAAATGGGGGCTGTGCTGTGCAGTGTTGCGTGCCTTGGACACACTAGAAACATCTGAGACATGTATCACTTCGTACTTTCTTCCCACACTATGCTGAGACGTTGTGATATAACTGGAACAGCATTTAACCCGACTCACTCACATAAAGACTCTCAAGTTATTTGAGAATCAGAAGTATTAAGTCACAATGCTAATTTCAGATTCGGTGCGGGAAGTACGAAAGTATGCTGGTCCAACAGAGGAGGTCGACCTGAAGCATAATCCCGAGGCCCAGATGATGGCACAGATGAAGTTATTCCGTTCACAGAGAAATTTCTACATTGCTGGATTTGCGCTATTCCTTTTCTTGTAAGAGATATTTTATACTCATATAATTCGTAAATTGTTTGGCCTAAGAAAAGTTGATCGCTCCATGGACTAGTACTAGAGTGTCTGTCCGGAAAGCGGAAGGTCCAGGGTTTCGATACCAGGCCACGTCATACCAAAAGACGTTTTATGATGGTACTTGTTGTTACCCTGCCTGCTGCTCGGCATTACGGGGATCAAGAGGGACTGGTCAGCCCCGAGTCTGTATACTGTATCTGAGTGGGGTATTCATGTTAAAACTGTGGCATGGTATCTCTTTGGGCTAGCACCATAAAATCGACATTCTTCCAGACTAGTACACACACGCATGCACTCATTGTGATGTAAGTGCAATAATCGTGACCAACTAAGAAAAGTTAGTGTTGGTGCTTCTTCATGTTCACAGTACAGTATGTATATCTGCGAGTAGGTGTCAATGGGGGGGATTTACAAGGGGGTCTGTGAGGTCTGAATGGTCTATTAGGGCTACTAGGGGTCTGTGAAGTCTGAATGGTCTAAGGGTACATTGATCAGTCGGTAGGGGTGCTAATTGGGATTGTTCACTAGCAAATATATTTGCAAATATCACCGTGGGCGCTTGTTAGAGCTAGGCACTTATTACGTCGAATACAGTAAGTCTGTTTGAAAGCACACTTTGGTCTTACTGTTAGCCTTGAAAAGTAGGGTCATTGCCTTGAAAAGACCTCATGTTTGGTGGCTCAAGTTCTAGATGAACCATGTTACACTGATGTGTGTTAATGTATACAGTGTGGTTTGTGACAACACTTGATTTCAACCAATGTTTTAGCATTATCCGTCGGCTTGTGGTGCTGATATCTACGGATGCCCGTCTGATGGCGGAGTGTGAGGCCAGTCGCAAGCAGGCAGAGGGCGCCACTGATGCGGCCCGGAGACTCATGGAGGACAAGGAAAACAAGGTCAACAAGGTAGGTCAAGGGTGACATGTGTCCATGGTAACAGTATCCATAGCAATTGTGTGAATATTAGAAGCTGTGGACCAATGGAGAAGGTCAACAAAATATGTAACCAGGTGCAGGCTGACATGTGCCCATGGTAACAGTATCCAAGGTAACAGTGGAAATACTGAAGGACTATCAGACATATACCATGTATAATGACACACTTTGAAAACACATTTCACTGGTGTCTGGTCTATGACATATGGAGAGCTTCTGTTTTATGTGAGGGGGAACGGGTGGCCCAGTCGTCTAATAAGCTGCTATTTTGTTGTGCAGAGTTGCCTCCCTTGGGCGCTCCAGAAACCTATGATCAAGGGTTTGATTTCCGGGCTAGGTTTGTCAGCATCACACCTGTGTTCGTCACAGAAGTGGTAAACGTCTGAGACCTGCATCACTTGGGGCTTTCCTTCCACATCAAGCTGACACACTGTGATATAACTGAAAAGCTGTTCAATGCGGCGTTAAACCCAACTCACTCACTTACTCCTCACTATCAGTATTATACATTCAGACCGCATGGACCATATCAGGACAGGCTCGCTGACTTGGTTGATGTCATCGTATCCCAACTGCGTGTGTGTGTGCACGGATGGCCCAATCAAAGGCGACGCAATTCGCTGTGCAGTGTTGCGTCCCTTGGGCAGACCAGAAACTTATGATTGTGGGACGAATCCCGGTTCTCCCCGATTATGTTTCTAGGTTTGTCAGCACCAAACCCGTGCTCGTGGGTTTCACCGAAGTGGTAAACATCTATGACCTGCATCACTTGGGGCTTTCCTCCCACATAAAGCTGACATGCCGTGATATGACTGGAATCCTGTTAAAAGCGGCTGAAACACAACTCACTCAATCACCTAATTGCATTGATCGATGCTCATGATGTCAATCACTCGATTGTCTGTTCTAGATTCAGTTATTTACAGACTGCCGTCATATAGCTGGAATATTGCTGAGTGCAGCGTTAAACAACAAACAAACAAACATTAAGTCTTGTACTGTGTCGGTGTTTGACCATGGCTGTGTGTTTCAGACCAAGGAGGAGGCTGGCGCAGGAGATAATGTGGGTGCCGCCAAGGGGGCTGCTCAGAAGCTGGATGAAGTGGAAACAGAACTGAAGAAAACCAAGGATGGTGAGAGATGGGATTTTGCTGCAATTTATTTATCAGTGTTTGAGTTATGATACGTTTTAGGCCACTAGTCTGAGGCAACACCATTTACGATGCAGAGTTGCATCCCCTTGTCTAGCCAGGATGTACTGATTGCTGGTTCAAATATGTTCCCCTTTTCTTAACAATTGAATGCCAGCTCCATACCCCTGCCATATAAGATCTCAAATAGTGACTAAAGTGGTGTTAACCCTTGCTAACCCATGTTACATGCTTTCACCTATTATCATGATTACCCCCTCTTGTACATAGATTTTTGATAATAATAATAATAGGTATTTTATATTTTGCGTATTTCCACAACTTGTAAAAGAGGAGGTTAAGGTTCAGGTTTTTCTGATCTCCTGGGAATTGGGATGGGGTCATGAGAAAATGATGCCGTTCTATTTTGTTAAATAAAATAATAATAAATTTGAACACTGTTTAAGGTGTTAAACAGGTGTGGTTTAAAGACTGGTCAATTAATAAGGGGATGCGAGGGTCTGGAAAAAATGTGTTGGGGGTGTCTTGATACAGTCCTCAGATATAATACATGTCTTCCTCTAATCCCCTCGGCCCACCACCCCCATATTATATCACCAGACCCTAAGGGCATCCTGAGAGTCCAGATGGGGACTGAAAGTGACCAGTTGTATGTAGATGTTGTCCTACATATATGAGCTGATGTGTTGCCAGTGAACATGCCGCATTTAAAGTTTATGTACTCACGGGTACACACTTCAGTTGTTGTCCTCTGAGCTTCATAACAGTATGTTATTATCCCTGTCAAGAATTAGTGGTGTAGGTTACATGTATGCCTGTGTTGGCAGACTTGCACAAGGCCCAGCTGAACCTGGAGTCCATGAAGAAGCAGGCTGAAGCTACCAACACGGAGTATGACAGACTGCTGAAAGAACACTCCAAACTCCAGGTAGGTCTGCAGCTGATACAGCAGAATTTACCACTAGAGGGCGTGACGTCCATTGTTTGTGGGGGTCGGACAATTGGATTCTGATGAGGCTAGGATTGAGACAGTGTATTGCAGCTGACAAAGCAGAATATACCACAAGGGTGCGTGATGTCCATTGTTTTGGGGGGTTGGACAATTGGATTCTGATGAGGCTAGGATTGAGACAGTGTATTGCAGCTGACAAAGCAGAATATACCACTAGGGTGCGTGATGTCCATTGTTCAGGGGTTCAGATAATTAGATTCAGATGAAGCGGCAGCAAGCCTTGGTTTTGTATCATCGCACAAAGCCCAGTGAGTTGTGGCCCACATGGTATGATAAGTATGTTAAGATCGAGCGCTGCAGGGGGGTCTGTGAGGTCTGAATGGTCTATGAGGGCTACAAGGGGTCTGAATGGTCCATGAGGATTATGAGGACTACCAGGGGGTCTGTGAGGTCTGAATGGTCTATGAGGGCTACAAGGGGTCTGAATGGTCTATGAGGGCTACAAGGGGTCTGAATGGTCTATGAGGGCTACAAGGGGTCTGAATGGTCTGTGAGGGTTATGAGGACTACCAGGGGGTCTGTGAGGTCTCAATGGTCTATGAGGGTTACAAGTTGTATGTGAGGTCTGAATGGTCTGTGAGGGTTACAAGGGGTCTGAATGGTCTATGAGGGTTACAAGTGGTATGTGAGGTCTGAATGGTCTATGGGAATTATGAGGGCTACAAGGGGGGTATGTGAGGTCTGAATGGTCTATGAGGGCTACAAGGGGTCTGTGAGGTCGGAATTGTAAATAGGGATTATGAGGGCTACAAGCGGGCTGTGCAGTCTGAATGGTCTGTGGGGATATAAGGGCTACAAGGGGGGTCTGTGAGGTCTGAATGGTCTATGAGGGCTACAAGGGGAGTGTAAAGTTTTATAAAAAGTTGGGATATCAAGAGTTTTGGTGCCTTATTCTCTATTTTGATATGAAACGTGTGAATTGATTCATTTCTTGGTTTATGTTTTTTCGTCTTTGCAGGAAAAATTCGAGGCTATTGAGAGCACAGGAGGGAAGAAGGATAACTGATGACACTGTGATTGCCTTCCTACAGATTCTTTTCCCTATTTATTGGACATATCTTTACATCACAGCTTGTGGTCTGTTTGTTGCTAGATAAGTATGTGATACAGTTCTTTTCATATACATCATGTACATATATGGTAAGCCCGATTGAATTATTAATCAAAACGTTTCACGTTAACCTACAAACAAGAAAAGGTGTCATCAAGACTTCACTGCTGTTCTTTAACTTCTTTTGAGTAGTATATATGTATGGTAGTGGAGATTTTCGTTTCGTGACAAACAATTAATCAATTTGGTGTGGCCTCTTCTAACACTAAAAGGGCTGCCATTCCGTTACTTAGTTTAAGCAGACACTATGTATCCTGAAAATTTGTTATTTTAAGTGATTTCCATTAATTTGAGATTTCCATGCGTAAATACATGTTCATAATGTATCTGTGTACATATGCCTCTGTACATCTTCCTGCGGCAAGGGAGCTGACTGACTTTAAAAGTCCAGTTTCCACCCTTGCCGAACAAGGCTGGAATTACTGGACTCTTGTAGCGCCACCAGTGGCTATTACCAGTTATGTCCATTCTAAGACTCCTATGGACCAAGCAGATTCCACCTCGCGTATCACTTGCGTTTGCTTCACACAAAATGGTGGCGCCCAGTCAGGACGATCCTATCGATAATCAAGATCTATACTGTGATAAAATGGGTCGTACATCGCGAAATGCATCAAATCATGTGAGCACCTTCATTAAAAACATGAAAAGATTTGGAAAATATCTGCTGACAAGAAGTTGGCGGTGCACATGCTTTGCAAATCCTGCAATCGATCGAAATATGCACGACAGTTTACAAACCGGATTTTGATTTCGGTGCACGATTTTGATTGGACTATGTACATGATGTACTGACTCGTCAGTCCAGCCAAAATGTAACTCCATAATACCAACCTAGTTAGGCAAGGGTTGAAACTGGACTTTTATAGTCAGTTATCTCCCTTGCCTGGGGAAGATGGCCTCTGTAAGTACCATGGAGGTCATACAAGATTCCTCAAGCATGTCAAGACTTATCAGAACTGTAATTCCTCTCATCGTCAATATTTGCCATTGTGTATGATGTTGAAAGTTGCTTTTGAAGTTAATTGTTTAGCATGTTTAATACTGCTTATTCAGGTTTAATTCCTCTGACTATGCTGGTGTATTTCTGACATTTTGATCATGTGTTTTGCCTTTGTGAAAATGACTGCCTGGATTTGCTGTGAGATTTAAGGAATGGTGCTGATGTAAATATGAACATCATGGACAGATGTGTAATTGTTAGTGTTGCGTACTATTTTAGAGCCAATCAGTTTAGGTGACCCTATTTTGGAATTGGTTCAATTGTAGATTTTGTGTGTGTTATATTAAATATTTCCTTGCAAGTCTGGTTATCATGGTTATGTTGTCATGGTTGTCCTACCTTTATGTTCTTGCTTATGTTTATGTCATAGATTCGTGACAACATATCGGCCTGGAACTAATCAGTTTTAATCAAAATTATTATCAGATGACAGGGTGAGAAATCAGTACTGTCCCCGATTCTAAAAACTGGGCAGAGTTGTGTCCCTTATCATGAGTCCCCCCTTATAATCACTACAGCCTGTTTGTTCTGCCCAGTACCGATGCAGAGCAATAACAGCATTGAACCCAACTTACTCACTCACTCAATGAGATGACTGAGTACATTTCAGCATGATCATGATGATAGGGATTTATCTAGACTTGATCAGAGGCTGATGTTCGGCCTCAATTTTGTGGTAAGCTTCAGTAAAAATTCCCAATTTGGAATTAATAGTTTCCAAATTTGTGTTGTAGTTATAACTGATTACTTTGTAATTTACTACTTTGGTGAAACCTATAAACCTGGTTGTGATGCTGACAAACTTGGGAAGCATGAACATAAACCATATGATGAATAGCAAAGGGACACAACTCTGCACTACAATTTGTGTCTCTGTACACACCTGGTAGAGTTAGTAAGCTGACAGCTGTACAAGATGTCAGCATCTACAGTCAAATAACATTTCAGATATGATCATCCCAGGGTTAGTGCTTTAATCCAACATGTTTGTTTCTTGTTCCATTTTGCTACAACTGTGACTCTGGTACATGACAGTGGCTTGATTATATTAACAAAAGCTGAGGGGTGTTTTTGTTTTTACTTTACAAATATAACCATCTATAAACATGACAAAATGTTTAAGAAGGACTTTAAAAGCCAGTATTTGAAACATGTGGAGATAAGATAATGTATTCTCAAAATAAGTAATTTTAAAATACTTTTGGTATCTAGCATAATGTTATTGGCATTAAAGGGCGGATCCAGCAGTTTTAAAAAGGAGGGGCCCAATATATGAAAATCCTCCCTCAGATAATTTTACTGCATACCGGGTACAACATACCTTTTGTTTTCAAAAGGGGGGCTCTGACCCCCTGGATCTGTTTAGGACATTCAAATATCCTGAAGGTACCAAACATTTTGAGTGTAATCGGAGTTAACGTATGCTATTAGGCCCTATCTAAATAATGTTATAGGATAAATTGTTTACCGATGAGAAATATATATTTTGTATTTTGTGGGGAATGGATTGTAAATTGTTTATACATAGCCATTTGTATATAGAAGTAGAGACATGATTCACAGATCATGATCCATGTATAGATTCAGTGTGAGAGAGAATTTACTATACGTTTTAATGCAATATAGCTGTTAAGCTTAGTAGAAAAACCAAGAACATCTAGTTTGGAACCTCGAAACTAAATGATTCACTTTTTGAAATATTTGCTAGAAACACTTATATTGGTGTTTGATTCAATGAGGCATTAGCCCCAAGTGAATTGCGTAGCAGTAGAACTAACAGACCATGTTTTGAACATACCTGGGTGTTGAATATGATTTGAAATATACATTTGTGTTATTGTAGGATTAGTTGTGAAGAAAATAGTATATTCTGTTTTAGATTGATTGTCTACACTCAGATTATTGTTCTGTTTATGGTTGAACTTGCATTATAGATACCAACTACCATGGTGAAATTGTTGAAGGACTGCATTTGTTAGATGATTGATTGGTTATTCGATTATATTTTCCTAACCTGCACAGACTAAAATAAAGGCATCTTTCATGAAACCACCTTTTGAATTGTATGTGAAATATACCTTAAAAGGGAGTGCAGAAATGATGAATTTGGACCTAACAGATTTGAGGGATGTCCAATTTTTGAATTGCCTGTCCAAAAGATCTTGAGGCGACTGGGCAGATTCAAGTAGCAGTTACAGCCCTGGGGCTGCATAAACATGATGAACAGCAGCACAATTTGTGACTGCCATGTTGTTTTTCAATAAACTTGCCCATATAATATGGGATGAGACTTTGCATTAACTAGGTCACAACTCTGTCGATTCCAGAGTGGGTGGTGTCCCCCTTTTTCAGACACTTACCATGTTAAGTGGACACCATCTTCCCGAGGCAAGAGAGTTAACTGACTTTAAAAGTCCAGTTTTTACCCTTGCCGTACCAGGCTAGTATGAGCTGTGTCCCCTCCATGCCTCTCCGTACCAATCAGATTCCACCCCTCGTATCACTTGCATTTGCTTCAAATAAAATGGCAGCGCCCGGTCAAGACGATCTGATCGATAATCAAGATCTTTATTGTGATAAAACAGATCTTACATCGTGAAGTGCATCAAATCACGTGAGCACCTTCATTAAAAACATGAAAAGATTTGGGAAATATCTGTTGACAACAAGTTGGCGGTGCACATGCTTTGCAAATCCTGCAATCGACCGAAATCTGCATGACAGTTTAGAACCGGATTTCGATTTCATTGCGTGATTTTGATTGGACTATGCATTGACTTGTTAGTCCAGCCAAAATGTAACACCATAACACCAGGCTAGTTCGGCAAGGGTGGAAACTGGACTTTTATAGTCAGTTAACTCCCTTGCATCGGGAAGATGAGTGGGCACTGGGGCAAGTCACTTTCTGACCTGGGTATTCTGTGTGATATGATCATAGCTGCTTCTCTCTCTCTTAAAACAAGACAACAAGAGGAAGTTAATGTACACTGTATTTACATGTAATGGCCTTACAGTGCGTGCGTGCGTGCGTGCGTGCGTGTCCACATGCAGTACCATTCCTTCATGGAGGTAGTATAGTGGTTAAGGTCCCCGCGCCGCCAGTGACCTGGGTTTGAATCCACAGACGGGTACAGTGCGTGAAGCTTCTTACCCTCCACTGTGATTTTTACTGCCAATTTGTTAAAAGCGTGCACACACACACGCACGCGCGCGTGCGCAAACAATTGGGTTCTGACCTACTCGCTCACTCACTCCATGGGCAACCCGATCAGCCAGGGATCAGTTGACTGACTGGGTATACTGGCGGTCTTGCATGAACGATAACAGTTCATTATTGGTCTCTCGGTCTTTCCACGCAAAGTACGAGAGGTAGCTGACATGTTCTGAGCCAAACTATAACATACTGTGTTGTTTTGAATTGGTTGAATAAGTTTGAATAACCACGGCCACATGCAGGGGTTCTTGTTGACTGGAATCGGTGGGACTTGTTCAATGACCGAGGTCCACTCACTTTTGCCGACGATACTGGAGTTCTTTGATCCCATTGGTGTGAGAGTCTTCCTCCCCTAAAGACACCATGTCGGCATGGAGCTATTGGAGTTAGCTCTCTCAGTTGGAGACACCTGATTACAGTGAGGTATCCACTGACGTCCATTTTCATCAACAGAGAATGCCTCGTCACTTTGAAGCCCGCAGATCTATGATTCCTGGTTGCGTATTTGGGTCAAATGCAGTCTGTAAGCATGGGAAGTATTGTACTGAATACATGCAGACTGTTACGTGTCTACTATACATCCTTCGCAGTTAGACTCTGGGACCCGTGAAGATCCGGGGTATAAAAGGCGACTATGCTTGTGGTAAGACTAACGGAATCGGGTGGTCAGGCTCGCTGACTTGGTTGACGCATGTCATCGTACCCCTATTGTGTGGAGGGGGCATGGGTGGCACAGTCGTCTAAGGCGCCGCGATTCGCTGTGCAGAGTTGCGTCCCTTGGGCACGCCAGAAACCTATGATTGTGGGTTCGAATCCCGGTTCGCCCCGATTATGTTTCTAGGTTTGTCAGCACCATACCGTGCTCGTGGGTTTCACCGAAGTGGTAAACGTCTGAGACCTGCATCACCTCGGGCTTTCCTCACACATTAAGCTGACACGCCGCGATATAACTGGAATATTGTAAAAACTCAACTCACTCACTCACCTATTGTGTGGATCGATGCTCATTATTTACAGGTTGTTATGCTGAGTGCGGCGTTGAAACAAACAAACAATCAAATAATAAAAGTTAGGCTCAGGACTTTTCAACCAACCCTCGTTTTACATTGTCCGCGTATGCACAGTCACACCTCCATAGCTTCAAAAATTCTAATATTCTGAACACATGTATTTCTCTTTCAGCCAGCCAAGTCGATGTCATGCTCGAGTTTATCAAATCAGTAAACGCTGCCACACAACCACCTGCCATGGCTTATCAAAGTAATAAATGGAGGGCAAGCTGCAACACATTCGTTGAAACTAATTGCTCTCACCTCGCTTGCTTATCGAAATTACTAAACTTCGCCGACTCCGGTTGGGGGAGACTTCGGCTGCGTTATGGCGGACACAAACGGTCGTAAAATATTTTGTGAAATTATTGGATGTGGGTTACACAAAATATATCAATTTGATCAACTTACCTTGGAGATGTTTCTTTCATATATAATTATTATGTTTCCCTTGGACATAATGGTATATAATTTTAACTCTTTTATTCAACACACTTTGAAATTGAAACGTTTGCTAAATCACTAAAACATGCGCTGAAATACGCCAGTTCTTATCAATTAAACGGACGAGGGATTAATTCGGCATGTAGATTATAAATCCCACGATAAAATAAGGCATCATTCACGGTAGCTATAGGTTACAAGTTAGGACCACCAAGAAACATTATGAGCAAACGGCGGCGGTTTACAAGTTACAACAAATATATTCACTGAATATCGGAGATTGAACGTTATGTCTCATAGGTAAGGCGATTTAATATTTATATTTCTCTTCATGACATTATATATACATGTTATTATACTGGGAATGGGATCACAATGTTTCAAATCTCTTAACGTATTTTTAGTTGACTCAGTGCATGTAGATTTGGGAAATGTAATTTTCTGACTTTTTATCATTCATTCCTTCATTCATTCATTTGATTTGTGTAGAGATAAACGTGAAACTCGGTTACTCCTGACTGTATCGTTCCCAGCGAACTGGTCTGGACAGCAGAGTATCCGAACTAACGGACTACTTACAAACGAGTTGGTTTCTTTCATATATAATTATCATGTTTCCCTTGGACGCAATGGTAAATAATTTTAACTCTTTTATTCAACACACTTTAATATTGAAACGTTTGCTAAACGTTTGTAACGTTTGTTGTTTAACGCCGCACTCAGCAATATTCCAGCTATATGATGGTGGTCTGTAAATAATCGAGTCTGGACCAGACAATCCAGTGATTGATATCATGAGCATCGATCCACGCCATTGGGATACAATGACATGCATCAACCAAGACAGCGAGCATGACTACCCGATCCCGGCCACTTAACGAAGCTGTAATGTAGTATTCCAGCTAAATAATGATGACTGAAAGAATTAGCAATGTTCCAACCCATCAGGGTACAACAGTACAACGTTCCAACCCATCAGGGTACAACAGTACAACGTTCCAACCCATCAGGGTACAACAGTACAATGTTCCAACCCATCAGGGTACAACTGTACAACGTTCCAACCCATCAGGGTACAACAGTACAACGTTCCAACCCATCAGGGTACAACAGTACAACGTTCCAACCCATCAGGGTACAACAGTACAACGTTCCTACCCATCAGGGTACAACAGTACAATGTTCCAACCCATCAGGGTACAACATTACAACGTTCCAACCCATCAGGGTACAACAGTACAATGTTCAAACCCATCAGGGTACAACAGTACAATGTTCAAACCCATCAGGGTACAACAGTACAATGTTCCAACCCATCAGGGTACAACAGTACAATGTTCCAACCCATCAGGGTACAACAGTACAACGTTCCAACCCATCAGGGTACAACAGTACAATGTTCCAACCCATCAGGGTACAACAGTACAATGTTCCAACCCATCAGGGTACAACAGTACAACGTTCCAACCCATCAGGGTACAACAGTACAATGTTCCAACCCATCAGGGTACAACAGTACAACGTTCCAACCCATCAGGGTACAACAGTACAACGTTCCAACCCATCAGGGTACAACAGTACAATGTTCCAACCCATCAGCCTGACCACCCGATCCCGTTGGTCGCCTTTTACGACAAGCATAGTCGCCTTTTACGGCAAGCATGGGTTGCTGAAGACCTATTCTACCCCGGAATCTTCACGGGTCTTTGACCACATGATCCCGACACGTCAAAGTGACACACAGCGAATTGCGGCGCCTAAGACGACTGGACCACCGGTGAAATACAGGCGATATAGTGAAAAACAGGGTAACTCATACACCCATTTCCATGTCCAAACATCCTCAATAACTTAAGGTCTTTACGATCATCGCTAGAGTGAGTGAGTGAGTATGGTTTTACGCCGCTTTTAGCAATATGCCAGCAATATCACGGCGGGGGACACCAGAAATGGGCTTCACACATTGTACCAATGTGGGCAATCGAACCCGGCCCTTCGCCGGAACGAGCAAACGCTTTAACCACAAGGCTACCCCACCGCCCCTCATAGACAAAGAGATGATGGACGTCATGATGACGTCATGTTGATAAGTTGGAGGCCTTTCACAACCAATCTGAGTGAGTGAGTGAGTGGGTATGGGTTTTTACGCCGCTGTTGGCAATATTCCAGGAATATTACGGCGAGGGACACCAGTTACTGGCTTCACCTGTTGTATTCCTGCATGTTCGGAATCGAATCTTCGGCGTGACGAGCGAACACTTTGACCGCCCTATCGCCCCTAATCCAATCTGAAGATGTACTCTGTTCATAAGACCCGTGCAGACCCGGGGTAGAATAGGTCTTCAGCAACTCATGCTTGTCGTAAAAGTCGACTACGCTTGTCGTAAGAGGTGTCTTCAGCAACCCATGCTAACCGTAACTATGCTTGTAAGAGGCGACTAACGGGATCGGGTGGTCAGGCGTCATATCCCAATTTAGTGGATCGATGCTTATGATATCAATCGCTGGATTGTCTGGTCCAGAATCGATTATTTACAGACCGCCGTCGTATAGCTGGACTATTGCTGAGTGCGGCGTTAAACAACAAACACACAAAACAAAACTGCTCATAACGGTACGGAGGATAAGCCCGAATACCTTGAGCTCTATTTCATAAAGGTATCTTAGCGCTAAGATGATCGTAAACTCAATGTTATACCATAGCAGCCGAGATGGCTTTGTGAAACGGAACTCAATTCGACAGTGGGATTTTAATTTAAGTTGTGTAATGTTGCCGATGGGCCCTGAATGTCTGTTGTCTCCCTAGCTACTACAACAAGCAGTGGGCGGAGGCCCAGCGGGCCCTGGTGGACATCATACAGCAGGAGACGCCGGCAGAACCCCCACTCCCCGACACGGTCAGTCGCTGCATTGGTCGTGAGTGAGCGAATGAGTGCGTGCCTACGTGCGTGCGCGGTGTGGTTTTTTCCGCGCTCTCGTGGATCTGGATCAGACGTAAATCGTCTTCAAGTGACATCCAGGGACTTGCCATGTCCTGCAACAGTGAGTAAGTGAGTATGGTTTTAAGCCGCTTTTAGCAATATTCAAGCAATGTCACGGCAGGGGACACCAGAAATGGGCTTCTTATATTGTACCCATGTCGGGAATCGAAACCGGGTCTTCGGCGTGACGAGCGAACGCTTTAACCAATAGGCCTCCCCACCGCCCCTGGAGTGAGTGAGTGAGCCTTCTGGGTTTAACACCCCACTGACGTTATTTCAGTTACATTACGTTGTATACATACATGTGCGCACTCGTGACTTTCAAGTACACACAACATAGTGCAATAAGTGAATGAGTGAGGTGGGTTTAACGCCGGTTTGAACAGAATTTTAGTCTTAGTCATATTATGGCTCGTCAGGTTGATATGATGGAAAACCCGAATGATGCAGGTCTTAGACGTTTGCCACTTTGGAGGAGGAATCCACTAGCACAGGTACGGTGCTGACAAACCTAGAAACAGGAATCTGGGATTTGAACCCACGATTACAGGATACGGTCACGCCTAGGGGACGACAAGGTCACCAGCCTTCCTGTGCTAATAGAAAACAAAATTACATGTTTTATACACACCACTCGGATAACGAGTAAATGTACCATTAGCATTACAAATATGTGTAGACCATAAGCCGACATGGGTATAGATCGCGTGTTCTCAACGTGACCTTACCCTGACCTTGACCTCTGCTTCCAGGACCGGTATGCAGTGTTCCAGATGCTTGCCACCCTGTATGTCAAGTACATCCAGATCTTCCGCGCCCTGGAGCAGGCCTATGACCAGATCGTGCACCCTCAGAAGCGGCGCGTGCTGCGTCACGTGCTGGACGGGGTCATGGGTCGGGTCCTCGAGCTGAAGCATGAGATGATGAACCTGGAGTGTTCCGAGTACCATTACTTTGACGATGTCCTGGCGGATCTGAAACTCACCCCTGTACGTTGAACTATCCGCATTAGATCGTGATCCTATCTTCCACCTGGTATTTTATATATTTCATGTTGGTCAGATTATGTTCTTGTTTGTAAATCAGGACGGGATGGTAGGCTTTGCTTTTCATGGATTGACTCGTCAAGCCTTCATTCTCACATTCTCCAAGGCTAGAATTTCGATAAAACCTCTGGATCCATTCCCCTGGTTCTGGCAATCTCCAATTACTCGCCCTTGATTTTCCATTTGCCAATTTGATTAGCTACGCTACTAGGTGTAACGTACCAATCAGACTGCGAGTCATGCCTCATGGTTGGCCCATTGATAATTGAGTTTGCCAGAAAATCAACATTGAAAAACTGATACTGATACGCAAAAGAAAGCCCTCAGAAATCTTTTTGATGGAAAGGATGTCTTCATGTCCATTAAAACTGGCGTTGGCTTTGGTTTCTAGGTAATACGAGTTACCTCCCTTACCCTTTCTCTTTCCTTTATGTCAACGTTTAATTGGTAGGTAAAATGTTAATGAAAACCAGGGGCGGGTAATTAGCGATCGCAAGAACCCTGGGAAAAGATCCAGGGGTTAGAGTACGTTTAGTGGAGATATAGAGGTTAGTGTAAGTTTAGTGGAGATACAGAGAGTGTCAAGCCTTGGCTAAGGCCAGCGTTCGATTCCCAATATAGTACAATGTAGGAATCTCATTCTCCACCAATGTTATTACTGGAATGGTGCTGAAAGAGGGGCGAAACCTCAACCAACTATTCTAATACTTAAAGTTACCACTGATTTCCATTCTATTTTGTGTAAATAAAATAACGCAGCCTCCATCTGTTTGAAAAATAATGTTCAGCCTCAAAAAGTTTTGAACGCAATATGGCCATTGTCACCAATACAGAGTATTTAGTGAGCAAAGCCATAATCTTTGACATAGAGACATGAGCATGGTGTGACAGTTTGTCTGTAACACTTCTCTATAATAATAATATGAAATCTCCAGAGACCATATCCTGCAAGTCACAGTATTTTAGACAAGGCTATTGACTCCATTCGTCCCGCTGTGATATGGCTGAAATAGTTAACATATTAACATATATATAAATAAAAATGGTTATTGCAATGACCTATACTGACGAGCAAAAAGGAACGTTACCAAACAACATTGTTTGTTCCTGAAAACAAAACAGGAAGATACTTGTATTGTCCAAAGACATGGATTTACAACCTCAGTACAAGTAATGCCGTGAATGAGGACAAAAATGAAGAAACTGTCTCCACAGCTGGAGGACAGTTCAGTTGTTCAGTATTCGATCAACCATCAAGACTGAAATCAGCACATGAAACTCCATTTAATCCTTCAGAACGTCACAGTTGTCAGTCAATATCGTGCATGTCCACCTCGGGCATCAATACACGCCACAACTCGACGACGGGCAAAGGCTGTGAGACGTCTGATCACAAATAAATGGGATTCGACGCCTTTCTTCTCGGAGGGCCTGTGCAAACTGATCATCATGATGAGGGCGACCTTATCGTGCTATAATTTGACGGTCAAGGTGATCCCACAAGCTATATTGTGTTATCTTGCTAAAATAGGGGGTTCTGTTTCAAGATAGGTAGAACAACAGGGTAGAGACATTGGTCAAAGTAACGCTGTCCAGTGATGTTTCCCTTCAAAATCAACACATCTGTCTTGACTTGGCTGCAGAAGCCACCACAAACGATTCGACATCTTGAACCAAACAACGTGACGTTCTTTCTCTTCGACGGTAGACACAAATTCTTCCATCTGCTCTGAAAAGCCTCAATCTGCTGTCTCCTGTGAACATGACTCCCTGCCAGCCTCTGTAATACTACCGTCGCAGTGTTCGAGCCCGGTGTTCGATGTCGGTGTTCCGGCGTCAGTGTTACGTCTCGTAGTGGTCTGTAAGCTTTGATTTTGTTCCGGCACAATTACGGAACAAAGTCGCAGCTGATGACGTCTCCGTGATTATACGATCCTTCAGATTGAGGATACGTATGTAGCGTTCTCCTGGGTGGTGGTGACAACGTATCCAAATTTCAGTTTGGTAACGTGTCTCTTTTTTTTCGCCAATTTACATCAAAAATGCTATTTATGTCCATCATCGACAGTCTTAGGAATTAAAAAGTACCTTACTCCAGCAGTTGTGAGTACAAACATGTCAAGTTGACCCTTTTTCTGTCAATTTGAAGAAAATGCACACTAAACTTTTGCTACAAATGGTGTAAAAATGATCTTTTTATTTCATGAACCTGTCTTATTACACTGCTATGTTCATTCTGTTTTAAAATCACCTACATCTGTGCAGTTATTATGTTTTAGTGAACAGTGAGAATATGTTAACATTCTTACCATAGATTGAATTTGAACTGTGACGAAAACAAATCTCAGCTCTCTTATATGAAAAAACAAATCTTAGCCCCTAAAAATGAAGAAAAAACATGACAACTAAAAAAAAGACGTTCCAAGTGTTCTATCTCATTCCGTGTTAGGGGCGGTCGGGTAGCCTAGTGGTTAAGGCGTTCGCTCGTCACGCCGAATACCCGGGTTAGATTCCCGACATGGTTACAATGTGTGAAGCCCATTTCTGGTGTCCCCCGCCGTGATATTGCTGGAATATTGCTAAAAGCGGCGTAAAACCATATTCACTCACTATTCCGTGTTACAGAGCGACGTGGAGATCCCAGTGCCTCGCTATTTCGTCATGGAGCGCCTGAAGCCATTGAGGGAACGGGAGAAGGTGCTGGGTCAGATTCTGGCAAAGATGGGACCAAAAGACATGCACAAGGTCCACAGCATGTCCTATATAACGCTCACTTTGGCTTAGTCTTGTTCGCAACGGTATTTATGTTCCATACCAGGCTCAGAAAAAATCCAGTTCTAAAACTTGTCGTTAGTGTCGGCAACAGGGGATTGAGTGGTCAGTGACAATGGTGACTGTGTGCCAACACTCTGTGGGTGGGCATTTGGTCATATTTTAATTCACTTGCTTTGTCCAGGCGAGATTGTTTTCATGGCGCCATGATCTCATTCAAGTTGCACTGTGACTGCCATACTCGCTTTTGAGGAATTAGTGATTGCGGGTCTCGTGAAGACCCGGGGTAGAATAGGTCTTCAGCAACTCATACTTGACGTAAAAGGAGACTAAGCATGTCGTAAGAGACGACTAACGGGATCGGATGGTCAGTCTAGCTGACTTGGTTCATGCATGTCATCGTAACCCAGCTGCGTTGATCGATGCACACGATGTCAATCACTGGATTGTGTGGTCCAGAATGGTTTATTTACAGACCGCCATCATATACCTGGGCTATTGCTGAGTGCGGCGTTAAACGACAAGCAAAAAAGAAAACGAAAAAAGTGATTGAGGTGTCTGGTCTAGTGATGAAGTGATTAAAGCATGAACAAGTCTCTGTATCCTGTCTGTATCTGCGTGCAGACGGAATCCTGTCTGTATCTGCGTACAGTCGCTATCCTGTCTGTATCTGCGTACAATCGCTATCCTGTCTGTATCTGCGTACAATCGCTATCCTGTCTGTATCTGCGTACTGTCGCTATCCTGCCTGTTTCTGCGTACAGTCGCTACCCTGTTTGTGTCTGCGTACAGTCGCTATCCTGTTAGTATCTGCGTACAGTCGCTATCCTGTCTGTATCTGCGTACAGTCGCTATCCTGTTAGTATCTGCGTACAGTCGCTACCCTGTTTGTGTCTGCGTACAGTCGCTATCCTGTTTGTATCTGCGTACAGTCGCTATCCTGTTTGTATCTGCGTACAGTCGCTATCCTGTTAGTATCTGCGTACAGTCGCTACCCTGTTTGTATCTGCGTACAGTCGCTATCCTGTCTGTATCTGCGTAGGTCGCTACCCTGTCTGTATCTGCGTACAGTCGCTATCCTGTTTGTATCTGCGTACAGTCGCTATCCTGTTTGTATCTGCGTACAGTCGCTATCCTGTTTGTATCTGCGTACAGTCGCTATCCTGTCTGTATCTGCGTACAGTCGCTATCCTGTCTGTATCTGCGTACAGTCGCTACCCTGTCTGTATCTGCGTACAGTCGCTATCCTGTTTGTATCTGCGTACAGTCGCTATCCTGTTTGTATCTGCGTACAGTCGCTATCCTGTCTGTATCTGCGTACAGTCGCTACCCTGTCTGTATCTGCGTACAATCGCTATCCTGTCTGTATCTGCGTACAATCGCTATCCTGTCTGTATCTGCGTACAATCGCTATCCTGTTTGTATCTGCGTACAGTCGCTATCCTGTCTGTATCTGCGTACAGTCGCTACCCTGTCTGTATCTGCGTACAGTCGCTATCCTGTTTGTATCTGCGTACAGTCGCTATCCTGTCTGTATCTGCGTACAGTCGCTACCCTGTCTGTATCTGCGTACAATCGCTATCCTGTCTGTATCTGCGTACAATCGCTATCCTGTCTGTATCTGCGTACAATCGCTATCCTGTCTGTATCTGCGTACTGTCGCTATGGTGCCTGTTTCTGCGTACAGTCGCTACCCTGTTTGTGTCTGCGTACAGTCGCTATCCTGTTAGTATCTGCGTACAGTCGCTATCCTGTCTGTATCTGCGTACAGTCGCTATCCTGTTAGTATCTGCGTACAGTCGCTACCCTGTTTGTGTCTGCGTACAGTCGCTATCCTGTTTGTATCTGCGTACAGTCGCTATCCTGTTTGTATCTGCGTACAGTCGCTATCCTGTTAGTATCTGCGTACAGTCGCTACCCTGTTTGTATCTGCGTACAGTCGCTATCCTGTCTGTATCTGCGTAGGTCGCTACCCTGTCTGTATCTGCGTACAGTCGCTATCCTGTTTGTATCTGCGTACAGTCGCTATCCTGTTTGTATCTGCGTACAGTCGCTATCCTGTCTGTATCTGCGTACAGTCGCTATCCTGTCTGTATCTGCGTACAGTCGCTACCCTGTCTGTATCTGCGTACAGTCGCTATCCTGTTTGTATCTGCGTACAGTCGCTATCCTGTCTGTATCTGCGTACAGTCGCTATCCTGTTTGTATCTGCGTACAGTCGCTATCCTGTCTGTATCTGCGTACAGTCGCTATCCTGTTTGTATCTGCGTACAGTCGCTATCCTGTTTGTATCTGCGTACAGTCGCTACCCTGTCTGTATCTGCGTACAGTCGCTATCCTGTCTGTATCTGCGTACAGTCGCTATCCTGTCTGTATCTGCGTACAGTCGCTATCCTGTTTGTACTTGCATACAGTCGTTATCCTGTTAGTATCTGCGTACAGTCGCTATCCTGTCTGTATCTGCGTACAGTCGCTATCCTGTTTGTACTTGCGTACAGTCGCTATCCTGTTTGTATCTGCGTACAGTCGCTATCCTGTCTGTATCTGCGTACAGTCGCTATCCTGTTTGTATCTGCGTACAGTCGCTATCCTGTTTGTATCTGCGTACAGTCGCTATCCTGTCTGTATCTGCGTACAGTCGCTACCCTGTCTGTATCTGCGTACAGTCGCTATCCTGTTTGTATCTGCGTACAGTCGCTATCCTGTCTGTATCTGCATACAGTCGCTATCCTGTTTGTATCTGCGTACAGTCGCTATCCTGTCTGTATCTGCGTACAGTCGCTATCCTGTTTGTATCTGCGTACAGTCGCTATCCTGTCTGTATCTGCGTACAGTCGCTATCCTGTCTGTATCTGCGTACAGTCGCTATCCTGTCTGTATCTGCGTACAGTCGCTATCCTGTCTGTATCTGCGTACAGTCGCTATCCTGTTTGTATCTGCGTACAGTCGCTATCCTGTCTGCATCTGCGTACAGTCGCTATCCTGTCTGTATCTGCGTACAGTCGCTATCCTGTCTGTATCTGCGTACAGTCGCTATCCTGTTTGTATCTGCGTACAGTCGCTATCCTGTTAGTATCTGCGTACAGTCGCTATCTTGTTTGTGTCTGCGTACAGTCGCTATCCTGTCTGTATCTGCGTACAGTCGCTATCCTGTCTGTATCTGCGTACAGTCGCTATCCTGTTTGTATCTGCGTACAGTCGCTATCCTGTCTGCATCTGCGTACAGTCGCTATCCTGTCTGTATCTGCGTACAGTCGCTATCCTGTCTGTATCTGCGTACAGTCGCTATCCTGTTTGTATCTGCGTACAGTCGCTATCCTGTTAGTATCTGCGTACAGTCGCTATCTTGTTTGTGTCTGCGTACAGTCGCTATCCTGTCTGTATCTGCGTACAGTCGCTATCCTGTTAGTATCTGCGTACAGTCGCTATCCTGTCTGTATCTGCGTACAGTCGCTATCCTGTCTGTATCTGCGTACAGTCGCTATCCTGTTTGTATCTGCGTACAGTCGCTATCCTGTCTGTATCTGCGTACAGTCGCTATCCTGTTTGTACCTGCGTACAGTCGCTATCCTGTCTGTATCTGCGTACAGTCGCTATCCTGTCTGTATCTGCGTACAGTCGCTATCCTGTCTGTATCTGCATACAGTCGCTATCCTGTCTGTACCTGCGTACAGTCGCTATCCTGTCTGTATCTGCGTACAGTCGCTATCCTGTTTGTATCTGCGTACAGTCGCTATCCTGTCTGTATCTGCGTACAGTCGCTATCCTGTTTGTATCTGCGTACAGTCGCTATCCTGTTTGTATCTGCGTACAGTCGCTACCCTGTCTGTATCTGCGTACAGTCGCTATCCTGTCTGTATCTGCGTACATTCGCTATCCTGTTTGTATCTGCGTACAGTCGCTATCCTGTTTGTATCTGCGTACAGTCGCTATCCTGTCTGTATCTGCGTACATTCGCTATCCTGTTTGTATCTGCGTACAGTCGCTATCCTGTCTGTATCTGCGTACAGTCGCTATCCTGTTTGTACCTGCGTACAGTCGCTATCCTGTCTGTATCTGCGTACAGTCGCTATCCTGTCTGTATCTGCGTACAGTCGCTATCCTGTCTGTACCTGCGTACAGTCGCTACCCTGTCTGTATCTGCGTACAGTCGCTATCCTGTTTGTATCTGCGTACAGTCGCTATCCTGTCTGTATCTGCGTACAGTCGCTATCCTGTCTGTATCTGCGTACAGTCGCTATCCTGTTTGTATCTGCGTACAGTCGCTATCCTGTCTGTATCTGCGTACAGTCGCTTTCCTGTTTGTATCTGCGTACAGTCGCTATCCTGTCTGTATCTGCGTACAGTCGCTATCCTGTTTGTATCTGCGTACAGTCGCTATCCTGTTTGTATCTGCGTACAGTCGCTATCCTGTCTGTATCTGCGTACAGTCGCTATCCTGTTTGTATCTGCGTACAGTCGCTATCCTGTCTGTATCTGCGTACAGTCGCTATCCTGTTTGTATCTGCGTACAGTCGCTATCCTGTCTGTATCTGCGTACAGTCGCTATCCTGTTTTTTATCTGCGTACAGTCGCTATCCTGTTTGTATCTGCGTACAGTCGCTATCCTGTTTGTACTTGCGCATAGTCGCTATCCTGTTTGTATCTGCGTACAGTCGCTATCCTGTTTGTATCTGCGTACAGTCGCTATCCTGTTTGTATCTGCGCATAGTCGCTATCCTGTTTGTACTTGCGTACAGTCGCTATCCTGTTTGTATCTGCGTACAGTCGCTATCCTGTTTGTATCTGCGTACAGTCGCTATCCTGTTTGTATCTGCGTACAGTCGCTATCCTGTTTGTATCTGCGTACAGTCGCTATCCTGTTTGTATCTGCGTACAGTCGCTATCCTGTTTGTATCTGCATACAGTCGCTATCCTGTTTGTATCTGCGTACAGTCGCTATCTTGTTAGTATCTGCGTACAGTCGCTATCCTGTCTGTACCTGCGTACAGTCGCTATCCTGTTTGTATCTGCGTACAGTCGCTATCCTGTTTGTATCTGCGTACAGTCGCTATCCTGTCTGTATCTGCGTACAGTCGCTATCCTGTTTGTATCTGCGTACAGTCGCTATCCTGTTTGTATCTGCGTACAGTCGCTATCCTGTTTGTACTTGCGCATAGTCGCTATCCTGTTTGTATCTGCGTACAGTCGCTATCCTGTTTGTATCTGCGTACAGTCGCTATCCTGTTTGTATCTGCGCATAGTCGCTATCCTGTTTGTACTTGCGTACAGTCGCTATCCTGTTTGTATCTGTGTACAGTCGCTATCCTGTTTGTATCTGCGTACAGTCGCTATCCTGTTTGTATCTGCGTACAGTCGCTATCCTGTTTGTATCTGCGTACAGTCGCTATCCTGTTTGTATCTGCGTACAGTCGCTATCCTGTTTGTATCTGCGTACAGTCGCTATCCTGTCTGTATCTGCGTACAGTCGCTATCCTGTCTGTATCTGCGTACAGTCGCTATCCTGTTTGTATCTGCGTACAGTCGCTATCCTGTTTGTATCTGCGTACAGTCGCTATCCTGTTTGTATCTGCGTACAGTCGCTATCCTGTCTGTATCTGCGTACAGTCGCTATCCTGTTTGTATCTGCGTACAGTCGCTATCCTGTCTGTATCTGCGTACAGTCGCTATCCTGTTTGTATCTGCGTACAGTCGCTATCCTGTTTGTATCTGCGTACAGTCGCTATCCTGTTTGTATCTGCGTACAGTCGCTATCCTGTTTGTATCTGCGTAGGTCGCTACCCTGTCTGTATCTGCGCATAGTCGCTATCCTGTTTGTATCTGCGTACAGTCGCTATCCTGTTTGTATCTGCGTACAGTCGCTACCCTGTCTGTATCTGCGTACAGTCGCTATCCTGTCAAGTTATTATCCTATAGAAACAGCCCGTTGTTACGGAGAGATACCAACATATGACCAATTGACATAACATAAGCCCTGTCAAGATCCGGCTTCGAATTAGTCTTCAGCAACCCAAGCTTGTCGTAAGAAGCGACTAGCGTGATCGGGTGGTCAGACACGCTGACTTGGTTGATACATATCATCGTATCCCTATTGCGAAGATCGATGCTGATGATGTCAATCACTGGAATGTCTGGTCCAGACTCGACTATTTAAAGATCGTCGTTACATAGCTTGAATACTGCGGAGTGTGGCGTTAAATAACAAAGAAACACACTAGAATTTGTACAAGGTCACGTGAAATGGGGCTTACGGTTTGCGTTCAAGATAATGTCACTTACTTGCGGCTGCCTGTATTAGTCCATAGTGCCGGTTATATTGTCCTAGCCTACTGAGATGCCATGCCACAGTTTAAAATGGATACCCCTCTCAGACACATTACACTGATCCAGAGTCGACCAATCCTTGTTCTGTCCATTTTTGGCCGAGCGCAAGACAGGGAAACAACAAGAAACAAACTTTTTTGGCATGATGCGGACAGGGGATCGAACTATCGACCTTCTGGTCACCGGTACAGACGCTATATCCACTGTACCACGGGGGCTGGTGTACAACTTGTACAAGTAATATATCCTTATATGATTAGTCTAATGATAGGAGACACAGGTCCTATGATATATGATGTCCAATGTCCAGATAAGTTGTTTGTTTGTCCTTTGCAAGAAGGCGGTAAGGTAGCCTCGTGGCTAAAGCGTTCGCTCCTCACACCGAAGACCCGGGTTAGATTCCACACTTGGCTACAACGTGTGAGGCCCATTTCTGGTGCCCCCGTCGCGATATTGTGAAATATTGGCGGCGGAATACCATACTCACTAACTGTTGCAGGACACGGGAGGTCCCCGGATGTCACTGGAGGACGCTGTACGTCTGATCCAGATCCACGAGCGCGCGAGACAGGGTCGTCTGCGTGCGGAGATCATGCTGAGAATAACGGAGAACTCCAGGAGAAGCCGGAAGCAACCTCCCACATTGCACCCGGATGTGGCGGCAACGACCATTCAGAAGGTACATTCGGCACATACAAAGTGGAGCTGTAGTTGGTGAGGTTTCTCGTCCGTTCTGTAAGACTCATCTCCCATGTTGCAGGTGTGGAAGGGGTTTTCCCAGCGGCGACGAACACGGCGGGACAGGGAAGAGGAAATGACGTTTCTAGGCATGGTGGGTAATTTAACCTCTAACATTTCCCATGTTATTTAGTTCCGCATCAACTCCTGTCTGGTGGGTTGGCATGGTTTCGTTTGCTGTCTACTCCTTTGTAATCACAAGTGTGTGATCAGAATTTTAAAAAAACTAGGCCATGTGTTCACATGTGAAGATTATTTGAGAATCGTGTTCTTCAAATTTCTCACATGACCTGTAAACTTTCCAGCCTTCCCATCTTCAGATTGTAAGAAATGTCATCTAAGATAAGGATAAATAAAATGCGACAGGAATTAAAACAGTATGTATTCAAAATAAGAATCAATGTCAAGTACAGTTGTCTCTTTAGTGGATAAATGCGCGAAAATCCGGGAAGGAATAGGTCTTCAGCAACCCCTGCTTGTCGTATGAGATGACTAACGGGATCGTGTGGTCAGACTCACTGACTTGGTTGACGCATGTAATCGTATCCCAATTTTGCAGATCAATGCTCACGATGTCAAGCACAAGATTGTGTGGTCCAGAATCGGTTATTTACAGACTGCCGTCATAAAGTTGGAATATTATGCGGCGTTAAACAACAACAAATATACAAAACTTTAGTTGATAATACAGACAATGTGATTGTGCACAGGCTCATCAGAAGTAATGATGATACAATTGTAATATGATAATGAATTATTGACCAGTTGGTGAAAGCCCTGTGCTGATAACGGTATAATCATCGTAAGGACATGTTTTCCTTACTTATTATTATTAATTTTTAATTATTTTATCGTTTTCTGTATATATTTTTCTTTTACTTTGGGTAGGTGGTTAAGGATGTTCTTATATTTTGCAACCTGCTTTTGTTGGGCTTTTGACTAGGATGTTGTTTCATATATAACGTGAGATTCGTGTCGTGTCCCCCAGGCTGCACCCTCTACCCAGGTGATCCTAAAGAACACGCCCATGTCGCTGGCCCTGAGGACGGAGGAGACGAGGCGGCGCGTGCAGGAGCGTCACGAGATGGAGTACCAGCAGGCCCTGGAGGTGATCCGTGACAAGATCCAGGAGACCCAGGGACCCGACATCAAGGAGACTCTGATGGACCAGATCAGACAGTGGTTCATCGAGTGCAGGTAGGGACCTAATGAACTGCTTCATGCATGGACTGTGTAGGTAGAGCAGCTTTGTTCTTATCCATGCAAGACAGAGGGCTCTCGGCGCCGAGTCCAAGGCCAGATGAGCAAGAATACCAGCAGTCTCTCATTACCATCAAGGACTAGATCCGGGAGACCGAGGGACCCGACATCAAGGAGACCATGATGGACCAGATCAGACAGTGGTTCATCGAGTGCAGGTGGACACACATATATTGTTTGTTTGTTTCTTGTTTAACGCCGCACTCAGCAATATTCCGGCTATATGAAGGCGGTCTGTAAATAATCGAGTCTGGACCAGACAATCCAGTGATTAACATCATGATCATCGATCCGAGCAATTCGGATACGATAACTTGCATCAACCAAGTCAGCGAGCCTGACCACCCGATCCCGTTAGTCGCCACTTACAACAAGCATAGACGCCTTATACGGCAAGCTTGGGTTGCTGGAGACCTATTCTAACCCGGATCTTCACGGGTCGGACACACATATACATCCCTTTTTTTTAACGCGTTTTGAGCATACAGGTTAACAGGAAGTGCGAGATATTATCTCAGGGCCGGAACTTCAGAATATTGCAACCCACTTCCTAATGATTGGACAACCCCTCGCGACCTGCCCTGATCGGGGACGGGGGCATCTTTCCAAGTGGAAACTGGACAGTAACAGACAGTTAACTCCCTTGCCTCGGGAAGATGGGACGGGGGTCAAAACAAAATGTAAATTCAAGTAAATTCTATAGAAAAACAACTGCCTCATCTTTTGACCAAAAAATATTTGTTCGATGGACACGCTGGATGTGGTCGCAGGGTTGTTTACCAACAAGACGAATTGCAGTATTGAAGTAGTGATGTCATTTTTTACCCAAACAATCTTGACTTCCACGTGATGCATGGCGAAATACATCCAATGGCCCAACACAGTGGCGCCAAACATATAAACCAAAGTCACCCTTTCGCCATGTTTAGCCTCATCTTTAGCAAGCATATTATACCTCAAGTTCTAATGACACAGTAACACATATATGGCATTTGCGTTTCTTGTGTGGTTCAGTATATATGCGAATTAATGAGCCTCTAACTAACGATGGTAGCGTACACACACACACGTTGTACTGAGACACTCAAGCCCTCAGGGGCGGTCGGGTAGCCTTGTAGTTAAAGCGTTCGCTCGTCACGTCAAAGATCCGGGTTCGATTCCCGACATGGGTACAATGTGTGAAGCCAAGTTCTGGAGTCCCCCGCCGTGATATTGCTGGAATATTGCTAGAAGCGGCGTAAAACCATACTCACTCACTCAAACCCTGATATTTCAGAGACACCACGGGAAAGTTCCCGGAATATCCAGAAGAGGATGACGGGGGTTCAGCCGCCATCTTTAAGATGAAGACACCGGAAGAACTAGAAGATGAACTCAAGGAGAAGGTAGGTTGTATCAGTATTGTAATTGAGCATAAACTTAGTCCAGGTGCTAATACGGCTTTGTGGAATGGCAACGTTCTTTGATCTTCAGATGCATGTCATCTTCCCGAGGCAAGTCAGAGTTAACTGACTTTAAAAGTTCAAGTTGCATCCTTGCCTTACAAGGCTGGAATTTCTGGGCTCGATCGCAGCGCCACCAGTGGCTATTGCGAGTTATGTCCCTTCTTTGACCCTCCTATTGACCACTCAGATTCCACCTCTCATATCACTTGCGTTTGCTTAAATGGCGTCACCCAGTTAAGACGATTTGATCAATAATCGAGATCTATATTGTAATAAAACGGGTTTTACTTCGCGAAGTGCATCAAATCATATGAGCACCTTCGTTTAAAACATGAAAAGATTTGGAAAATATCTCCTGATGCTAAGTTGTCGGTACACATACTTTGCAAATCCTGCAATCAACCAAAATCTGAACGGCAGTTAACGAACCGGATGTCGATTTCGTTACGTGATTTTGATTGGACTATGAATAGACTCGTAAGTCCAGCCAAAATATAACTTTATAATTGCAGCCTAGTTCGGCAAGGGTGGAAACTGGACATTTTTAGTCAGTTTACTCCCATGCCCCAGAGATGGATTCATGGCTACTTGGACTAAACACCGATACCCTTTTTTCTTAAACCTATAAACGTTTTTCCACAACAACGTAATTCACTTTCAGTTAATTCGTTGTTTCGAAAACGTTGTTCCAAATTGGTAATACAACATAACTTGTTATGAATGTAATATTCCGACAACATGGTTGGGTTTGTTTTTTGTTTAACGCCGCAATCAGCAATATTCCAGCTAGATGACTGCGATCTGTAAATAATCGAGTCTGGAACAGACAGTCTAGTGATGGACATCATGAGCATCGATCTAGGCAATTGGGATACGATGACTTGCATCAACCAAGTCAGCAAGCCTGACCACTCTTAAGGCTAGCATGGGATGCTGAAGACCTATTCTAACCCGGATCTTCTCGGGTCCCGCCTACATAGAGTAAGGCTCCACATAGGACCATGTTATATGTGACTGCATCTTATTATTCTGGTCACCAGATCAATGCGCACTACATTGTTGTTTCGCTGGCTTCTGATAAGGCACATTGTGCATTCACATTTTCATGTCATCCTACCACCGGGTACCCGCTCAATGCTGGGCAAAATTTAACTTGCGTCGAGAGTGAGTGAGTGAGTTTGGTTTTACGCCGCTTTCTACAGTATGTCAAGTAGGTCTTGCCGAAGGAAAGGCCGAAATGTGCAGGTCTCCGACCTTTACCACTTTGGCAGTAGTAATAGTAGTAGTAGTAGTAGTAGTAGTAGTAGTAGTGTCACAATTCCAATGACCGACCCGATATGGGATCAATCTTATTGTAATGCTTTGGTTTTCAGGAAGAAGCCAAGGATGGAAAGAAGAGCAAAAAGGGAAAGAAGAAGAAAGAAAAGAAAGGAAAAAAGGGAAAGAAAGGGAAGAAAAAGAAGGACGACGATGATGAGGTGAGCCAAGAGGTTCCTCTCCATTCAGCAAAGTTGCCTGAACACTGAAACCCCGTTACCCCAGAAACCCCGCCGTCCGAACAATTATTGGTGTGAACGGTGACATGATTACAAAGGGACATTACTCTTTACCCGCTATTCGTTAATCCGGCGAGAGGTACCGTCCGGATTAACGGGCTTTCGCTGTCTGTTACAGCGGTCAGTGGTAAGCATACCAACCAGACAAACAGGTGGTACTTTGACGCAAGTATGCACTCATTTAGCGCCGTCGCCCTGTCATACAATTATTCAGTACGATAAAACAAAAGCAATCAAGTCGGAACATGGATGTGCGATTGTCTGGATTGGTGGAGAGTCATCAAAAGGCCATACTCAGCGGCCATATAATCCAGCCGATTCACTTTCTGTCGTTTTATACAAGGGGCGTCACGATACGCCTACCTCCGAGTTAACGTTTTGATATCGTTGTTTGTAATTTTTCGGTTAAATCCAATTTCCAAGTGTACACTTTCTTTTGACCGGCAGTTTTGTTTGCGCTTTAGTCCCGTGAAGATCCGGGGTAGAATAGGCCTAGCTACTCACGCAACCTATGTTTGCTCATATTGGCGACTATGCTTGTCGTAAGAGGCGACTATGCTTGTCGTAAGAGGCGACTAACAGGATCAGGTGGTCAGGCTCGCAGTCGTCGCTGACTTGGTTGATGCATGTCATCGTAACCCAATTGCATAGAAAGGAAAAAAGAAGGACAAAGATCTGACACCAGACAGGTGAGAGAACCTTGTTTACAGACACCTTGTTTACAGACACCTTGTTTACATGGTCACCTTGATCCCTGTGACATAAGTCCCGTGAAGAATCCGGGCTAGAATTTGTCTTCTCAAACCCACGCTTGCCGTATAAGGCGACTATGCTTGTGAGAGGCGACTAACGGGATCGGGTGATCAGGCTTGCTGACTTGGTTGATGCATGTCGTCGTATCCCAATTGCATAGATCGATGCTCATGATGTCAATCACTTGATTGTCTTGTCCAGATTCGATTATTTTCAGGCCGCTGTCAAAAAGATGGAATATTGCTGAATGTGGCGTTAAACAACAAATAAACCAGTTTGCGCTTTATATGCGTTAAAGTCACCATGAGGTTGCTGCTGTGTACCTGTTTATGCTAACTCGCATGGCGGGTAAATGTAGGTCATTAATGGTATTATGCAAACAAACTTTTGTATTGTGATGTCCGGCAAGATAACGCTACTCCTAGTGTTATCAATCCGGGGTATTGCAAAACTTCGAAAATATTACATCGTGAAATTCGATACAGATTTAAATCATGAATCGGTACATTGGTAAGTGTGTCGTACATTGCATTGTCGGGTGTAATTTCGCAAGACATCGATACTTCTGTGAATTTTTGACGCTCATACAATAAGCATAATTTTCCGTTGTTCTGTGTTTTGTTTATCTAACGAAGCGACAGTAAAATACTTGTCATGCATGCTCACGTGGCAGAAAAGCGCTTTTGTTGATCAGCGCCCCGCGCGGGAAAGGTAAGAAGGCAGAGTCAGTGAAACCACGGTGCCTGCCCATCTGATGCCCATGTCAGATGGCTATAGCGACAGGCAGGATTTACTGGTGGAATAGTCTGGCCCATGGTACGCAAGGGATGTAGGGAAAGCCTGCTAATAAATATTATATATTATACTACTCAACTATTGATAGTGTTTGTTTGTTGTTTAACGCCACACTCTGCAATATTTTTGCTATATGACGGCGGTCTGTAAATAATCGAGTCTGGACGTGACAATCCAGTGATTGACATCATGCGCATCGATCTTCGTAACTGGAATACGATGACATGCATCAACTAAGTCAGTAGGAATATTGCTGAATGTTGCGGAGTGCAGCGTTAAACAACAAACTAACAAAACAAACTAACCACAGAATTACTCTCGCTCGTGAGAGTAATTTGATTGGACGGCTATTTTTAGCGCCGCGCTGTTAGAATCCGACTCAAAACGAAGCTGTGGTGGTAAATGGGGTTTTCTGATAATAGAGTGGATATATACCCTGGAAAATCGAGGATTGGTGTGTAAAGTGATTGTTGTCCTCACGTGTACGTCACTTTGTGTTTACAGGAAGAAGAGGAAGGGTGGAAGATGACACCGTCGAGTTTTGTCCCAGCTGTGTGTGAAGGATCCGACGCTTATACAGGTATATCGGCCTTCCGTTAAGTACAACCTCACGATATGTTATGTCATATTTCAAATATGGCTTTAAGAGCAGAAATGTACTGAAGTGAAAAAATGGAATCTTTGTAAAATGATCCTGTACTGTATGGTATGCACTTCATGTATTTTGGTTTATGGTGTCTCATACAATAAACATTTGAATTTCAGTATCTTTAAAAAAAAACCAAAAAAACCGGACGTTTGTTTGTTTGTTGTTAACGCCGCACCACGAAATATTCCAGCATATATGATAGGGTCTGGACCAGGTAGTTCATTGACCAAAAGTTACAGCAGCGATCCACGACATCTGACCAACTGATCCGACTCCTGCGACAAACATGGGCTATTGAGAATATATACTAGCCCGGAATCCCCCCCCCCCCCAAGGTCTCAGATATTGTGGAACAGAATTAAACCTGGAACATAAAAAATAAATAAATAAATAAATAAATAACAAACATAAATAAAACACTGATGTAATTGAATGGCCTTTAGTATTTCCAATTTGACGTAAATATGAAAATAGCTATGTTAATTAAATTTTATATCCATGATGGAGTGACATGAAGGAATCTTCAATAAATAAAATGCCTGCGTCTTGTGGTGGGAGACGACTAACGGGATCGGATGGTTTGACTCGCTGACTTGACTGATGTATGTCAACGATTCCCAATAACGTAGATCGATGCTTATTACGTCAATCACTGGGTTGTATGGTCTAGACTCGCTGTCCTATTGCTGGCATACTGCGAGTGCGGCGTTAAAACAACAAACAAATACTGACTGCGACGATAGATAACACTCACTCACTCACTCTCCCCAGGCGTCTGGCAGCGGCGCGACGAGAGCGGCAACTACTCCCAGCAGTACGACACGGAGTTAGTGAGGGAGGAGAAACGCAAGGAAGTGGAGGAGGAGGTCAGGGTTCAGGTGGATGAACTGATGCGGGCCGAGCTGAAGAACCTCAAGATGGTCAGTAGATATGACCCTCTTATATGAATTCACACAGAGTCGTGCTTTGTGACATTCTTAAATTGAAAAGTGTGTTGGAAAGTTTCCCTTATGCATAATAAAACAACTATATTTCCGTCCGATTATTTTTAATCATTTTTTTTATATTTTTCGTCTATTTTAAAAGCCTCAACCTGAAACCCCCCGGCCCCTGTCCTGCATGAGTTACTAAAAACTGTCTAGTAATATATTTTTCTACAAACACATCTTGCATTGTTTTTACTCTGTTCGATCCCCGAGTTGGTATTTTACACGTAGTATGTACCCAGATTACACTGTGTATGCTATTTTAAGCTGTTATGTTTTTTCAACATCATTGCTCTAGTAAGTGAGTATGGCTTTACGCCACTTTTAGCAATATTCCAGCAATATCACGGCGGTGGATACCAGAAATGGGCTTCACACATTGTACCCATGTCAGGAATCGAACCCGGGTCTTCGGCGTGACGAGCGAACGCTTTAACCACTAGGCTACCCGACCGCCCCACATCATTGCTATAACTCTGTAAGGTTTTCCACATGCCTTGATTTAATTTGGATGTTGTTCCATAGCGTGGGGCCATTATTTTCAAAACAATCACATTGGGAATGTGGGCATATTTAAGGCAGTGGACAGAGACAAAGGAAAGAAGAAGGGGAAGAAGAAAGGAAAAAAGAAGGGGAAGAAAAAGAAAAAGGGGAAGAAAGGAAAAAAGAAGGACAAAGATCTGACACCAGACAGGTGAGAGAACCTTGTTTACAGTCACCTTGTTTACATGGTCACCTTGACCCCTGTGACATAAGTCCCGTGAAGAATCCGGGCTAGAATTTGTCTTCTCAAACCCATGCTTGCCGTAAAAGGCGACCATGCTTGTGAGAGGCGACTAACGGGATCGGGTGATCAGGCTTGCTGACTTGGTTGATGCATGTCGTCGTATCCCAATTGCGTGGATCGATGCTCATGATGTAAATCACTGGATTGTCTGGTCCAGACTCGATTATTTACAGACCGCCGTAATATAGCTGGAATATTACCGAGTGCGGCGTCAAACATGAACAGCACACCCCTGTGACATAACGGTACAGGATGAATCCTTCAGGGTGCGCAGAGACAAGCCAGCATGCTATGCACACACAGAATGTCAAACGTATCTGTCGTCATACATATGAATTATTAACTGAATTATTTTTACAATAACAAAGTAGACACTTCATGGATAACAAGTTATATATGTGATAGTTATAGCGACGTTTCGGTATTGATCCTTACGCCGTTGTCAGGCAAGACTGAATAATGAACATGCCATGGTACAAATATATACGGTTTGTTGTTTGTTTGTTTGGTCTTTCACGCCACACTCAGCAATACTCCAGCTGTAAGACGGTGGTCTGTAAATAATCGAGTCTGGACCAGACAATCCAGTGATTGATATCACGGACATCGATCCACGCAATATAGGAATACGATGACATGCATCAATCAAGTCAGCGAGCCTGACCACCCGATCCCTTAAGTCGCTTCTTACGACCAGCATAGTCGCCTGTTACGGCTAGCATGGGTTGCTGAAGACAAATTCTAGCCCGGATGGTCTTCACGGGTCAATATATGTGGAACTTGGAGTATTAACAGTCACACGGTGAGGCGGTTGTTGGCTTCCTCTCTGGTTGGGTGAGACTGGTGATGGCGGTGACTGCCACGTCTCCATATAGGCGGCGGATGAATTGTTTGATTAGCTTTTCTTAGAAGTTGAAGGATGACAAAGTAGACACAATTTATGGAACACAACTTCTTCATTTTACTGTAATATCGACGTTTCGGTATAGATCCTTATTCTAAGAAATGCCGATCAAACAGTTCATCCGCCGTCCACGCGGAGACGTGACAATCAACACCATTAACAGCCAAGAGTTTTACGTGATTTCTTAAAAGAATTGCCATCGAAAACTTGAAAAGTGTTATTAGAATTAAAATATCGATCTGCTCATAACTTGACATGTTAAACCTCTGCGACAGAATGAAAAAGGGCTGCTCTCAAAATCTCTTTTATACAAATTTGTGAAGTTTCGGATCGGCGTGTGCATAAACCAAGAAATTAAACAATAAAACGCCGAAGTGCCTGACGGACATAAAAATCAATTTCAGTAATAACTATAACTATAACTGTTTGGTCCCAGTAGACCTACCAGCACTACGGTTTCATATCGACACTTCGCTTGTCCCGAACTACATTTATCCTATAACTGTTAGGTCCCAGTAGACCTACCAGCACTACGGTTTCATATCGACACTTCGCTTGTCCCGAACTACATTTATCCTATAACTGTTAGGTCCCAGTAGACCTATCAGCACTACGGTTTCATATCGACACTTCGCTTGTCCCGAACTACATTTATCCTATAACTGTTTGGTCCAAGTAGACCTACCAGCACTACGGTTTCATATCGACACTTCGCTTGTCCCGAACTACATTTATCCTATAACTGTTAGGTCCCAGTAGACCTACCAGCACTACGGTTTCATATCGACACTTCGCTTGTCCCGAACTACATTTATCCTTTAACTGTTAGGTCCCAGTAGACCTATCAGCACTACGGTTTCATATCGACACTTCGCTTGTCCCGAACTACATTTATCCTTTAACTGTTAGGTCCCAGTAGACCTACCAGCCTTACGGTTTCATATCGACACTTCGCTTGTCCCGAACTACATTTATCCTTTATCTGTTTGGTCCCAGTAGACCTATCAGCACTACGGTTTCATATCGACACTTCGCTTGTCCCGAACTACATTTATCCTATAACTGTTAGGTCCAAGTAGACCTATCAGCACTACGGTTTCATATCGACACTTCGCTTGTCCCGAACTACATTTATCCTATAACTGTTTGGTCCAAGTAGACCTATCAGCACTACGGTTTCATATCGACACTTCGCTTGTCCCGAACTACATTTATCATATAACTGTTAGGTAAACGTATTAGCACTACGGTCGATTATCGACACTTCGCTTAGCTCGAATTACATTTATCCAGTAACTCTGAGGTCCATGTAGACACCTCGCTTGTCCTGAACTACAGGAAACTCGATATATTTCCGATGGATCCTAGATTGTTGTGCTTGTCGACTAAAGCGGAACGGGTGGAGAGACTGTTAAACTGGTTCCACTGTTACGCGACGCAAGCTAATGGCGATAAATAAAACACTGATGTAATTGAATGGCCTTTAGTATTTCCAATTTGACGTAAATATGAAAATAGCTATGTTAATTAAATTTTATATCCATGATGGAGTGACATGAAGGAATCTTCAATAAATAAAATGCCTGCGTCTTGTGGTGGGAGACGACTAACGGGATCGGATGGTTTGACTCGCTGACTTGACTGATGTATGTCAACGATTCCCAATAACGTAGATCGATGCTTATTACGTCAATCACTGGGTTGTATGGTCTAGACTCGCTGTCCTATTGCTGGCATACTGCGAGTGCGGCGTTAAAACAACAAACAAATACTGACTGCGACGATAGATAACACTCACTCACTCACTCTCCCCAGGCGTCTGGCAGCGGCGCGACGAGAGCGGCAGACACAGATTACACTGTGTATGCTATTTTAAGCTGTTATGTTTTTTCAACATCATTGCTCTAGTAAGTGAGTATGGCTTTACGCCACTTTTAGCAATATTCCAGCAATATCACGGCGGTGGATACCAGAAATGGGCTTCACACATTGTACCCATGTCAGGAATCGAACCCGGGTCTTCGGCGTGACGAGCGAACGCTTTAACCACTAGGCTACCCGACCGCCCCACATCATTGCTATAACTCTGTAAGGTTTTCCACATGCCTTGATTTAATTTGGATGTTGTTCCATAGCGTGGGGCCATTATTTTCAAAACAATCACATTGGGAATGTGGGCATATTTAAGGCAGTGGACAGAGACAAAGGAAAGAAGAAGGGGAAGAAGAAAGGAAAAAAGAAGGGGAAGAAAAAGAAAAAGGGGAAGAAAGGAAAAAAGAAGGACAAAGATCTGACACCAGACAGGTGAGAGAACCTTGTTTACAGTCACCTTGTTTACATGGTCACCTTGACCCCTGTGACATAAGTCCCGTGAAGAATCCGGGCTAGAATTTGTCTTCTCAAACCCATGCTTGCCGTAAAAGGCGACCATGCTTGTGAGAGGCGACTAACGGGATCGGGTGATCAGGCTTGCTGACTTGGTTGATGCATGTCGTCGTATCCCAATTGCGTGGATCGATGCTCATGATGTAAATCACTGGATTGTCTGGTCCAGACTCGATTATTTACAGACCGCCGTAATATAGCTGGAATATTACCGAGTGCGGCGTCAAACATGAACAGCACACCCCTGTGACATAACGGTACAGGATGAATCCTTCAGGGTGCGCAGAGACAAGCCAGCATGCTATGCACACACAGAATGTCAAACGTATCTGTCGTCATACATATGAATTATTAACTGAATTATTTTTACAATAACAAAGTAGACACTTCATGGATAACAAGTTATATATGTGATAGTTATAGCGACGTTTCGGTATTGATCCTTACGCCGTTGTCAGGCAAGACTGAATAATGAACATGCCATGGTACAAATATATACGGTTTGTTGTTTGTTTGTTTGGTCTTTCACGCCACACTCAGCAATACTCCAGCTGTAAGACGGTGGTCTGTAAATAATCGAGTCTGGACCAGACAATCCAGTGATTGATATCACGGACATCGATCCACGCAATATAGGAATACGATGACATGCATCAATCAAGTCAGCGAGCCTGACCACCCGATCCCTTAAGTCGCTTCTTACGACCAGCATAGTCGCCTGTTACGGCTAGCATGGGTTGCTGAAGACAAATTCTAGCCCGGATGGTCTTCACGGGTCAATATATGTGGAACTTGGAGTATTAACAGTCACACGGTGAGGCGGTTGTTGGCTTCCTCTCTGGTTGGGTGAGACTGGTGATGGCGGTGACTGCCACGTCTCCATATAGGCGGCGGATGAATTGTTTGATTAGCTTTTCTTAGAAGTTGAAGGATGACAAAGTAGACACAATTTATGGAACACAACTTCTTCATTTTACTGTAATATCGACGTTTCGGTATAGATCCTTATTCTAAGAAATGCCGATCAAACAGTTCATCCGCCGTCCACGCGGAGACGTGACAATCAACACCATTAACAGCCAAGAGTTTTACGTGATTTCTTAAAAGAATTGCCATCGAAAACTTGAAAAGTGTTATTAGAATTAAAATATCGATCTGCTCATAACTTGACATGTTAAACCTCTGCGACAGAATGAAAAAGGGCTGCTCTCAAAATCTCTTTTATACAAATTTGTGAAGTTTCGGATCGGCGTGTGCATAAACCAAGAAATTAAACAATAAAACGCCGAAGTGCCTGACGGACATAAAAATCAATTTCAGTAATAACTATAACTATAACTGTTTGGTCCCAGTAGACCTACCAGCACTACGGTTTCATATCGACACTTCGCTTGTCCCGAACTACATTTATCCTATAACTGTTAGGTCCCAGTAGACCTACCAGCACTACGGTTTCATATCGACACTTCGCTTGTCCCGAACTACATTTATCCTATAACTGTTAGGTCCCAGTAGACCTATCAGCACTACGGTTTCATATCGACACTTCGCTTGTCCCGAACTACATTTATCCTATAACTGTTTGGTCCAAGTAGACCTACCAGCACTACGGTTTCATATCGACACTTCGCTTGTCCCGAACTACATTTATCCTATAACTGTTAGGTCCCAGTAGACCTACCAGCACTACGGTTTCATATCGACACTTCGCTTGTCCCGAACTACATTTATCCTTTAACTGTTAGGTCCCAGTAGACCTATCAGCACTACGGTTTCATATCGACACTTCGCTTGTCCCGAACTACATTTATCCTTTAACTGTTAGGTCCCAGTAGACCTACCAGCCTTACGGTTTCATATCGACACTTCGCTTGTCCCGAACTACATTTATCCTTTATCTGTTTGGTCCCAGTAGACCTATCAGCACTACGGTTTCATATCGACACTTCGCTTGTCCCGAACTACATTTATCCTATAACTGTTAGGTCCAAGTAGACCTATCAGCACTACGGTTTCATATCGACACTTCGCTTGTCCCGAACTACATTTATCCTATAACTGTTTGGTCCAAGTAGACCTATCAGCACTACGGTTTCATATCGACACTTCGCTTGTCCCGAACTACATTTATCATATAACTGTTAGGTAAACGTATTAGCACTACGGTCGATTATCGACACTTCGCTTAGCTCGAATTACATTTATCCAGTAACTCTGAGGTCCATGTAGACACCTCGCTTGTCCTGAACTACAGGAAACTCGATATATTTCCGATGGATCCTAGATTGTTGTGCTTGTCGACTAAAGCGGAACGGGTGGAGAGACTGTTAAACTGGTTCCACTGTTACGCGACGCAAGCTAATGGCGATTTAGTTTGGGTAAACATGCAGGAACCTAGTCTAAAACTCGGTGACTTGGCAGCCTGTAGGTCACCGTCCCCCGATAGCGCGGATCGCTGCTCATGCTTTCGGTCACTGGTTTGTCTGGTCCAGACGTGATTATTACAGGCCACTGTGATACAACTGTAATACAGATGAATGTGGCGTTAAACAACGTTCATTCCCTCTTCCCGTCTCAAACGGACAATCTATATCCCAAACAGGTGAAGTAGAAATCTGGCAAGGCGATTTTCATGAAGCAAGAAGCACCATATATCGTGATAACTTCCCCAATGGGAATGTTGGATATAGGTCTCACATGATGCATTCGATTCGATGCATTATATCAGTACAGCTCTGAATGTAGACCTGACGTTGCTTAATTAACTCTGGTAGAGATGCGGGTTTTGAAGTTTAAGGTTTGGCGGGGTGATTGAATTTATGTCAGAATGATTTCACGGGGGAAGTACATGACTGGTATGGTTCAGCACCTGCCGTTCATCCCTTTGTTGTAAGTGTTATTAATTGTCCTGAGGCCCCGTTTCGCAAATTAAACAGGAACTGTTGGAGTATGTTGATTAAAACCGTAGCCATGTCACCTTTATTGAACAGTTTTTCAGTTTCACAGAGGTATGTCGGCTTCATGAGGACAAACCAACCTGACTCCGGTAGACGGACATCGTAATCTAACTAATGATCATCATCGGGTCGAGTCTGGGATTCCAACCAACCGCGGGGGCGGTCGGGTAGCCTAGTGGTTGAAGCGTTCGCTCGTCACGCTGAAGACCCGGGTTCGACTCCCCACATGGGCAAAATGCGTGAAGCCCATTTCTGGTGTCTCCCGCCGCGATATTGCAGGAATATTGCTGAAAGGGGCGTAAAACCCTTCTGACTCCCTTACTCACGAGTGGCACATCGCCTTTAAGGCGACTAAACTTAGTCGTGACATGACTGGAAGATAACTTAAACTTTCAACCAAAACTTCAGAGGCGTGTTTTATCCAACTTACGAACCGTCTAAATGCAAGAAATGCCAGAAAAAATAAGAAAACATCGAGGTACCTTAAAGTGATACAATACAGCGTTTCGCAGAAAAAAGGAATTCGATCAAAGCGTGCAGAGAAAAAGACACGTGCAGCATGGACCACCTGGAGTCGTGACATGTAAAATTGAACAAGTTCTCATCACCTGCCCCGATGGCTCGGTTGGAGAACTGTGGGTTACGAAACTTAACACGACATGTGAGGTTGAAGGTTCGATTTATAATTGTATCCACCTTTAGTTGCCCATCGCTGCTACGGGACACAACTCGGAGTAGTGATACTATTGGATATATTAAAATCGCATTATTCCATGTTCACATTTTTGACTAATCTGCCATTGCTCTTCGCCTTCATCAGGACCACGGAGGACCTGTACGAGGAGCTGGTGACCCAGGGCATCATCATCCGCACCCCACAGATCAAACTGGCCGACTTTGAAGGAGACTACAGCTATCTGGGGACGACTCTACGTGACGCGGGAGTCGAACCCATGCCTTCCCTCAGTGACGTCCGACGGCTGGTCACAGAGCTCGGAATACTGCCGTTAGGTATAGACACGTGTCATACATGTTACATAATTACATAATAAACTGGAGTTTCTATCTCAGTAGGAGTCCTTTGATAATTGCAGTGTTGCCTGTAGGTACTTGGACAACACCGCCGAGACAGTGCCTGGAATGACGTATAGCTGCATTAATGAATGCTTCACACTGTGCATGCATGCGTGGTGCTTATGTGACGTAGAATAGGCGGTTTGCCACATCGAAAACTTACCTCTTCATTGACCAGTAAATATGTGCCGGGCGTTGATCATGACATGGGTGTGTTTGCATGTGGGTTCGTCTTTCTCTTATAACGAAAGACGGGGAATCGGCGTCTATCAATGTAGTTTTTTCTAAACCTAGGGGAAATGTAACCTCTCGTGTATTTTGAATTATTTTGCAATAAATGGGCAGTGGGGATGAATGTGGACAAATCAAATATTGTTGATTTCAGAAATTGTATGTATTTAAAAGAAAGTGGAAAATGGTTTCGTAAATCCATAGAAATGTCAGCAACTTCACATAAAACCTGGACATTATTTGTTTTCATGGTTAATCTGGTTAAACCAGTCAGACTATTCCATTATAAGCTAGAAAGTCAAGTTTTCCGATATTTCAACTTTCAACTTATTTTTATTTCCAAAAAAACCCAACCCAATCTATAGTATAGAAATATAGTATAGAGATATGTGAGTATGCATACAGAAAATCTGTAGAAAAAGTACATAGCTTTTTTAATAAAAAGATTTTTGAAATTGGGAAAACGAGCACCTGCAAGTGCCGTTTTGGGCGAAGTTGACCGTAACTCTACGTAAAAATTAATTTAGTAGGTGTTTACAATAATGGTGTAGGCCTATTCATATGAATCCGAAGCGTTACTTACATGCCTGTTATATAATGATTATATCTCATTATATCTCATACAACTGGGGCTTTAAGTTTTGTTTCACAAGTCAGAATGTTATTATTTCAAACAGGTTTTGCTTATGTCTGGATTGCACAAAATTGTGCAAAAACACAAAGGGTTTCATAACTATGTTTAAACAGAGATGTGTAGATATAGAGATACAGAAGTGGTTTTTAAAAATTACTAGCTCAAATTGCCTAAAATGTTAAATCTGTTGAGAGTTGATTCTTTTATTATGAGCAATGCGACGGTCCGAAAGCCAGCTTCGCTTATTTTTTATTATAGCTAAAATGAATAGAATTATCATTAAACCGCCCGCATGTTAATAGAAGACCTCGGGCTTCTGCAAATGATAATGCCCCGAAAAATAGCGTTACCCTTATAGTATAGCCTTTACTTGAAGCGCATGTTCAGGATATATTGTTCTTCCCTAGGCTCAGCAGCTGTGCACGAAAAGGCCCCCCTCACCAAGTCAATCCTGCTGACCGGACCTCGTGGGACAGGCAAGCGGATGTTGGTCCACGCCATTTGTCAAGAGACGGGAGCCAACCTGTTTGACCTCAGTGCTGCAAACCTGGCTGGAAAATACCCCGGGAAGGACGGCCTGAAGATGCTCATGCACCTTGTCTTTAAGGTACATTACACCAAGGTTGTCCATCTCGGTAGGAACTGGTCTTTAAGGTACATGTACACCATGGTGGTCCATCTCAGTAGGAACTGGTCTTTAAGGTACATGTACACCATGGTGGTCCATCTCGGTAGGAACTGGTCTTCAAGGTACATGTACACCATGGTGGTCCATCTCGGTAGGAACTGGTCTTCAAGGTACATTACACCATGGTGGTCCATCTCGGTAGGAACTGGTCTTCAAGGTACATGTACACCATGGTGGTCCATCTCGGTAGGAACTGGTCTTCAAGGTACATTACACCATGGTAGTCCATCTCGGTAGGAACTGGTCTTCAAGGTACATTACACCATGGTAGTCCATCTCGGTAGGAACTGGTCTTCACGGTACATTACACCATGGTGGTCCATCTCGGTAGAAACTGGTCTTTAAGGTACATTACACCATGGTGGTCCATCTCGGTAGGAACTGGTCTTCACGGTACATTACACCATGGTGTTCCATCTCAGTAGGAACTGGTCTTCACGGTACATTACACCATGGTGTTCCATCTCAGTAGGAACTGGTCTTCACGGTACATTACACCATGGTGTTCCATCTCAGTAGGAACTGGTCTTCAAGGTACATTACACCATGGTGTTCCATCTCAGTAGGAACTGGTCTTCAAGGTACATTACACCATGGTGGTCCATCTCGGTAGGAACTGGTCTTCAAGGTACATATACACCATGGTGGTCCGCCTAAGTAGGAACTGGTCTTCAAGGTACATGTACACCATGGTGGTCCATCTCGGTAGGAACTGGTCTTCAAGGTACATGTACACCATGGTGGTCCATCTCGGTAGGAACTGGTCTTCAAGGTACATTACACCATGGTGGTCCATCTCGGTAGGAACTGGTCTTCAAGGTACATTACACCATGGTAGTCCATCTCGGTAGAAACTGGTCTTCAAGGTACATTACACCATGGTAGTCCATCTCGGTAGAAACTGGTCTTCAAGGTACATTACACCATGGTAGTCCATCTCGGTAGGAACTGGTCTTTAAGGTACATTACACCATGGTGGTCCATCTCGGTAGGAACTGGTCTTCAAGGTACATTACACCATGGTAGTCCATCTCGGTAGGAACTGGTCTTCAAGGTACATTACACCATGGTAGTCCATCTCGGTAGAAAGTGGTCTTTTAGGTACATTACACCATGGTGGTCCATCTCGGTAGGAACTGGTCTTCAAGGTACATTACACCATAGTGGTCCATCTCGGTAGGAACTGGTCTTCAAGTTACATTACACCATGGTGTTCCATCTCGGTAGGAACTGGTCTTCAAGGTACATTACACCATAGTGGTCCATCTCGGTAGGAACTGGTCTTCAAGGTACATATACACCATGGTAGTCCATCTCGGTAGGAACTGGTCTTCAAGGTACATGTACACCATGGTGGTCCGTCTCAGTAGGAACTGGTCTTCAAGGTACATATACACCATGGTGGTCCATCTCGGTAGGAACTGGTCTTCAAGGTTCATGTACACCATGGTGGTCCATCTCAGTAGGAACTGGCCCTCAAGGTACATGTACACCATGGTGGTCCATCTCAGTAGGAACTGGCCCTCAAGGTACATGTACACCATGGTGGTCCGCCTCAGTAGGAACTGGCCCTCAAGGTACATGTACACCATGGTGGTCCGCCTCAGTAGGAACTGGTCTTCAAGGTACATATACACCATGGTGGTCCGCCTAAGTAGGAACTGGTCTTCAAGGTACATGTACACCATGGTGGTCCATCTCAGTAGGAACTGGTCTTCAAGGTACATGTACACCATGGTGGTCCGCCTAAGTAGGAACTGGTCTTCAAGGAACATGTACACCATGGTGGTCCATCTCAGTAGGAACTGGTCTTCAAGGTACATATACACCATGGTTGTCCGCCTAAGTAGGAACTGGTCTTCAAGGAACATGTACACCATGATGGTCCATCTCGGTAGGAACTGGTCTTCAAGGTAGGAACATAACACCATGGTTGTCCATCTCAGTAGGAACTGGTCTTCAAGGTACATGTACACCATGGTGGTCCATCTCAGTAGGAACTGGTCTTCAAGGTACATATACACCATGGTTGTCCGCCTAAGTAGGAACTGGTCTTCAAGGAACATGTACACCATGGTGGTCCATCTCGGTAGGAACTGGTCTTCAAGGTAGGAACATAACACCATGGTTGTCCATCTCAGTAGGAACTGGTCTTCAAGGTACATGTACACCATGGTGGCCATCTCAGTAGGAACTGGTCTTCAAGGTACATGTACACCATGGTGGTCCATCTCGGTAGGAACTGGTCTTCAAGGTACATGTACACCATGGTGGTCCATCTCAGTAGGAACTGGTCTTCAAGGTACATGTACACCATGGTGGTCCATCTCGGTAGGAACTGGTCTTCAAGGTACATGTACACCATGGTGGTCCATCTCGGTAGGAACTGGTCTTCAAGGTAGGTACATTACACCATGGTTGTCAATCTCAGTAGGAACTGGTCTTCAAGGTAGGTACATTACACCATGGTGTTCCATCTCGGTAGGAACTGGTCTTTAAGGTACATGTACACCATGGTGTTCCATCTTGGTAGGAACTGGTCTTCAAGGTACATATACACCATGGTGGTCCATCTCAGTAGGAACTGGTCTTCACGGTACATTTACACCATGGTGGTCCATCTCAGTAGGAACTGGTCTTCAAGGTACATATACACCATGGTGTTCCATCTCAGCAGGAACTGGTCTTCAAGGTTCATGTACACCATGGTGTTCCGTCTCAGTAGGAACTGGTCTTCAAGGTACATGTACACCATGGTGGTCCATCTCAGTAGGAACTGATCCTTAAGGTACATGTACACCATGGTGGTCCATCTCAGTAGGAACTGGTCTTCAAGGTAGGTACATGTACATGTAGGATTATGTACAATCCAGCGTGATATAGCTGGAATATTGCTGACTGTCTCGTTAATCAATAGACGTCATTCATTGCACATATGATTAGTGTAAACTGTCTGTTATATAAATAGGAAACATGCAGGTATCTATTCTATCCACCTGAAGAAATTGTGTGTCCTCTGTGGCAGGTTGGTCGTGCTCTGCAACCCTCAGTGATATACATCAGTGACTGTGAGAGGATGTGCAAGAAGAAAGTCCCCAAGTCAGACCCAGTAAGTTGTAAGGGACCGATCTGTTAATCTTCGGCGATGGGAGTATGGGGCAATCGAGATTGTTTTCTTTGGAAATTGTTGTGAAAATATTTGTTTCAGAAAAAGCAAACTGGAATACGTTAGCTTTATTGGCTTCAGGTTTACACACGAACAAATTGTTCTGGGGGCATGCTGGGTGTCCTACAAATGTGTGTTTTGAAACAATACAATTGTGGGCTTCCTCCTTTCAGAGAATTAATTGTATGTTTTGAAACATTGACAGAAAACATCTCCCCCATTACCAAAAACCCAGTCCCAGTCCCAGCCCCAGCCCAAGCCCAGCCCCAGCCCTAGCCCAGCCCCAGCCCCAGCCCCAGCCCAAGCCCCAACTGTATGAAGGGGTCGGTCCCTGAAGGATTGTCTTTATACGCATAGATAGAGACGGGTAATAAGGGGAATAGTATTTCGAGCGAGTACATACCTTGTGCAAAGTTTCATTCACAGAGAACCTACCAAACAAATTGTGACCGCCTCCGTGGTCTAGTGGTAGAGCGTCCGCCCGGAGAGACGTTAAAAGATGGTACTTGTTGTTACCCTGTCTGGCGCTCGGCATTAAGGGGCTAAAACAAGGACTGGTCGGCTCAGAGTCAGTATACTGTGTCTGAGTGGGGTATTCATGTTACTAACTGTGGCATGGTATCTCAGTGAGCTAGCACTATAAATCGGCATCCGTCCGGACAAGTACAAGCAGCCACACAAACACACGTACATGCACGTCGCTATATAAGTGCAATAATCTTGGACGCGACGTTAAACCCCATTTCACCTCACCTCACCTCACCTCACCAAACAAATTGCGGGTACAGTGGAAAATAACATAGCCATTAGATATTTAATTGCACTTGATAAATATCCCTGTCATTCTTTTACATGGACGTCTTTTATGAAAATAATCAATGCGTGATTGTTTGACTGAACGTATTGCAAGCTCAAGTATTCACGCTTGTCCATGTTCTCACTGACCTAGGTGATTCATTATTTACGGATACCAACCAAAGCTGATGCTAAGTAGTGTGGTCACGCCTCAAAAAGTCATAACAGGTTCTGCCGTTGTCAATACACCTGAGACTGCATTGCACTAAGTGTGGCTGTTCTCGTCAACTTGTATGTATATCTCACCGAATGACCTGGCAAAGTTGATATTTTTACAAGTGTCGCAGGCGATGAGATAAACAATGTCATGGTTTTTTTACAGAAAAGGGCAAGTGTTCTAGTACGAAGCATTTTCTGATTGACCTTTATATTGATCTACAGCTGCACGCACGCTTGCACGCACACACTCAGACACACACACACGGACACACACACACACACACACACTCTCTCTCTCTCTCTCTCTCTCACTCTCACACTCACACACACACACACACACACACACACACACACACACACACACACACACACACTAAATGTTGACCGCTTCCGTGGTCTAGTTGTTGTAGAGCGGAAGGTCATGGGTTCGATCCCCGGACGTGTCATACCAAAAGATGTTAAAAGCGCTCGGCATTAAGGGGATAAAACAAGGACAAGTCGGCTCTGCTCTGTGGCATGGTATTTATGTGGCCTAGCACTGTAAACTCGGCATTAGTCCGGACTAGTACAAACAGCCACACGCGCGCGCGCGCGCACACACACACGCAAACGTGCATGCACGTCGCCTTATAAGGGCAATACTCTTCAACGCAACGTTTAACACCATTTCACCTCACCTCACCTCACCCCATTGAATGTTAATTCAGTGAGTTCAAATTTAATATTACATCGGCATTTAGTTATTGTGTTACCCTGTTGAATGAATCAAGTTCAATTCAATCGATACCTTGATAAATCTGATGCGGTTCACATTTATACGTGGCCATAATTCAGGTTTCAACATATATTGTCACCAGCTAACTCAGTCATGCAACACCCCCTACACTCGATCGTTCCTGTCAACTCTCTTACTTATGCTTGTCGTTAGAGTCGACTAAAATGGGATATGGGCCAACTTGCACAAAAAGATCTTAGCGCTGAGATGATCCTAACTCCCGTACTTTAACACAGGTTAACGACAGTCGTAGCGCTAAGATCGCTTCGTGCAAGTGTTTGTTTGTTTGTTTGTTTGTTTGTTGTTTAAACGCCGCACTCAGCAGTATTCCAGCTATATGATAGCGGTCTGTAAATAATCGAGCCTGGACTAGACAATCTAGTGATTGATATCATGAGCATCGATCCACGCAATTGGGACACGATGACATGCATCAACCAAATCAGCGAGCCTGACCACCCGATCCCGTTAGTCGCCTCTTACGACAAGCATGGTCGCCTTTTATAGCAAGCATGGGTTGCTGAAGACCTATTCTACCCCGGATCTTCACGGGTCCTGTGCAAGTAGGCCCAGGGACTGTGGCTGATCGCGGGTCATCGAGGGCGCGGATCGAAGTTCATCCTTTCCCTAGACTCGATTAGTTACCAATGAATTATAGCTGGAATATTGGGGCGTTTCACTCACTCACTCACTCAACACCCCCTCACTCACACACTTGCCAGACTGACCCGAAGCGTCTAAAGAAGGAGCTACCGAAGGCCCTGAAGACCATTAAGTCCGAGGACCGTCTGCTTCTGGTGGGCACGTCAAGATGTCCGTTTGATGCGGAGATGAAACCCCTGATGAGCTGCTACAACCGGATCATCCTCATCCCCCGACCAGACTACACATCCAGACACTGTGAGTGCCCTGCGTCAGTTAAATTATGTTATATTTGGGAGAACACTTCTCTTGCGGTGAGGTTGCACAGTGGTTAAAGCGGTCGTTCGTCATGCCGAAGACCCGGATTGGATTCCCCATCATGGGTCCAATGTCCTATTTCCTGTGTCATCGACCGTTATATTACTGGAATATTTCTAAAAGTAGCGTAAAAACAAACTCACTCTTCCAATCTGTACTACTCTACAATAAATATTTTTTTGAATTGTTCACACATTTCGGATGGGGGTCGCAATTCGCTGTACAGAGTCGCGTCCCTTTAACACGCCAGAAACCTATGATTGTGGGTTCGAATCCCGGTTCGCCCCGATTAAGTTTTTAGGTTTGTAGGAACCATACAACGTGCTTGTGGGTTTCACCAAAGTGGTAAACGTCTACGACCTGCATCACTTCGGGGGGCGGTCGGGTAGCCTTGTGGTTAAAGCGTTCGCTCGTCACGCCGAAGACCTGGGTTCGATTCCCGACATGGGTACAATGTGTGAAGCCCATTTCAGGTGTCCCCCGCCGTGATATTGCTGAAATATTGCTGAAAGCGGCGTAAAACCATACTCACTCACTCACTTCGGACTTTCCTCCCACATCAAGCAGACACGCCGTGATATAACTCGAATACTGTTAAAAGCGGCGTTAAACCCAACTCACTCACTCACTCACTAACACATTTCGGACGAAAATGAGTTGAAAAAATCGTCTCCTACAGTGCTTTGGCGTCGCCTCATCACCAAGTATAACGGTGTTCTGACCAGCCACCTGGACGTCAGCTCGCTGTCCAAAGTGACGGACGGCTACACTCCCGGACACATGGTGACCGCTGTCCAGCAGGTGCTCACTGACCGCCGTATCCAGCAGCTGTCCAAGAAGCACCTGCAGGCCGTGGAGTTCGTGGCACCGCTGGCCAGGATTGACCCAGTCTTCGCAGAGGAGGAAGACTCCTTTAAGGTCAGTTTAAAATGAGTGAGTTTGGATTAAGTAGATGTAAGTAAGATACTCAAGTCAAATCAAGTCAAAGTTTATTTATAGACCTCAGGCCAGATACAGATGGTAATATAGCATACATCCAAGCGCACACGGCACAATACTAAATCACTGATTTTGACATTATAAGCCATGAACAAGCATGCGCATATTCGATCGTTTCGCGCTTAAGCAAAGGTGAAAATTGGAGATCGTGAAATGTCAAGAAATGATCAGCATGCAAACCTCGGCCCTTGTACAAAAATGTTGCGTGTGCGTGTTTGTGCGTTTGTGTATCATTTAGCTACAAATTTCCCGTGTTCAGAATTGTATATTAATTATTTGGCTAAGCAACTCTGTCACAGAAACCCGTAACGGTTGGGTACGTCTGATAAAAGTGGCATGACTACGTAAATCTTGAATTTGCGACATGTCTTCAATGTAGGACATGACATCTTCCCAAGGCAAGGGATTTAACTGACTGTAAAAGTTCAGTTTTCACCCTTGTCGAACTAGGCTGGAATTTCGCAGCTCTATCGTGGCGCCACCAGTGGTTATTGCGAGTTATGTCCCTCCCATTGACCAATCAGATTCCACCTCTCATATCAGTTGCATTTGCTTTAAATAAAATGGCGGAGCCGAGTCAAGACGATTTGATCGATAATCAACATCTTTATTGTAATAAAACGGGTCTTACCTGGCGAGGAGCATCAAATCACTTGAACACCTTGACATGAAAAGAAATTAAAAAATATCTGTCGTCGCCCAAATTGACGGTGTACATGCTCTGCAAATCCTGCACTGCAGTCGCTATGTTGTATATGAACTAGATGTCCATTTCGTTACGCGATTTTGATTGGACTATGCACTAACTCGTTAATCCAGCCAAAATATAACTCCATGATTCCAGCCTAGTTCGGCAAAGTTTGTTACTGGACTTTTACAGCCAGTTAACTCCCTTGCCCCAGTGAGGACATGAGCCTGTGGCAGTCACTCTGTGCCCACCGGAGTATGCAGTCTATCATATGGAGCCAATCAATTATTACGATAGACCTTTAAAGGGCAAGTTCACACGGAAATTAACCTATTTTTCTTGTACTTTTTCCACTTTAAAAGTGTTACCCTAGAAGTGTCATAGACAAAAATATAAAAATATCACAATTAATTAACATATTTTTCGCATTAAAACGATTTATATTTTTCACATTTACCAAGTGTTCTATTTCCACAACAAAAACACCATGGCTTATGTCCCTTGCAATATGACGTCATTGGTGCCGATTGATAAACATTATGACGTCATCATGCTTTGTTAGAGCCGCTTCACGTGGTGTAGGTCTAGGTGTGTGATTCTTGCGTCTCAGATGCCAGCCAGCATAGTGTTATGCTGAGTCACCACTGCGCCGGAGTGTGTCGTAGGCCATGTTGTTTTACCGCAAACTGGTACTTGATATCTTTTGCGTTGAGAATAGACAGGGACCCAGTTGAATTGGCACCAATTACGTCATAATCTAAGGGGGATAACTCAGGCCTGTTTAGCTCGAAAAACGAAGGCCTCATAACGGCATATCATTTTCACACTATTGTGAGCTTCCTACTTTCACTGTGAAAAAAATGAGTGTATATTTTCAAACACAGATACTAATTAATTCTAAAATTGCGTTTTGTTTAGAAAAAGAAAGAAAGTGATTTTTGCGTGTACACTTCCCCTTTAAAGGGGAAGTGTACACGCAAAAATCACTTTCTGAAGGGGAAGTGTACACGCAAAAATCACTTTCTTTCTTTTTCTAAACAAAACGCAATTTTAGAATTAATTAGTATCTGTGTTCGAAAATATACACTCATTTTTTTCACAGTGAAAGTAGGAAGCTCACAATAGTGTGAAAATGATATGCCGTTATGAGGCCTTCGTTTTTCGAGCTAAACAGGCCTGAGTTATCCCCCTTAGATTATGACGTAATTGGTGCCAATTCAACTGGGTCCCTGTCTATTCTCAACGCAAAAGATATCAAGTACCAGTTTGCGGTAAAACAACATGGCCTACGACACACTCCGGCGCAGTAGTGACTCAGCATAACACTATGCTGGCTGGCATCTGAGACGCTAGAATCACACACCTAGACCTACACCACGTGAAGCGGCTCTAACAAAGCATGATGACGTCATAATGTTTATCAATTGGCACCAATGACATCATATTGCAAGGGGCATAAGCCATGGTGTTTTTGTTGTGGAAATAGAACACTTGGTAAATGTGAAAAATATAAATCGTTTTAATGCGAAAAATATGTTAATTAATTGTGATATTTTTATATTTTTGTCTATGACACTTCTAGGTTAACACTTTTAATGTGGAAAAAGTACAAGAAAAATAGGTTAATTTCCGTGTGAACTTGCCCTTTAAAGGAGAGTATTTAATACTGGCCGTATTATTTGGTTCACTGTCATCACAAATAATAGATGAAAGTGGTATTATAACTTTCCCTTATCAAAAATACTGATCACTATCTTCTGTATTACCTACGCTGATAAATATGGCTCCCGACTAATGGTAGACACGCCGTGGAAGCCATGTATCCTGCATCGTGTGCTTATTGTAAGTATTATTCGACGTCTTGTTTTAGGAATTATATACAAATTGCTTGTAGAATAGACTATCCACGGATACTTCAAGGATTATCTTGGTTGAGAGCACCTACTTAGTATCATGACGGTGGACATTTATCGTGTACTGGCACTCTCCCTAGTATTATAGTGGGTTAAGTACATTCATATAGTTGCAAGGCTTAACGACACCAGCGCATGATGTGTTTTGATGAGAGGATAAAGGCATTGTGCCTGTTATTTGATGACGAAGTAACTCCCATATTATAACCGTCTCTCGGTAGTCTATTTAAATAATTTACTGGTGCACTGATCGGTATTTACCGATATCATCACAATAAATTGCAATTCACTTTCGTTCCAACTACAATATTTATGTCATCGATTGAAAATATGTAACCTTTCTCATTGGCTTGTCGAGCCTAATATGATAAAGGCATGTGTACTATTTGTCAGTGATGTTCGACAGGAAAATATGTTTCAAGGTTTTAAGCTCACCTAGATTAACTCTCGCTTCTATGCTTTATTTCTCCGTGTTGCAGGCCTGGTATTCTTAATACCTCGTGTTGTAGGCCTGGTATTCTTTTATACCTCGTGTTGCAGGCCCGGTGTTCTTTTATACCTCGTGTTGCAGGCCTGGTATGTTCTATACCTCGTGTTGCAGGCCTTGCATTCTTAATACCTCGTGTTGCAGGCCTGGTATTCTTAATACCTCGTGTTGCAGGCCCGGTATTCTTTATACCTCGTGCTGCAGGCCTGGTATATTTTATACCTCGTGTTGCAGGCCTGGTATTCTTAATACCTCGTGTTGCAGGCCTGGTATGTTTTATACCTCGTGTTGCAGGCCTGGTATGTTTTATACCTCGTGTTGCAGGCCAGGTATGTTTTATACCTCGTGTTGAAGGCCCGGTATTCTTTATACCTCGTGCTGCAGGCCTGGTATGTTTTATACCTCGTGTTGCAGGCATTTATGTTTTATGTGTTGCAGGCCTGGTATACTGATACCTAGTGATGCAGGCCTGGTACACTTTATACTCACATGTTTCAGGCCTGGTATACTTTGTACTCACAGGATTCAGGCCTGGTATGCTTTATACTCTCAGTTTTCAGGTCTGGTATGCTATATACTCACATTTTCAGGCCTGGTATGCTATATGCTCACGTGTTTCAGGCCTGGTATGCTATATACTCACATGTTTCAGGCCTGGTATGCTATATACTCACATGTTTCAGGCCTGGTATGCTATATACTCACATGTTTCAGGCCTTGTATGCTATATACTCACATGTTTCAGGCCTGGTATGCTATATACTCACATGTTTCAGGCCTGGTATGCTATATACTCACATGTTTCAGGCCTGGTATGCTATATACTCACATGTTTCAGGCCTGGTATGCCAAAACCCCGATGGGCAAGAAGCGAGCCAAGCTTGCTGAAAGTAACGAGGAGGAAGGGAAAGGGGACGGTAAGGGTGACAAAGGCAAGAAGGGGAAGAAAGGCAAGAAGGGGAAAGGCAAGAAGGGAGGAAAGAAGGGGAAAAAGAAGAAGAAAAAGAAGAAATAAATGGGGAAAATGATGCCAGCCGAAATTTCTAGATATTCGGCCTGGAGTTGTAGGGTATGGTTTCATCCACGATTTGAAGTTTACAGGATTTTGAAATACACAAAACAAGTATTATCGTTGAGTGTGGAATAACATCGGGCATATATTTGTATGTGTCTATAGAGTGTACATAGAAGACTCTGATCACTGCTAATTAAAGATCCGAATAGACAGCAACGTTTACGTACCGTTATGATTGACAATTTTCTTCATATTTTGGTTCTGGAGTATTTTTAGTTTGAATAAAATGGGTGTGACAGTAGACCGAACAACTGGGTACCCGTCCTCGCCGTGAATACGTTCGCTCCGTTACAAAATAGCGACCTCAGAGCAACGGGTGACGTCAGTCTGTCATAGCATGGAACCACTGCCGTTGTGCTGAGATCGCTTTGTTGGCGATCTCCAAGCAGTGTCACGATAAACAAGGCTTTTTGTGGAAAAATAAGGTTTATCTGAATATCACCCAGATTAGCATCAGTTGAAAATCATCTTTTATTTATACGAATTGTAATGGATTATATGTTTCCATAGTAACCAGTTCCGAACTTAGCAAAGGTTCTATTGTATCTGTGATGTCACAACTTGCCAAGTTGCCTTCAGTTTCATAAACAAACATATAATTTGACTTTGTTCTTTAATGCCCTCCTACTCATCTTGGCTTGAACATGCTGGATGTCAAGGAAAGTTACTCTGTACTTACATTCATGGGTGGCCCGTGTACATCCGGGGTAGAATAGGTCTTCAGCAACCCATGCTTGCCGTAAAAGGTGACTATGCTTGTTGTAAGAGGCGACTAACGGGATCGGGTGGTCAGACTCGCTGACTTGGTTGATGCATGTCATCGATCCCGATTGCGTGGATCGATGCTCATGATGTCAATCACTGGATTGTCTGGTCCAGACTCGATTACTTACAGACCGCCGTCATATAGTTGGAATATTGCTGAGTGCGGCGTTAAACAACAAACAAACAAACAAACAAACAAAACATTCATAGGTCCTTGTAGAAAACTGGTATAAGGTGGCCAAAATGGCGGAACACCATCTCTCTGCCGACTAGGTGAGTGAGAGATATTTTTACGCCGCTGTGAACAGTATTTTAGGATTTCTCGGGGAGACGCGATATGGACTACGGCACAATTTACAGTCCTGAGACCCCTCAATTACATGTAAAATAATTGTTTGCCCCCCCCCCCCCCCCCCCACACCAATAATTATGACCAATCCCTACATAATATTCAAATTCAGAACTTTTTTATTTGAAGAAATAGAAGTGACACACACACCCAGCCCCACCCTATATAGTTGTCATAGAGAACCGAATGTCGCGCTAGGTAAATATGAAGGCCCAATGTCTGTCGTGCAAGGAGACGGTGTTTGGACTACACGAAGGCCCAACCTCAGGCATGCATGGAGACGGTGTTTGGACTACATGAAGGCCAAACCTCTGGCGTGCAAGGAGACGGTGTTTGGACTACACGAAGGCCCAACCTCTGGCATGCATGGAGACGGTGTTTGGACTACATGAAGGTCCAACCTCTGGCGTGCAAGGAGACGGTGTTTGGACTACACGAAGGCCCAATGACTGGCATGCATGGAGACGGTGTTTGGACTACATGAAGGTCCAACCTCTGGCGTGCAAGGAGACGGTGTTTGGATTACATGAAGGCCCAACCTCTGGCGTGCAAGGAGACGGTGTTTGGATTACATGAAGGCCCAACCTCTGGCGTGCAAGGAGACGGTGTTTGGACTACATGAAGGCCCAACCTCTGGCGTGCAAGGAGACGGTGTTTGGATTACATGAAGGCCCAATCTCTGGCGTGCTTGGAGACGGTGTTTGGAAGACATGAAGGCCCAATGTATGTCGTGCTTTGAGACGGTGTTTGGATTACATGAAGGCCCAATGTCTGTCGTGCTTTGAGACGGTGTTTGGAAGACATGAAGGCCCAATCTCTGGCGTGCAATGAGACGGTGTTTGGACTACACGAAGGCCCAATCTCTGGCGTGCTTGGAGACGGTGTTTGGACTACATGAAGGCCCAATCTCTGGCTTGCAAGGAGACGGTGTTTGGACTACATGAAGGCCCAATGTCTGTCGTGCTTGGAAACGGTGTTTGGACTATATTAAGGCCCAATGTCTGCTGTGCAAGGAGACGGTGTTTGGATTTCATGAAGGCCCAATGTTTGTCGTACTTCGAGACGGTGTTTGGACTACATGAAGGCCCAATGTCTGTCGTGCTTGGAAACGGTGTTTGGACTATATTAAGGCCCAATGTCTGTCGTGCAAGGAGACGGTGTTTGGACTACATGAAGGCCCAGTGTTTGTCGTACTTGGAGACGGTGTTTGGACGACATAAAGGCCCAATCTCTGTCGTGCTTGGAGACGGTGTGTGGAAGACACGAAGGCCCAATCTCTGGCGTGCAAGGAGACGGTGTTTGGACTGAATGAAGGCCCAATGACTGGCATGCATGGAGACGGTGTTTGGACTACATGAAGACCCAACCTCTGGCGTGCAAGGAGATGGTGTTTGGACTATATGAAGGCCCAGTGTATGTCGTACTTGGAGACGGTGTTTGGACTATATGAAGGCCCAATGTCTGTCGTACTTCAATCAATCTTTATTGTATGAAAGGCCATTGGCCCATATACACATACAGATAAACAATATCATTTACAGCTGTACAGCGCATTATATAATTATTGGATAACTAATATGAGGTATTGTAATAACAGTGGTAATAACCACAGTGGCAGTAGTAGTATAAAATACAAAAGGAATGGAATAGCATAGCACGACGTTCAATACAAAATAATCTATCAGTAATATACTCATCATGTCATGACAATTTGACAATTTAAATGTATATGCATTTCTAGTAGAAACAAACAGACAAAAATGAAATGTAGATACTCCTGATCTAGATGCGAAAGTTTCAAAACAACTATTTTTTTCTGGACATATCGGATTCACTAAGTAATTTACTACGCACTCGTAGACTTTGATAGATGTATTGTAATATCTTAGTTAATTTTTGACTAGGGATACCATTAAAAGATAGTATTTTGTTCATGGAATAGTGGTTCTTAGTGATATCAGGCATATATTTCAATCTTAGGTTGTCGTAAATTGGACATATAAACAAAAAGTGTAATTCGTTTTCAATATGGTTTTCGCAGAATGGACAAAAACGCATATCCTTAGGAATAGAGGAGAAGCGACCCCTGTTGCACATCAAATCATTTAACCCTAGCCTAAGTTTAATAAATGTGTCTCTAATTTTTCTCTCTGTTATAGTATGCAGGTAAACCTCTGGTGTTAGACAATATTTAAAGGTATTATAGACGTCGTAGCGTGTACTGTTATCTAGTGACGACCTCCAGTTTTGAGTAAACATATCAATTGCTACCTGCTTAAAAGAGCTAAGAAAATACATTTTGTCTCCAACGCTTTGATTTAGCCAAACATATCCAAATCCGTGAGAGAAGAGTAAATGCTTAATGTTTGATGCCCAGGTTACGTAACCAACACTATCACGATAGACAAGCATTTCGTAGCATTTTCTTGGGATTCGTTCCCGCGACATCTCTGTTATTTTGAGCCAGTATCTGAGTAAACGTAAATATGAACAAATATATAACGGGTATCTACCACATTCGCCATAGACCATATGATTTGGAGCTGATTTAGAAACATTTAGAAATCTTTTACATGCAGTTAAGTGTACTTGGAGACGGTGTTTGGACTACATAAAGGCCCAATCTCTGGCGTTCAAGGAGACGGTATTTGAACTATATGAGGACCTAATATCGGTTGAGCGAGGAGACGATCTGGAGGCCATGTTTTAGGATCGAAGTGTTCGCAGGTTAGGAGTAGTAGGCGTCTAAGATAAGCATATCTTCAGGCTTTCCTCCCACACCAAGCTTACACGCCGTGATATAAGGGAAATACTGTTCAAAGCGACTTAAACCAAACTAACCCATACACTCACTCAACACCTGGTGACTATGGGTTGGACGTACAATCTATCGCTTGCACACACAAACATCATTATCAATTTCTCTGCAGTCTAGTAGTATATTATTCCCGTGAAGATCCGTGATTGATCTTCAGCAACCAGTGCTTGTCCTAAGAAGCGACTGATGGGATCGGGGGGTCAGATTCCCTGACTTGGTTAATGCATGTCATCGTGTCCCGGACTAATGCTCATGATGTCAATCACAGGATTGTCTGGTCTAGACTCGATCATTTACCTACCGACCGCCCCCATAAAGCTATAAAAGTGCTAGGTGCGGCGTTTATCAACAAACAAACAGTAGCATATTAGTATTACCGTAAACAGTTAAATAAACGCCAGGGAAAACAACAACCACAAATAAATAACTGCTGCCATGATAACGAGCCTTTTCATATGTTAAATTTGAAACAGATGTTCCCTATAGAAGGACCGCCTCCGTGGTCTTGTGGTAGAGCGTCCGCCCGGAGAGCGGAAGGTCCAGGGTTCGATCCCGGGCCGCGTCATACAAAAAGACGTTAAAAGATTGTACTTGTTGTTACCCTGTCTGGCGCTCGGCATTAAGGGGCTAAAACGAGGACTGGTCGGCTCGGAGTCAGTATACTGTGTCTGAGTGGGGTATTCATGTTAAACTGCGGCATGGTATCTCAGTGAGCTAGCACTATAAATCGGCATCAGTTCGGACTAGTACAAGCAGCCACACACACACATACACGTGCATGCACGTCGCTATATAAGTGCAATAATCTTGGACGCGACGTTAAACCCAATTTCACCTCACGTCCCTATAGAAGACGTCCGGTGTCATGAAAATGTAGAAATAACGCCGATGCGACATTACATTTTAACTCATTCACTCAGCACCAATGCCAAGTGTGTCCCTATCATGCACACTGCTACAACAACCCCGGCCAGCCTGTCACTCTGATAAACAGAAGAAGTGAGTATCAGTAATTATCTACGCCCTCTGTGGCTACAACATCTGCATCATCCCCTCAAGTCACCGTCTCGGCGCCACAACCTTATGTACGACATACTGATAGTCTTTGAGTAAGTTTTACAGTACGTCTAATTCATTTTTTACCTGTCAGTGCCGTCTGGTATTTTCATTTTACGAAATGTTTTACACGTACATATGGTTCTTATCAATAACATCGATACATTTAGTCGATCCAACAGCTGTGATACTTTTAAAAATAATTCAGTTCTATAGTCTCCGCCTACTGGCAGTCCAGTGGCCCTGAAAATATGCTTCTGAAGAGCACGTGCTTCCGCGAAAAGTTTTTTATGTCAGCGAAATGTTTCATGAGTTTCAGTGCATCTAAATGTGACAGGGATTGCATTCCACAGAGGTGGGGCTGCATCGGAGAACACACACACACACACACACACACACACACACACACACACACACCAAAAAAATTTGGTTTTGGAACAAGATCTGTTTGATGGAATTTGTACCCAGATTTTAAATTGCGTGTTGGTTCATACATTTGAATGAGCTCCTTGAGATACAGGTGAGAGTCACTGTCATACTCTGCCTTGTGTGTTAGCTTGTTTGTTTGTTTGTTTGTTGTTTAACGTCGCACTCAGCAACATTCCAGCTGTATG